GCTATCTTAAGATGAATGCATTAACTGTAAGCTGCTCTGGATAAGAGTGTCTGCTAAATGACTAAAATGTCAATGTAGAAAATGTACGTTCAACACTCTGTGTATACAAGCACTTAACTTGACATAAAGGATTCTAACACTGTGTATAATGTGTTAATTGCCAGCTACATGGTTGTTGCCTAGTAACCTGTTCTAACACTGTGTATAATGTGTTAATTGCCAGCTACATGGTTGTTGCCTGGTAACCTGTTCATTCTCTCTCTAGGAGGGGGAGGATAAGAAGTTCCTGATCACTCGTCTCCAGGCCATCCACCAGCAGAAACCACCCTTCTCTCCTCGCAGACTCACCAGTCAGGCCAGTCAGGTGTGTGTGTGTGTGAGATAAATAAAAAAAGAGAGGGAGTGTGTGTGTGTGTGTGTGTGTGTGTGCATGCATGCATTCTTTTGTTCCCAATTTTCTTTCTGGCTCACAATTCTGACAACACTCTTTCTCCTGTCTTCTTCCCAGGATTCCAGCGGCTAGCATTCCAACTACTAAACGGCATTCTCTCCCATCTCAGTGGAAGGAATATCTCGGAAAATCTCTGAATATCCTTTGGGAAATTACCTGAATGGAACAAAACTGGATATACCTCTCCTCTCCTGCCTCTGGGAAGAGTTGTTAAGTAATTCTTAAACTGGAAAACTATTCTCATAGGATGTACACTCTTTCCCAGGAATCTGGGTTGGGATTGGGACTGGGACTATAAAGGAATTTACTTCTTTACAATAACAAATCCCACATAGGCCAAAACAGGATTCTAATAGGATCCACACTCTTTCCCAGGAATCTGGTCCTTGTAAGGATTGGGAATAGGATTGGGAATGGGACAAAGCAGGATTTCCCTCTTCCAATAACAGGCTACACCTCATAGGGAAAGACCACAGTCTTTATGTGAACTTACTATGGCCAAGCCATAGGCTACATTTTACTGTAACTAGGCTACACCTTACTGTAACTAGGTTACACCTTACTGTAACTAGGCTACATAGGAAAATACCACTGAGTTTATATGAACTTACTATGGCCAAGCCATAGGCTACACCTTACTGTTTATTCTTCATATGAAATGAAAGGACATGTCACAAAACAAAATAATGGTTTATCAAGCTCAATAGTTTCAACCAAGGATGTTTGTCCTTTAAAAAAAAAATTTGGGATTGGAACCCCTGGTCATGCGAAAGGATGTAGGAGTGAAGAGGTGAGGAAACGAGACTGGGATACGGTGTGCTTGTAGGGACACAGAACAGAAAGCACTTTTTTTTTTTACAACTTTGAATAGGGAACAGATCAAATGCCAATAAGCTGCCAACATTGCACAAAGGGTTAAAACAGTGTCATTGTTAAGCAGGGTTAATTCTGTGAAATATAGGATTTTTATTTTTTAATTGTAAATAGTCTGATTGTTTTATTACTTTAGATGTTTTATTGTATAAACGGGTATTTTGTCAACAGCCCTTTCATACCAACTGTGAACAAATAGGTTATTTCTTTCCATTTCTGATATATAACAATTATTTTGTACGATTTTGTTATGTTTTTATGTTAATTGGTGGTCAGGGTATAATTTCGTGATAAGTTTAGTCTCTCTGCTTCCAAAATGGCACTCTTCCCTAGATAGTACACACCTTTCTAGGGCGCTGGCCAAAAGTAGTGCACTCTGTAGAGAATAGAGTGTCTGTTGGAACGCATCCTATGTTTACTGTCTCTGTAGGAGGAGTCCACCGCTTAGTATCGGGCGATCTGATTAGTTCATTCAAAAAGGAAATGGTCGTAGAAGATCAACCACTGAAACAGTACGTTATTTTAATGTCTCTTTTTGTTTTTAAGAAGTTGTTTTATTGTTTGTATACTTTATAGGTAATTAAATGTTTTACCATATCTGCGTGTGTATTTGCTTACCTGATGTGTACCTAGTGGTTATGCTAGACTTCAATCTTTTACTTTTCAGTGGAGAAATGTAATATAAATAATTGAAAAATACATATTTCTATTATTTAACACAATTATAATGTATTACAGACATGCAATCAGCACCATAAAAAACAGCTAAATATATTGACAATTTACAAAGAATCACTTTCCTGTCCTAATAGCACACATACAGTGGGGGGGAAAAAGTATTTAGTCAGCCACCAATTGTGCAAGTTCTCCCACTTAAAAAGATGAGAGAGGCCTGTAATTTTCATAATAGGTACACGTCAACTATGACAGACAAATTGAGAATTTTTTTTCTCCAGAAAATCACATTGTAGGATTTTTTATGAATTTATTTGCAAATTATGGTGGAAAATAAGTATTTGGTCACCTACAAACAAGCAAGATTTCTGGCTCTCACAGACCTGTAACTTCTTCTTTAAGAGGCTTCTCTGTCCTCCACTCGATGCCTGTATTAATGGCACCTGTTTGAACTTGTTATCAGTATAAAAGACACCTGTCCACAACCTCAAACAGTCACACTCCAAACTCCACTATGGCCAAGACCAAAGAGCTGTCAAAGGACACCAGAAACAAAATTATAGACCTGCACCAGGCTGGGAAGACTGAATCTGCAATAGGTAAGCAGCTTGGTTTGAAGAAATCAACTGTGGGAGCAATTATTAGGAAATGGAAGACATACAAGACCACTGATAATCTCCCTCGATCTGGGGCTCCACACAAGATCTCACCCCGTGGGGTCAAAATGATCACAAGAACGGTGAGCAAAAATCCCAGAACCACACGGGGGGACCTAGTGAATGACCTGCAGAGAGCTGGGACCAAAGTAACAAAGCCTACCATCAGTAACACACTACGCCGCCAGGGACTCAAATCCTGCAGTGCAAGACGTGTCCCCCTGCTTAAGCCAGTACATGTCCAGGCCCGTCTGAAGTTTGCTAGAGTGCATTTGGATGATCCAGAAGAGGATTGGGAGAATGTCATATGGTCAGATGAAACCAAAAATAGAACTTTTTGGTAAAAACTAAACTCGTCGTGTTTGGAGGACAAAGAATGCTGAGTTGCATCCAAAGAACACCATACCTACTGTGAAGCATGGGGGTGGAAACATCATGCTTTGGGGCTGTTTTTCTACAAAGGGACCAGGACGACTGATCCGTGTAAAGGAAAGAATGAATGGGGCCATGTATCGTGAGATTTTGAGTGAAAACCTCCTTCCATCAGCAAGGGCATTGAAGATGAAATGTGGCTGGGTCTTTCAGCATGACAATGATCCCAAACACACCGCCCGGGCAACGAAGGAGTGGCTTCGTAAGAAGCATTTCAAGGTCCTGGAGTGGCCTAGCCAGTCTCCAGATCTCAACCCCATAGAAAATCTTTGGAGGGAGTTGAAAGTCCGTGTTGCCCAGCGACAGCCCCAAAACATCACTGCTCTAGAGGAGATCTGCATGGAGGAATGGGCCAAAATACCAGCAACAGTGTGTGAAAACCTTGTGAAGACTTACAGAAAACGTTTGACCTGTGTCATTGCCAACAAAGGGTATATAACAAAGTATTGAGAAACTTTTGTTATTGACCAAATACTTATTTTCCACCATAATTTGCAAATAAATTCATAAAAAATCCTACAATGTGATTTTCTGGATATTTTTTCCTCATTTTGTCTGTCATAGTTGACGTGTACCTATGATGAAAATTACAGACCTCTCTCATCTTTTTAAGTGGGAGAACTTGCACAATTGGTGGCTGACTAAATAGTTTTTTTCCCCACTGTAGGTACAGCCCAAAGCAATAAACCCTGAATGTTAGGGAGTGACAAAAAGCTCAAAGGTCACATCTACTACTACTTTTGAGAGCTAAATATGGAATAGGGTGCCATTCAGCTATGTCAGTTCCATAGAGTTGGATAGAGGGTGCATTTGGCGCAAAGATAGAGGGTGGGCTCTATTTCTAACTCTATGGGCTGCATAGAGATAGTTAGAGAACACAACATTGTATCTGTCCCAATATGGCGTCTGTGAGAGCATGGGCAGCACCATTGAAGCCATCTCCATTTCGAAGTAGTTAATTTTCTTCTTCTACTACTTCTATGAGTTGGTAAACAAACTGAAAGGGTGCATACTGCCACCTGGAGTGTGTTGTTTGAACAGGTATAAAGACAGGGTTGGCGATTTACAGCTACCTGCAGTTATGGAATGTTTCCTCACAAGTATAATTATTTGGCTGATCCCTCCTGATGACCTGGATGGAATCATGTGATCCTTCCTTAACCCATAGAAAGTTCCACACAGTTGACTACTTCAAAATGATGAAAGTCCTGAATGGCGCTGCCCATGATAAAACAGAATTTTCGGTAGAGTCCTCTATCTCTATGATGGGCTGTCATCTCCTGTAGGCTGTGCAGAGGGGTCCTTCAGTTGAGTGATATGGCTGTCCTCTCCGATGCCTGCTGAGGGGTCCTTCTTGGTGGTAGGGCTGCCCTCTTTCGTGCCTGAAACAGTGGTGGGGGCCTTGAAGGTTTTCTTCTGGCGTCTGAGTGAGAGAGTGTGCTGCTTCAGCAGAAAATGCTTATCTGAGGTGCACTGAGGGAGCGAAACAAAAAAAGAGAGAGAGAGAGAGAGAATGAATGTTTTAAGCCTCAAGATGTATTGCACTATTTGAACTTTCTTACTATGAAGACACAAACCTACCATCAGGTTCTCTGTAGCTCAATTGGTAGAGCATGGCGCTTGTAACGCCAGGGTAGTGGGTTCGATCCCCGGGACCACCCATACGTAAACATGTATGCGCACATGACTGTAAGTCGCTTTGGATAAAAGCGTCTGCTAAATGGCATATTAATATTTATTATTATCAGCAGCTGGGTTAGGGTTAACTAATACTGTTATCGGTGGGTAACCTACCATCACCAGCATGTCCTTCAGTCTCTCAATGGCTTTTCCATTTGCTCTCCTCCGTGACTCAAAGGTGGTCAGGACAACACTGGGGAAAAGGGTAACATGATATACGATCTGTAACATTTACATCCATGGCAACAAGAACGTGCTATGTTCTATTTATTATATTTCTATGATCTGTAAGAAACAGAATCTATGAGAGGAGTCAGGTTCTATATCACCTACTGCACATCTGAGCCAGTAGCATTGGGTGGCAGGCTGGTGTGTGTGTGCGTGCATGTGTGTGTGTGTGTGTTTATGTGTATGTGTGTGTGTATGATCTATATCACCTACATCTGAGCCAGTATCAGAGGCAGAATGAAGGCCTCTGAGGACAGGTATCTCAGGGTGGACTGGGCCGGTCCTGGTAGACTGTCCACACACACAGCTGTTACATTAAACACTGTAGCGCTTCCCACGAACGGACCACAGCTGGAGGAGGGGGGAAACCTGGGGGGGGTAAAGAAGAGAAGGGGGAAATAGAGGAGAGAACAAGTACAGTGCTTTGCGGATAGGAAGAAACTGTCATGACTCTCCTGGGTGAGGATCAAAGGCCTCAGATCAGCTTGGTAAATAGCTGACAACAACCAGACCCTCTTACCCACAGAATAGGAAGTGGGGCTGGGCCGGTTTTGACACCTTAATTAAGCAGGAGGGGAATCTCTCCCTTTCCTCCACAGTATTGGGAAAGACGTGCTTTGTCTCCAGAATACTTTTGCCGCCAAAACTTTTTTGTCCAAAAAAGTGAACATTGGAACAATATTTCTAACATCCGGATGTTTGGAATGGTCAGTGGGGACCTAAAGAATAATCATGTCATATTGCTTTTCATTTTGTGATGTTATTAAAAACTGTATGAGCCAAATACTGTAACTTAGAAAGGAAACACATTCTAGCTGTCAAGTTTCCATCCAATATGATGTTAATACAATATGAAGAACGATGAAACTATTTTTGTTAAGATAGGAATGTGATTTTGGTTTTCTAATGAGATAATAATGGCATTTCATGTCCATTGCACATTAACTAAGCCACGCCCCGAATGAGGTCAGAAGAGCGTGTCAGTGTGATGGAACCGCCCTTTTCGACCAGAGTGCTTAAAAGGATTTGCTAAGAATTAACATATGCAGACGTGAAGCCATGGCTACACGTTGAAATGGTTGGAAACTCTGAAACTCAACACGAGGTGAAGAAAAACTCACCAGACCAAAACATTGACAGTCTGCAGCTGTGCATGTAAAGAGATCTAGAACTTTGACTAAAGACACAAGGTGGGACACGCCACTACAAGACCAAAACTAAGAAGAAGGACATTGTGACCTCTGGTGGACAATCAGAGCCTTACACCCCGGGTGAGCTCACATAAACAACTTCCCGAGAGGGCTTTGTCCTGACCGAGATAGACGACGAACGAAGGTATTCAACACGTAAATGCATTCATTATTTTCTTATCCCGATCGGGCGGTGGTTCGTGTGCTTGATTAAAGTGAGAATAGTTATAGAATGTATCCACGATAAATATCCCTTTCTCTATCTCTCACCATCCCCACCCCCTTCTTCATCTCTGTGTAATAAGATGTCATATCTTGTCAGTCCACTAGGGACTTCTGTCTATTGTAAGTGTGTATGTGTATTCTGTGTTATTATTTAGTTAGTTAGTAAATAAATAATTAAATACATTTGTGTAGAACTGAATAATCAGAAAAGGCTGGGGTTCTTGCGGATTCAAGAAGTCTGCGACGTTCAGAATGAGACTGATATGAGGTAATGATTAATAAGTGACTGTTATCGATATATAACATATATCTTCTCAGAGTTTAATTCGGGAGATGGTAACTCTATAAACAACTTATTCCATGGTGCCCCAAATTTCTAATGAGGTAATTGTTACATGATTCATTTAATCGGGTTACAATTAAACATAGTTAGTTGATTGAATAAATAACAGTTGTTAACATACATTTACATTTACATTTTAGTCATTTAGCAGACGCTCTTAACCAGAGCGACTTACAGGAGCAATTAGGGTTAAGTGCCTTGCTCAAGGGCACATTAACGTCATTTAGCAGACGCTCTTAGCCAGAGCGACTCACAAATTGGTGCGTTCACCCTATAGCCAGTGGGATAACCACTTTACAATTTGGGGGGGGGGGGGGGGGGGGGTTAGAAGGAATACTTTAGCCTATCCCAGGTATTCCTTAAAGAGGTGGGGTTTCAAATGTCTCCGGAAGGTGGTGAGTGACTCCGCTGTCCTGGCGTCGTGAGGGAGCTTGTTCCACCATTGGGGTGCCAGAGCAGCGAACAGTTTTGACTGGGCTGAGGGGGAGCTGTGCTTCCGCAGAGGAAGGGGACTAATATGTTATAAATTGTGTTCTTACACTGGTACAGTTATGCCCTATGAGAGATGTACAACTGCGCATGTGCGAAAATAAAGAAAGGGCATTTTCCCGCGTTCTGGTTGAAACACCAACGATGAACATGTGTGTTTATTCCTCCGTTAAGTAAGCCGGTATTCCTGTCCTGAAGATGACAGCACCAACAGGTTATGGGCCCAGGAGGGAACATGGAAGCCGATGGAATAGATTATGTTTCGACGGAGATGAAAAAAACTACGAGTTATGGGAGACAAAGTTTTTGGGACACTTGCGTTTGCTAGGGCTAAAGGCCACCATATTGAGCGTGGATGAAGATGAAGAAGACGGAGAGAAAAATGAAGAAGCCTACGCCGAATTGATACAGGTTTTGGATGATAAAAGTATTTCCCTGATAATGAGAGAAGCAGCAGATGATGGGAGAAAAGCGTTGAAGATATTGAGGGAACATTATGCAGGTAAAGGGAAGCCACGTGTGATTAGCCTCTACACTGAGCTAACTTCTCTTCAGAAAGCCAGTGACGAAAGTGTTACGGATTATATCATTCGTGCTGAGACGGCTATTACAGCACTGAGGAATGCTGAAGAGACTTTAAGTGACGGGCTGTTGATTGCAATGATTCTGAAAGGTTTGCCCGAATCATTTAAGCCGTTTGCCATCCACATAACGCAGAGTGACGAGCCGACAACTTATGGCAAGTTCAAAACCAAGTTGAGGAGCTATGAAAGCACCGAGAAGTTTAGCGCCATTTCCACTGACGACAACGCGATGAAGGCAAGTAACATTAAAGTTAGCTGGCCAAGAGGAAGAGATAAAGGGACCGAGATAACCTGCTTCAACTGTGGCCAGAAAGGGCACAAGGCCCGGGAATGTACCGTTACTGGAGAGCACAGAGAACGGAGACAGTGGTGTAGTTTTTGCAAGCGCTCCACTCATACTGACGCAAATTGCAGACGAAAAAGAAGAGACAATGTGAAACAAGCAACAGATGCTGAAGGCCACACATTTGCATTCAAAATAAGTGACTGTCAGGTTCGTGGACTGAAACAAAAAGGGCTGATGGTTGATACGGGAGCAACGTCACATATAGTCACAGACATCGGGAAGTTTAAGGAGTTTGACGAGACTTTCAAACCGGAAAAACATTCCGTGGAGCTGGCTGACGGAACAAGAACGAATGGTGTCGCGGAGAGGAGAGGTGCAGCGGAGGTTTACCTGAGAGACAACACGGGTCGTCGGGTGAAAACAACGCTGACGAAGGCTGGGCGGCAGTAGCTTAGTGGTTAAGAGCGTTGTGCCAGTAACCGAAAGGTCGCTGGTTCTGATCCCCGAGCCGACTAGGTGACAAATCTGTCGATGTGCCCTTGAGCAAGGCACTTAACCCTAATTGCTCCTGTAAGTCGCTCTGGATAAGAGCGTCTGCTAAATGACTAAAAATAAAAAATAAAAAAAAATAAGGCGCTGTACGTGCCGTCGTTTCCACAGGACATTTTCTCTGTTAAAGCAGCGACAGCCAACGGAGCTTCAGTCAACTTTCGACAGGGGTGTAACAAGCTCATCCACAAGAACGGTACCACTTTTGACATCGAGGAGTACGATAGACTTTACTATCTTAACACTGTAAGTGATGAAAATGATGATGGATGTCATGGGTGCTATGATATTCACACATGGCACAAAATTCTTGGCCACTGTAATTTTGAGGATGTGTCAAAGTTAGAAAATGTGACAGAGGGAATGAAAATCACAGGTAAGATTGACAAATCTACTCTCAACTGTGAAATCTGCACACAGGGAACATTTGTTCAGAGCAGAAACAGAGAGCCTGATGAAAAGGCAAAAGCAGCTCTTGAGCTTGTGCACACTGATTTGGCTGGCCCTATTGAGCCAGAGGCGAAAGATGGGTTCAGATATACTCTAGCATTTACGGATGATTATTCAGGGGCAGTTTTTGTGTATTTCCTAAAAGCAAAAAGTGATACTGTAAAAGCTACTGAGAAGTTTATTGCTGATGTGGCCCCTTATGGAAAAATAAAGTGTGTCAGGTCAGATAATGGCACAGAGTACACAGCCAAAGAGTTCCAGTCACTGCTCAGTAAGAATGCCATAAGACATGAAACTTCAGCCCCTTACTCACCCCATCAAAATGGGACCGCTGAGAGAAATTGGAGAACACTGTTTGAAATGGCAAGATGCATGCTACTTGAGAGCAACCTACCAAAGAAATTGTGGACATATGCTGTAATGACTGCTGCAGTAATTCGCAATAGGTGTTACAATAAGCGTGTAGGACAGACTCCACACTACATGTTTACTGGGAGAAAGCCTGATCTTTCAAAGATGAAAGAATTTGGATCTGTTTGCTATGCATACAGACAGAACAAGAAAAAGTTGGACTCAAGATGTGAAAAGGGTATTTTTGTCGGGTATGATAAAAATAGTCCAGCATACCTAGTCTACTACCCAGACACTGGAAAAGTTCTTAAAAACAGATTAGTCCAGTTCGTTACAAAAGGTGTAGTCGAACGCCAAACTCAGACAGATTTGGAAATGAGTGATGATCTTCATGGGGAGAGATTTCAATCCCCCATGCCAAAAGCCAAGATGGCAGATCAAAATTCCGAAGAGACACAAGATGTGTAAATCGAGACTTCAGATAGTCAGAGTCCACGCTATCCAGACAGAGAGAGGAAGAAGCCCCAGTACTTAAAAGACTATGAGTGTAAAGTGAAGTATGATGACCAGATACCACCTAGTGTTGACTACTGCTACAGAGTAATGTGCAATGCACCACAAACCTTCAAAGAAGCAATGATTTCACCAAAATCAGAGATTTGGGCTACTGCTATGAAGGAGGAGATGGATTCCCTTAGGGAAAATGATACATTCACATTGACCACACTGCCAGAGGGTAAAAATGCAGTGGGGGGCAGGTGGGTCTATGCGGTCAAAAACAATTCAGATGAGACTGAGACATACAAGGCAAGATATGTTGCAAAGGGATATAGTCAAGTGGCAGGAATAGACTATAAGGATACTTTTTCTCCAACTGCAAATATGACATCAGTACGTTGTTTGATGCAGCTAGCAGCTCAGTATGACTTAGAGTTACATCAGATGGATGTCAAAACAGCATATCTACATGCTCCTATTGACTGTGAAGTGTACATGGAGCAACCAGAGGGTTTTGAAGTCAGGTCAGATACAGGTGAGCAACTAGTCTGCAAACTGAACAAGTCACTGTACGGCCTGAAACAGTCAGGAAGGAACTGGAACAAAATGTTGCATGATCACCTTAGTGAAAATGGTTTTACACAGAACCCAGCTGATCACTGTGTTTACAACAAACAAACTGCAACAGAAAGGATCATTTTGATAATTTGGGTCGATGATCTAATTATCGCTGCTAGTGATAGTGACTCACTCACAAGTGTAAAAGAAATGTTAAGTGAAAAATTTAAGATGAAAGATCTTGGGAGGCTTAGACATTTCCTAGGCATTGATTTTACACAAAGTGAAGGGAAAATAAAGATGAGCCAAACAAGGTACATAACCAAGATACTGGAAAGGTTTGGTATGTCAGACTGTAAAACAAGGTCAACACCATGTGAACAAAAAACAAACTTTGATGGTGATGGTGAACCTATTGATTCAAAAAGGTATCGTGAAGTGATAGGCAGCTTGATATATGTTATGACATGTACAAGACCGGATATCAGTTGGATTGTCAGCAAGCTGTCACAATACCTATCAGAACCAAAAGAGCAACACTGGATAACAGCTAAACATGTGTTGAGGTACTTGAAGGGGACAATGAATCAGGAGTTGTGTTACAAAAAGGGGGTGGAAAAACTCAACCTCGTAGCATATAGTGATGCTGATTGGGCAGCAGATCAAAGTGACAGACGAAGCATAACAGGGTATTGTTTTAGTTTAACTAAATGTGGACCTGTTATTTCATGGAGGTCTAAGAAGCAGCCAACAGTAGCTTTATCTACATGTGAAGCAGAGTACATGGCACTGGCTGCTACTACACAAGAAAGTTTGTACCTTGTACAGTTATTGGGCCAGATGGATAGTGAGTGCCAATATGCACCAGTAACAATCTTTGAAGATAACCAAGGTGCAATTGCTCTGTCAAAGAACCCAGTATGTCGTCAGAGATGTAAACATGTTGACATCAGATATCATTTCATTCGATCTGCGCTCAGTGATGGCAAAATAAGTATTGAATATTGTCCAACGGCAGACATGGTTGCAGATGTTTTGACTAAACCTGTAACGAAGTTCAAAAATGAAAAATTATTGGGTTATATGTTTGGAATGTAAACTGACATTTGTGAGATGTATAACTGTAAGCTAAATGTGTTGATAGTTAGGTTGAATACGACTTGTACAGTATAAGAGCAAGTGGGGGTGTTAACATATAGACTAATATGTTATAAATTGTGTTCTTACACTGGTACAGTTATGCCCTATGAGAGATGTACAACTGCGCATGTGCGAAAATAAAGAAAGGGCATTTTCCCGCGTTCTGGTTGAAACACCAACGATGAACATGTGTGTTTATTCCTCCGTTAAGTAAGCCGGTATTCCTGTCCTGAAGATGACAGCACCAACAACAGTCATCAGATTAACGAAAGTCACGTCACGACAAAACCTTGAGAGGAATCAGATTCAAGGAACCAGAGAAGTAATTTAGGATCTTTTTTTTTATTTTCTTTCATAATTACTGTTGGAGGGTGATTCTAGTAGAGAGAAACAGGAGTGAAAGAGGAGAGGAGAGAGTAGTGAGGTCTTACTGTTGGAGGTTACTTCCAAGGGTGATGGCTGCCATGATGAGACCCAGTAGTAACATGAAGTGGAACAGAACTGAAGAACTGGAGGCACGGAACATTCTCTGGGCCGGAACACAGCACTGGAGTACTGTCAACTGGGAGGGGGAGGAGGGGGAGAGAGAGAGCAAGGCAGAAGGGAGAAATGAAACAGTGAGAGATGATATGCAGTAATATGTTGAGAGAAAGACTTATGTTAACAACAACAACACTCACCTTCTTAATGTAAAAGATGGCCACCAGTTTGACAATCCCTATGTATGGCAGCAGGGGACAATAGAACAGTCCTACCCAGGTGACCGTCTGACTGTACACCAGGTCTAGAACATTGAACGGGATCAGGAAATGTTGTTTCCCCGACAACCGCGCCAGCCAAGACGATGGGTACCTTTCCACCAACCACCTGTGAGGAGGGATGGAGGGACAATAAGATGAAGGATACTGTTAGAAAACATCCAAAACACATATCCTTTCTTCCTCCCTTGTTGTAGCAACCCAACACCTGGCAACCCAACACCTGGCAACCTTGTCAAGAAGTTTGGATCTCTTGACGTGACAGCTAAGTTATTGAGTTGACAGTTGCTGGACCCGGCTTCAAGTCCCAGTCGGGGCAACCCACAAAATTCACTACAGTATGAACTGATCTGAGATGATTGGACAGGTGAAAGCGAGGGTTCCACAAGCCTACAAGTGCTCTGTTCCATTGGGCCAAATACGTTTTCATCAGAAATATTCCTTCAGAAAGCAGAACATAAACTTACTTTCTAGGATAGGCGATGAAGAAGGTGTTGCAGAAACAGGCGAGGAAATCGAACACAGAGAGCTTGTACATCTCTTTACCAAACTGATTCTCCCAACACTGAGGACACACAGAGTATTAAGTCCATTTACTGTATATGAAGTCCATTTACTGTATATGAAGTATATTTAGTGCCAAAGGTCAATATGATCTGTAGTTGTCAACAATGGTTAGTCGTTATGACTCACTTCCTGTTCTCTGTTTCTGAAGAGGAAGAAGAGATACATCCCCAGACTGGCCAACTTCAGGAAAATACTCCTGGGAGCAGGAAGAGGAGGAGGAGGAAGTTGAAGAATTAAGATGATGAAGAGAGAACTTCAGTGATTATCAATATTTATGTATTGATGATGATGATGATGATATTGGTGTACCAATAAAGATGGGACATTTCTGCTCCTACCTGACGATGGTAGCATTGACCTGGGTGGTGAGGGAGTGATCCTCGAAGGAAGCGATATGGCGGAAGACGTGAGGCAGGAAGAAGTTGACTAGGGTGATGACGATGGGAGGAAGGTAATGGAGAAGCACCCTGATGATCAAATAGTCTACACTCTGAGAGAGGGGGAGCAGGCATGAGAAAGAGAGGGGGGGAGAGACGGGGAGGGGGAGGGAAGTTGAGCAGGAGGGAGAGAGACGGGGGAGAGAAGGAAAAAGGATGCCAAAATAATGAACATGATAAATTGACTAACTAAATTAATACAGTGGGGAGAACAAGTATTTGATACACTGCCGATTTTGCAGGTTTTCCTACTTACAAAGCATGTAGAGGTCTGTAATTTTTATCATTGGTACACTTCAACTGTGAGAGACGGAATCTAAAACAAAAATCCAGAAAATCACATTGTATGATTTTTAAGTAATTAATTTGCATTTTATTGCATGACAGAAGTATTTGACCACCTACCAACCAGTAAGAATTCCGGCTCTCACAGACCTGTTCGTTTTTCTTTAAGAAGCCCCCCTGTTCTCCACTCATTACCTGTATGAACTCGTTACCTGTATAAAAGACACCTGTCCACACACTCAATCAAACAGACTCCAACCTCTCCACAATGGCCAAGACCAGAGAGCTGTGTAAGGACATCAGGGATAAAATTGTAGACCTGCACAAGGCTGGGATGGGCTACAGGACAATAGGCAAGCAGCTTGGTGAGAAGGCAACAACTGTTGGCGCAATTATTAGAAAATGGAAGAAGTTCAAGATGACGGTCAATCACCCTCGGTCTGGGGCTCCATGCAAGATCTCACCTCGTGGGGCATCAATGATCATGAGGAAGGTGAGGGATCAGCCCAGAACTACACGGCAGGACCTGGTCAATGACCTGAAGAGAGCTGGGACCACAGTCACAAAGAAAACCATTAGTAACACACTACGCCATCATGGATTAAAATCCTGCAGCGCACGCAAGGTCCCCCTGCTCAAGTCAGCGCATGTCCAGGCCCGTCTGAAGTTTGCCAATGACCATCTGGATAATCCAGAGGAGGAATGGGAGAAGGTCATGTGGTCTGATGAGACAAAAATAGAGCTTTTTGGTCTAAACTCCACTCGCCGTGTTTGGAGGAAGAAGAAGGATGAGTACAACCCCAAGAACACCATCCCAACCGTGAAGCATGGAGGTGGAAACATAATTATTTGGGGATGCTTTTCTGCAAAGGGGACAGGACGACTGCACCGTATTAAGGGGAGGATGGATGGGGCCATGTATCGCGAGATCTAGGCCAACAACATTGAAGATGGGTCAAGGCTGGGTCTTCCCGCATGACAACGACCCAAAACACACAGCCAGGGCAACTAAGGAGTGGCTCCGTAAGAAGCATCTCAAGGTCCTGGAGTGGCCTAGCCAGTCTCCAGACCTGAACCCAATAGAACATCTTTGGAGGGAGCTGAAAGTCCGTATTGCCCAGCAACAGCCCTGAAACCTGAAGGATCTGGAGAAGGTCTGCATGGAGGAGTGAGCCAAAATCCCTGCTGCAGTGTGTGCAAACCTGGTCAAGACCTACAGGAAACGTATGATCTCTGTAATTGCAAACAAAGGTTTCTGTACCAAATATTAAGTTCTGCTTTTCTGATGTATCAAATACTTATGTCATGCAATAAAATGCAAATTAATTACTTAAAAATCATACAATGTGATTTTCTGGATTTTTGTTTTAGATTCCGTCTCTCACAGTTGAAGTGTACCTATGATAAAAATTACAGACCTCTACATGCTTTGTAAGTAGGAAAACCTGCAAAATCGGCAGTGTATCAAATACTTGTTCTCCCCACTGTAACTAACTAATACATGCACACGCACACACATTTCTCACCCTCTCAGCCTGTGAGGCCAAGGTGGCATAGTAGATGAGACAGAAGGCTCCGCCCAGTAGAACCAGGACCAGGAAGTGAAGCAGCCCTCGCAGGGAGTAGAGGTGTGCCCACTGACCCAACGTCCTCCTGGCCTCGCGCTGCTGGAACCTTTCCTCTTCTAGGTACAACTGCGGAGGGAGGGGGAGAAGTAGAGGGAGGGTGAGAGTAGAGGGAGGGAGAGGAGAGGAGGTGGGAGAGGGAGGGAGAGGAGAAGGAGAGGGAGGGGGGATGGAGAAGGAGGGGAAGGGTGGAGGAGAGGGAGGGGGGAGGGGAGGGACACAAAGAGAAAGGAATAGAACAGAAAGTTCAACGAGTGTCAAATATAAAGGTAAAGAAGGAGAGAGAATGAAGAGGAAGAACCTTTGTAGGTGTTGGAAGTTAAAGAGTTGCCAGTCCACAGAGATAGAGGAACGGCTGCAGAACAATCATAATGGAGAGACAGAGAGAGAGAGAGAGAGAGAGAGAGAGAGAGAGAGAGAGAGTGAGAGAGTGAGAGAGAGAGAGAGAGAGAGAGAGTTGAAAAGGGCAGGCAGACTACCACCCCGAACCTTCAGTTCGTTCCTGATGAAGCTGAGTTTGTGGGCGGCGGCCTCGGGATCATGGATACAGAAGTCCCACCCACAGAACACCTTGTAGCTCATGTGGATGTTGTAGTGGTTGCCTAGCAACCACGTGTGCTTGTAGCCTACAACCGTCCTGTTTAAAAGAGGTGATGAAAATGTTAAAAAAGCCACTATTGTGTCCTCCCTGTGGACACATCTTTAACAGCGTATCCTTGTGTGCGTCCCAATAATCTCTCCTTCCCCCTGAAGTGTGCACTCGTTCACTGCTCCCTACAAATGTAAAAGCATTGAATTAGAATAGGCATGTGTGTGTGTGTGAGTGTGTGTCCTCACAAGGATAGTAAAACAAGAAAAATTCGGACAAGTCGGTACATTTTGCCGGTCCCCACAAGGAACAAAGCTATTTTAGGCTTAGGGGTTAGGGGTTTATGGTTAAGGTTAGGTTAAGGATTAGGTTAGGAGTTTGGGGTTAGGGAAAATAGGATTTTGAATGGCAATCAATTGTTTGTTCCCCACAAGGATAGTGAAACAACATGTGTGTGTGTCTGACCTGCGGACCACCATGACCAGACTGAGGATGAGGACGGTGAGGGTTCCGAGGAGGAAGAGGAGGGGCGTGTTCAGACACTGCAGGTCCAGAGAACTACATGCATAGAACCCATAGAACATTGGAGAACGTTCTAGAAAACCCTGGAGGTGGGAGGGAGGGAGGGAGGGAAGGAAGGAGGGAGAGGAGAGAGGGAGAAGGAGGGTTAAATCACATACACTGTACACCACAGGAGGTTGGTGACACCTTAATTGGGGAGGACGGGCTCGTGGTAATGGCTGGAGAGGAATTAGTGGAACGGTATCAAATACATCAAACACATGGTTTGATGCCATTCCATTCACTTTGTTCCAGCCAATATCATGACCCGTCCTCCCCTCAGCAGCCTCCACTGCTGAACACAAATACACACACACACACACACACCTACACACACACACACTTACCGAACCAATGAAGAAGTCCAAAACCGAGTCATTGCCCTCAAACCTCAGAAGTCCTGCAACCACATCACAGAGCTACTGTCAACTAAATATATTACATTTTGCCATGACAATGCATAAATCCGGCACATGACAGGAATGTATTCCCCACACACCTCTGTCACCATCGCTGTCATAGACTGCTGTTGGTGTGAGTATGGTCCCTCCTATGACCAGACACTGGAGCAGGTTCAGGTAAACCAGATATCTCAGGAACACAAAATAAGCCTTCACACCTACACCAAATCTACCTGGAGGGGGAGGAGAGAGAGACAGGTGGTGGTGGTGGTGGTGCAGGGCCACGTTCAGTTGCCAAACGCTGTCCAACGTTGCATGTTAGTTCTACGTAACATATTTCTGTCTGAAAACTCCAAAATGTTGCGCCATGATGATGAAGCCTCAGTATTTACATGCCTTAAAGTAACTGTCCAGTGTTTCCACATTTATTAATTAATATTATTATTTTCTCCAATGTATGCTTTGGTCACAAATACGACTATAGGATGAGTCAACAACATTATTTGGATATGAGTTAACAGAATATTAACTTTTAAAAGTGAGATGTTCACTGGAATGCCTTTTTTTCTCTCTCTCTCTCTCTTGCTCTTCACACACACACACACTCTGTTTTCTCTCACCTTCAATGGTGTGGAGGATGCTGCTCCATGGTAAAAGCCTTGACATGGCCTTGCCGACCTGCTCCCAGAGCCTCTTCCTGTTTATGCTCTGGTTCCGCTTCCATGACTCCCATCGGCCAATAGTAGGCGTCTGCAGGTGCCTCAGGTCCCTGATTGACAGATGACACACCTCTTTACCAGCAAGTATTTTTCAATTTTTTTTATTTTTTAAACTATTTTCTACATTGTATAATAATAGTGAAGACATCAAAACTATGAAATAACACATATTGAATCCTGTAGTAACCAAAAAAGTGTTAAACAAATCCAAATATATTTTATATTTGAGATTCTTTAAATAGCCACCCTTTGCCTTGATGACAGCTTTGCACACTCTTTGCATTCTCTCAACCAGCTTCATGAGGTACTCACTTGGAATGCATTTCAATTAACAGGTGTGCCTTCTTAAAAGTTAATTTGTGGAATTTCTTTCCTTCTTAATGCGTTTGAGCCAATTAGTTGTGTTGTGACAAGGTGGGGGTGGTATACAGAAGATAGCCCTATTTGGTAAAAGACCAAGTCCATATTATGGCAAGAACAGCTCAAATAAACAAAGTGAAACGACAGTCCATCATTACTTTAAGACATGAAGGTCAGTCAATACGGAACATTTCAAGAACTTTCAATGTTTCTTCAAGTTAGTTGCAAAAACCATCAAGCGCTATGATGAAACTGGCTCTCATGAGGAACTCCACAGGAATGGAAGACCCAGAGTTACCTCTACTGCAGAGGATAAATTCATTAGAGTTACCAGCCCAAATAAATGCTTCACAAGAGTTCAAGTCACAGACACATCTCAACATCAACTGTTCAGAGGGGACTGTGTGAATCAGGCCTTCATGGTCGAATTGCTGCTAAGAAACAACTACTAAAGGACACCAATAAGAAGAAGAGACCTGCTTTTGCCAAGAAACACGAGCAATGGACTTTAGACCTGTGGAAATGTGTCCTTTGGTCTGGAGTCCAAATTTGAGATTTTTGGTTCCAACCGGCGTGTCATTGTGAGACGCATTGTGGGTGAACGGATTATTTCTGCATGTGTAGTTCCCACCGTAAAGCATGGAGGAGGAGGTGTTATTGTGTGGGTGTGCTTTGCTGGTGACACTGTAGGTGATTTATTTAGAATTGACACTTAACCAGCATGGCTACCACAGCATTCTGCAGCGATACGCCATCCCATCTGATTTGGGCTTAGTGGGACTATCATTTGTTTTTCAACAGGACAATGACCCAACACACCTCCAGTCTGTGTAAGGGCTATTTTACCAAGAAGGAGAGTGATGGAGTGCTGCATCAGGTGACTGGCCTCCACAATCCCCCTACCTCAACCCAATTGAGATGGTTTGGGATGAGTCGGACGGCAGAGTGAAGGAAAAGCAGCCAACAAGTGCTCAGCATATGTGGGCGGCAGGTGGCTTAGTGGTTAAGAGCGTTGTGCCAGTAACCGAAAGGTCGCTGGTTCTAATCCCCGAGCCGACTAGGTGAAAGATCTGTCGATGTGCCCTTGAGCAAGGCACTTAACCCAAATTGCTCATGTAAGTCGCTCTGGATAAGAGCGTCTGCTAAATGACTAAAATAAAATAAATAATAAAAAATATATGTGGGAACTCCTTCAAGACTGTTGGAAAAGCATTCCAGGTGAAGCTGGTTGAGAGAATGCCAAGAGTGTGCAAAGCTGTCATCAAGGCAAAGGGTGTCTATTCGAAGAATCTCAAATATAAAATATATTTTGATTTGTTTAACACTTTTTTGGTTACTACATGATACCATATGTGTTATTTCATAGTTTTGATGTCTTCACTATTATTCTACAATGTAGAAAATAGTAAAAAAAATTAGAAAAACCCTGGAATGAGTAGGTGTGTCCAAACTTTTGACTGGTACTGTATATATATATATATATATATATATATATATATATATATATATATATATGACACATCTCTTTACCAGCAAGTCTTTTTAAAAAATCTTATATCTTGTATCATTTTACAGCTGCATCACACATCCATATCCACACACACCCCAAATCTCTCACTCTACCTGCTATGATAACATAAACACTGAAACAGAGAATGGTAAAGCAACTTGCAACACTGCCTCCATGACCCTTGTCTTATTCTAGAAACAGTTTGGTGAATATTTGCACGTGTGTGCGACACCTGTGTGTGTTTATGTGTGTGTGTGTGTGTGTGTGTACGTTCATGTGATCTCTCCACACAACCTCTCTATCACTCACCTTGCCTCTCTCTTCCTCTGCATACAGACCGGCAGACTCCTGATCGGCTGGGTAGGGGCCCTGTCCCTGGCTCCTCCTGCCTGGCCAGGGTGCATCTCTACTGGGTGCGATGTCTCCGTGGTCCCCCTGTCCTGGTGGTGGTGGGTCCGTCGGGCCAGAGAGCTGGGGAGCTGGTCAAAGATCTCAGTCTGGTAGTAGACACGCGACTCGTCTGTCACAGTGGAGCTACAGCTCTCCTCTATTGGGGGGAATGGAGAGAGGGATGGATAGAGTGAGATGGAATGAGCCGGGAGGGGCCTGCCGAGTGGCGCAGCAGTCTAAGGCACTGCATTGCAGTGCTAGAGGCTTCACTACTGACCTGGGTTCGACCGGGAGACCCATGAGGTGGCGCACAATTGGCCCCAGCGTCGTCCGGGTTATTGGAGGGTTTGGCCAGCCGGGATGCCCTCCCCAGCATTATTGTAGCCATCTGCTGCAGCCTGTCAACTATGCCTCTGCCTATCCCTGTTCTCTCCTCTCCGCACAGGCTACACAAACGCCTCACCACCGCGTGGCTGCTGCCTCTCTAACCTGGTGGTCCCTGCACGCATGACCCACGTGGAGTTCCAGGTCTCAGGCAGCCTCTGGAACTGCCGTTCTGCTGCCAACAAGGCAGACTTCATCCCAGCCTATGCTACCCTCCAGTCCCTCGACTTCTTGGCGCTGACGGAAACATGGATTACCACTGAAAACACTGCTACTCCTGCTGCTCTCTCCTCGTCTGACCATGTGTTCTCGCATACCCCGAGAGCATCTGGTCAGCGGGGTGGTGGCACAGGAATCCTCATCTCTCCCAAGTGGACATTCTCAATTTTTCCCCTGATCCATCTGTCTATCTCCTCATTTGAATTCCCTGCTGTCACAGTCACTAGCCCATTTAAGCTTAATATCCTTGTCATCTATCGCCCTCCAGGTTCCCTTGGAGAGTTCATCAATGAGCTTGACGCCTTGATAAGTTCCTTTCCTGAGGATGGCTCACCCCTCACAGTTCTGGGGTATTTCAACCTCCCTACGTCTACATTTGACTCATTTCTCTCTGCCTCCTTCTTTCCACTCCTCTCCTCTTTTGACCTCACCCTCTCACCGTCCCCCCCCTACTCACAAGGCAGGCAATACGCTTGACCTCATCTTTACTAGATGCTGTTCTTCTACTAATCTCACTGCAACTCCCCTCCAAGTCTCCGACCACTACTTTGTATCCTTTTCTCTCTCCCTCTCCTCCAACACTACTCACTCTGCCCCTACACAGATGGTAATGCGCCGTCGCAACCTTCGCTCTCTCTCTCCCGCTACTCTCTCCTCTTCCATCCTATCATTTCTTCCCTCTACTCAATCCTTCTCCCTCCAATCTCCTGATCTGCCTCCTCAACCCTCCTCTCCTCCCTTTCTGCATCCTTTGACTCTCTATGTCCCCTATCCTCCCGGCCGGCTCGGTCCTCCCCTCCAGCTCCGTGGCTTGATGACTCATTGCGAGCTCACAGAACAGAGCTCCGGGCAGCTGAGCGGAAATGGAAGAAAACTAGACTTCCTGCAGACCTGGCATCTTTTCACTCCCTCCTCTCTACATTTTCTTCATCTGTTTCTGCTGCTAAGGGCCACTTTCTACCACTACTAAATTCCAAGCATCCACCTCTAACCCTAGGAAGCTCTTTGCCACATTCTCCTCCCTGCTGAATCGCCCCCCCCCCCTCCCTCTCTGTGGATGACTTCGTCAACCATTTGAAAAGAAGGTTGACGACATCCGATCCTCGTTTGTTAAGTCAAATGACACTGCTGGTCCTGCTCACACTGCCCTACCCTATGCTTTGACTTCTTTCTCCCCTCTCTCTCCAGATAAAATCTTGCGACTTGTGACGGCAGGCCGCCCAACAACCTGCCCGCTTGACCCATCCCCTCCTCTCTTCTCCAGACCATCTCCGGTGACCTTCTCCCTTACCTCACCTCGCTGATCAACTCATCCTTGACCGCTGGCTATGTCCCTTCCGTCTTCAAGAGAGCGAGAGTTGCACCCCTTCTCAAAAAACCAACACTCGATCCCTCTGATGTCAACAACTACAGACCAGTATCCCTTCTTTCTTTTCTTTCCAAAACTATTGAGCATGCCGTCTTTAGCCAACTCTCTTGCTATCTCTCTCAGAATGACCTTCTTGATCCAAACCAGTCAGGTTTCAAGACTGGTCATTCAACTGAGACTGCTCTTCTCTGTGTCACAGAGGCTCTCCGCACTGCTAAATCTAACTCTCTCTCCTCTGCTCTTGTCCTTCTAGACCTGTCTGCTGACTTTGATACTGTGAACCATCAGATCCTCCTCTCCACCCTCTCCGAGCTGGGCATCTCCGACGCGGCTCACTCTTGGATTGCGTCCTACCTGACCGGTCGCTCCTACCAAGTGGCGTGGCGAGAAGCTGTCTCTGCACCACGTGCTCTCACCACTGGTGTCCCCCAGGGCTCAGTTCTAGGCCCTCTCCTATTCTCGCTATACACCAAATCACTTGGCTCTGTCATATCCTCACATGGCCTCTCCTATCATTGCTACGCTGACGACACACAACTAATCTTCTCCTTTCCCCCTTCTGATAACCAGGTGGCAAATCGCATCTCTGCATGTCTGGCAGACATATCAGTATGGATGACGGATCACCACCTCAAGCTGAACCTCGGCAAGACGGAGCTGCTCTTCCTCCCGGGGAAGGACTGCCCGTTCCATGATCTCGCCATCACGGTTGACAACTCCGTTGTGTCCTCCTCCCAGAGTGCGAAGAGCCTTGGCGTGACCATGGACAACACCCTGTCGTTCTCCGCTAACATCAAGGCGGTGACCCGATCCTGTAGGTTCATGCTCTACAACATTCGGAGAGTACGACCCTGCCTTACACAGGAAGCGGCACAGGTCCTAATCCAGGCACTTGTCATCTCCCGTCTGGATTACTGCAACTCGCTGTTGGCTGGGCTCCCTGCCTGCCATTAAACCCCTACAACTCATCCAGAATGCCGCAGCCCGTCTGGTGTTCAACCTTCCCAAGTTCTCTCACGTCACCCCGCTCCTCCGCACACTCCACTGGCTTCCAGTTGAAGCTCGCATCTGCTACAAGACCATGGTGCTTGCCTACGGAGCTGTGAGGGGAACGGCACCTCCGTACCTTCAGGCTCTGATCAGTCCCTACACCCAAACGAGGGCACTGCGTTCATCCACCTCTGGCCTGCTGGCTCCCCTACCTCTGCGGAAGCATAGTTCCCGCTCAGCCCAGTCAAAACTGTTCGCTGCTCTGGCACCCCAATGGTGGAACAAGCTCCCTCACGACGCCAGGACAGCGGAGTCACTCACCACCTTCCGGAGACATTTGAAACCCCACCTCTTTAAGGAATACCTGGGATAGGATAAAGTAATCCTTCTACCCCCCCCCCCCCCCCCCCTTTACTCCAACCCCCCCCCCCCCCAAAAAAAAAGAATAATAACAACAACAACAAAAAAAATATATATATATAAAAAAAACTTAGTAAAGTGGTTAACCCACTGGCTATAAGGTGAATGCACCTATTTGTCTGCTAAATGACGTAAATGTAAATGTAAATGTAATGTCCTTGTCCCATTGCGCTCTAGCGACTCCTTGTGGTGGGCCGGGTGCTTGCACGCTGACTCGTGTCGCCAGTTATACGGTGTGTTTCCACCGACACATTGGTGCGGCTGGCTTCCGGGTTAAGCGAGCAGTGTATCAAGAAGCAGTGCGGCTTGGCGGGGTCGTGTTTCGGAGGACGCATTGGCTCTCGACCTTCGCCTCTCCCGAGTCCGTATGGGAGTTGCAGCGATGGGACAAGACTGTAACTACCAATTGGATATCATGAAATTGGGGAGAAAAAGTGGTGAAAAGTACATGAAATTAAAAAGAATGAGCAGGAAGGAGAGAGATTCATCTATGGAAGGATGGACCTACAGCTCTCCTCTATTGGGGGGGATGGAGAGAGGGATAGATAGAGTGAGAAGGGAGGAGAGCATCTATGAAGGGATGGAGAGTGAGAGAGGGGGGTGGAGAGGTAGAGAGAGAAGGGGATAGATAGAGTGAGAAGGGAGGAGAGCATCTATGAAGGGATGAAGAGAGTGAGAGAGGGGGATGGAGAGGTAGAGAGAGAGGGGGATGGATAGAGTGAGAAGGGAGGAGAGCATCTATGAAGGGAAAAACAACACATTACTGCACCTATCCAGTGTATCCCATGATCAATCAATGGGAAATATGATTATACTCTTAGGTAAAGTATTTACTTTTAGGGCAATCTCTGTAGAAATGGTCCAAATAGAGAAGTTAAAGACCCTGAGTTTTTCCCCACAAAAGTGCATTATTACAGACAGAAATACTCCTCAGCACATTTCCGTGATCTTTTATTTCAGCTCATGAAACATGGGACCAACACTTTACGTGTTACATTTATATTTTTGTTCAGTATATATTATATAACTGTATGTATTGAATTATAACTATAACTGATTCAAGTATATTTAGCCAGATCCTAATTGGTATGTCAAATTTTATGTTCCTTTTGATGGCATAGAAGGCCCTTCTTGCCTTCTCTCTCTCTCTCTCTCTCTCTCTCTCTCTCTCTCTCTCTCTCTCCTCTCTCGCTCTCTCTCTCTCTCTCTCTCTCTAAATTCAATTCAATTCAATTTCAATTCAAGCTGCTTTTCTCTCTCTCTCTCTCTCTCTCTCTCTCTCTCTCTCTCTCTCTCTCTCTCTCTCTTCTCTCTCTCTCTCTCTCTCTCTCTCTCTCGGTCTCTCTCTCTCACTAACACACACACACAAACAAACACACACATCTCTGAAAACTGAAAGTTTAAAGCTGCATATTCAGCTGTTGATTATAACAAACAAACCGTTCCACTGTAGATGTTTATTATAAATTCAAATTCAAATGACATAAAATACATATATCAGTGGCTTGACTGTCACAATATATTTTTAATGAAGTCTTCATACAACTGAAATTAAAAAGCTAAATAGTTAGTTCTACCAACTGAGGTGGTGTGTTATAACACATAGAAGATGGAAGAGGCCCACACCACACACACACACACACACACACACACACACACACACACACACACAGAAACACGTTTACCTGATACGAGCCTCATGATGCCGACGCTGTTGCATTCTTTGTCCTCCATGTTTCTTCTAGGTCTTCCAGGTAACTACTGTTTCCGCTTCCTGATCTTACATACACATGCTCGCACACACACACTCATATGTGCACATGCTGTACAGTCACTAAATGCTGTACACACATTTAATCACAACTCTCCTCAAACACACATTCACACACTCCCCATCCAATATCAGCTTCGCATCAGCCTCTCTCTCTCTCTCTCTCTCTCTCTCTCTCTCTCTCTCTCTCTCTCTCTCTCTCTCTCTCTCTCTCTCGCTCTCTCTCTGTCTCTCTCTCCCCTCTACCTTAGATACATCATTCTCCCCTATAAGCTGCAGCTTTTGTCGACAGGTTTCAGGAAATCACATGACAGGAAACAGAGATGGGTGTTGCTTTATTGAGTCTGTTATTGAGAAGGAAGACACACACACACAAATTCACATTTACACACTTACACACTTATATACATACACACTGCTAACAGGCCTGGCTGGACTAGGTTGAAGAGGAGCGGAATGGAGAGGGTCCAGAGCAGGTAAGTTGGTCAGTGTGTGTGTGCCTTTTCTGAAACGCTCCTGAAATAGCAGCCCCTCATATCAGGCTTGGACAGCCTGGGATGCAAATGCAAGTTGGTGATATTTGGAAGTCTCGGCCACGTACACAGGCTCACAGTACGTGGCCTTCAGATTGCAGGCCTGCCTAAGAGTAGGGCAAAACAACTGACTAGGTACTGTTTCAGACGTTATGGGCAGCATAGCTGTGTGGAGGATATACTTTTGGAGGATATACTGTCCTTGTTCAGGGGTTGTTGACAGTGACACACACACACAGATAGACACTGATGTTCACGCATGCATACACACATGTTAACGAATGTTTTGTTTTGTGTTTGAAGGGTCACGTGGTCTTTGTGAAGAGGTCAAGCACACTAGAACACTACCAGCACACAGAGCAATAATCATAACCAGTGGCTGCGGTTCCGGATTGTCTGGAAACCTGATTTGCCGTGGCTAAAGATGCAGAGATTTCTGCACATGTGCAGGATTCTTTGTTTTTTTACGTAGCTGCTGCTCAGTTCTCCGCTGCAGCTTCCCCCTCCTTGATCGGCGATAAGGGCCATTGTCTGGTGTAGCCTACAAAACTTAATGTTGTACACAAAGGACATGATTGAGATGTTCCAACTACTGCATTCCCTGTCCCAGTAGACTATTAAACATAAACACGATTTCAGGTTCTTTTTTCAGGAGAGGAGTTGAGTTTGTACACAAAACTCTCAGTTGGTTTTTTTGTCCCAATGCAAAACTCAAGTGGGGATTTACATGCAGCTATCTAGGCAGCATATCAAACAAGCAAGACACAGACACGCAGTCTAATAGCGATGTAATGTTCTTTTTTTAATCATCATTGCGAACATTGGCTAAGCAGGAGGCAGACTGATAAAGAAATGTGTGAGTAAGATATGACTGAAATGTCACATCCTCAGTTAAACTAATAATGTATGACTATTAGAAGACTAGAGCTTAGAGAGTTAATCATATGTGCTTATATAAGATGTATATTTGTGTCTTGTAGTTAGGCAAGCAGAAGTGCAAACGTTGAAACCAATAACAGGAGACAGGTTTCAAAAACAGATGTCCCCACACAGGGAGGGGGAGTGAGAGGCTTGCAGAATATTGTGAGAACGCGATAACTATGTATGGGAATAGTGAAAAAATGCAGCCTGCCTGAGCAAGGAGTAGGCTATGATAAGAACGTGTGTGTGTGTGTGTGTGTGTGTGTGTGTGTGTGTGTGTGTGTGTGTGTGTGTGTGTGTGTGTGTGTGTGTGTGTGTGTGTGTGTGTGTGTGTGTGTGTGTGTGAGTATAAAAAGACTGTGCACCCATTTTGGGGCAGAGCGCTCTCTGAATAAAGACTTGACAACTGTAAGCTGGGAGATTCTGTCTGTTTATTAGAGATATATAACCTCTGGGATACAGATTGAGTAATATAACAGTTCAGTTTCAAACATTGAGATGGAAATTCTCGTGACACAGAGTCAAAGTAGTAGTGTTGTTTTTCAGCAACTCTGGCTGATGATTACGATATGGCAGCAACTACAAAGATTAGTCTACATCGTCACACAAAACGCAGATTGTTTTTGCTCCAATGTGTAGGGACTACGTCCTGCTTGTGTACCTGCAATATCCGTGACAACAGTAATTCTAACAATTCACTGGTGATACACACACACACACACATGTTTTGATTTAAGCCTTGTTTCTGTTAGAGGCTTTAGTTCATTAGCTGGTATGAATTTTCTTGAACTCTAAACGCTAGCACACACACCACCTCCAGTTTGTTATAAGCATGATGTTTGTAGTTACGCTACATGGGTTTAAATGTGTTTCAAAGCAACAGGACAGGAAGTGTCTTCTTTGTATTTGAGTTGGGACTAAACAACGCAACACAGATTTTAGGAGTAAACAAGCCTGAACTCCTACAATACAATGTTCTTTGAGGCAACTCTTTGAGGCTCAGTTCTGTACAGTACCAGTATCCAGCCAGACCCATTGTTCCCACAGAACAGACTGACTGTGTTTGTTTGACTGTTTGTATAGTCTTTGTTCCTTTGTTGTGTGTGTGTGTGTTCTTGTATTTACTGAGGAGAATCTTCTGAGTGAGTCTCTTCCTGTTGTGTTCAACTGCAGGTTCCCTGGGGAGCAAAAGGCTTGTGATTGTGGTTCCTTTCGAATTAGGTCTTAAAGGCCATGAAATATTTAATATGAAGAGTTGTCAGTGCTTATCAAGGTGGTCAAAGCCTAGTGGTGAGGGAGTGTTTACACAATGTCTGTCTGTTTTCTGAACATTGGTTACTGGTTAGGGGTGTGTTTGTTTTTAGTGGTTAGAAGTGTATGTATGTGTGTTTGTATCCGACCCACTGAGTACCTCTCACTCTCTGAGAACCGGATCTCTCTATATCCCCCTCCCAATCAAACACCCCGCTCGAGCGAGAAGCAAAAGTCTCCCCCCAGAGGAATAAGGGGAGAAAAAGAAGAAGAGGCTCATCCTCAGCCCTCTCTCAAGAAGACTCTCAAAGAGAAACAACAAAAAGAGGAAGAATCATCGAAAAGAAAGAAGAAAAAGGAGGAAAAAGGAGAGGGGAAGATAAAAAAAAAACGAGAAAAAGAGAACGAACAGAGAGCCTCCGCTCCCTCCCCCTCTCCTCGTCTCCTCGTCCCCTTTCTCCCTCCTCTCCCCCTCTCTCTCTCTCTCCCCCGTCCTCTCTCCCTCTTCTCTCTCCCCCCTCTCTCTCTCCCCCTCTCTGCCTCTCCCTCCCTCTCTCTTTCTCTCCCTCTCTCCCTTCCTCCCCCCCCCCCCCCTCTCTCTGTAATAGGAGCCCAGTGGATGAGGAGGGGGTCCATGACTTCTTCCTCCACTCCCTACAGCTGTGGCAGGTGAGGCTCTCTATCTCTCTCTCTCTCCTCTCACACACACATTATATCTCTGTTCTTTCTCACTATCTCTGTTCCTCTTCCCCAGGTGGCGCTGAAGAGGGTGAGCGGTCGTTTCGGCACCGGCGTCCTCTCCTACTTCCTGTTCGTCAAGACCCTCCTCTTCTTCAACATCTTCCTGTTCCTGGTCACGGTTTTGTTCCTGGCCCTGCCCCAGACAGTACACCCCCCCAGGTTAACCCAGGGACACGTAGCCTTCTCTGGGCTGGAGCTGCTCTCTGGAGGGGTAAGAACCAGACATTCACCTCATACCAAACATACTGTCCCATACCCCCAAACAGCACCAGGCAGTACACCCCCCCAGGTTAACCCAGGGACACGTAGCCTTCTCTGGGCTGGAGCTGCTCTCTGGAGGGGTAAGAACCAGACATTCACCTCATACCAAACATACTGTCCCATACCCCCAAACAGCACCAGGCAGTACACCCCCCCAGGTTAACCCAGGGACACGTAGCCTTCTCTGGGCTGGAGCTGCTCACTGGAGGGGTAAGAACCAGACATTCACCTCATACCAAACATACTGTCCCATACCCCCAAACAGCACCAGGCAGTACACCCCTCCAGGCTGCTCACTGGAGGAGTATCCTCATACCAAACATACCTCCCCCTCTCCGTCCCCCGTCTCACTCTCTCCCTCCTCTCTCTCTCTCTCTCTCTCTCTCTCTCTCTCTCCCCCTCTCCCCAGGGTTATTTCTCAGACTCAGTGATGTACTATTGTTACTATAGTAACTCTACCCTGTATAAGAACTGTAGTGTCAGTAGTAGCGGTATGGACCAGCAGCCCAGTCACTCTCCATCTAAAAGGACAATGGAAACAGACTGTGGAGTGAAGCTGTCCTACAACATGCCCCTGGCGTACTTCTTCACCATAGGAGGAGCTTTCTTCATCACCTGCATCATCCTCGTCTACAGGTGTGTGTGTGTGGGGGGGGGGGGGGGGGTGTCTCTGTCTTTCATCAGAGAGAGAGAGAGACTACTTCAGTGTACACTGAGTATACCAAACATTAGGAACACCTTCCTAATACTGAGTTGCACCCCCTTTTGCCCTCAGAACAGCCTCAATTTGTCAGGGTTATGGACTCTACAAGGTGTTGAAAGCGTTCCACAGGGATGCGCTGGCCCATGTTGACTCCAATGCTTCCCACAGTTGTGTCAAGTTGGCTGGATGTCCTTTGGGTGGTGGGCCATGCTTGATACACACGGGAAACTGTTGAGCGTGAAAAACCCAGCAGCGTTGCAGTTCTTGACACACTCAAACCGGTGCACCTGGCACCTACTACCATACCCTGTTCGAAGGCACTTCAATCTTTTGTCTTGTCCATTCACCCTCTGAATTGCACACATACACAATCCATGTCTCAATTGTCCCAAGGCTTAAAAACCCTTCTGTAAAATGTCTCCTCCCCTTCATCTACACTGATTGAAGTGGATTTAACAAGTGACATCAATTAGGGATCATAGTTTTCACCTGGATTCACCTGGTCAGTCTGTCATGGAAAGAGCAGGTGTTCCTAATGTTTTGTACACTCAGTGTATTTAGATGTTAAATGACAGGACTTACAGGACTAACAGTTCACAAAGTAAGGGGTGTGTGTGTGTCCTCCCCCCAGCATGTCCAAGTCGTTTGGTCAGAGTTTCCGTATAGACAAGTCTCATGGTATCCTGGCGATGAAGGTGTTCACTTCCTGGGACTTTAAAGTCATCAAGAAGACCTCCGTCAAACTCCGCTCTGAAAACATCTGCACTCAACTCAAGGTAGGGACACGTACAGATGCACGCTCCTTTGACACGTACACACACAGTTTGTGGTTGTCCGGTATCCTTTTGAACTTCCAGGTCAATATCGAGCTACTCCAGTTTGTTTTCTTTTAATTTGTCAAAGGACATTCTCCTTACAGCGTCCTATACATCCCACACACACTCCCATACACACACACACTCCCATACACACACACACTCCCATACACACACACACACACACACTCCCATACACACACACACTCCCACACTCTCCCATACACTCTCATACACACATACACTCCCATCACACATACACACACATGCAATAATGTTGTTAGTCAGTCAGGAATGTGATGACATAAGATATTTGTTTTGTTTTGCAAAAAACTTGAAGAGGAAAAAGCTAATTCGCCTAATTAATCATGATCAGTTGTTAGAGGAGACTAATCGTAACCATGTCTCTCTCTCTCTCTCTCTCTCTGTAGGAGTTGTTGGAGGAGACTAATCGTAACCATGTCTCTCTCTCTCTCTCTCTGTAGGAGTTGTTGGAGGAGACTAATCGTAACCATGTCCCTCTCTCTGTAGGAGTTGTTGGAGGAGACTAATTGTAACCATGTCTCTCTCTCTCTGTAGGAGTTGTTGGAGGAGACTAATCGTAACCATGTCTCTCTCTCTGTCTGTAGGAGTTGTTGGAGGAGACTAATCGTAACCATGTCCCTCTCTCTGTAGGAGTTGTTGGAGGGACTAATCGTAACCATGTCTCTCTCTCTGTAGGAGTTGTTGGAGGAGACTAATCGTAACCATGTCTCTCTCTCTGTCTGTAGGAGTTGTTGGAAGAGACTAATCGGAAGCATGTCTCTCTCTCTCTGTAGGAGTTGTTAGAGGAGACTAATCGTAACCATGTCTCTCTCTCTCTCTGTCTGTAGGAGTTGTTGGAAGAGACTAATCGGAAGCATGTCTCTCTCTCTCTCTGTAGGAGTTGTTAGAGGAGACTAATCGTAACCATGTCTCTCTCTGTCTGTAGGAGTTGTTGGAGGGACTAATCGTAACCATGTCTCTCTCTCTGTAGGAGTTGTTGGAGGAGACTAATCGTAACCATGTCTCTCTCTCTGTCTGTAGGAGTTGTTGGAGGAGACTAATCGTAACCATGTCTCTCTCTCTGTCTGTAGGAGTTGTTGGAGGAGACTAATCGTAACCATGTCTCTCTCTCTGTAGGAGTTGTTGGAGGAGACTAATCGTAACCATGTCTCTCTCTCTCTCTGTCTGTAGGAGTTGTTGGAGGAGACTAATCGGAAGCATGTCCAGAAGACAGTGTGTCAGAGAATAGGACGTGTGACAGTACATGGTCTGGCATGGTTCATCTGTATAGGCAGTACTGTGGCCTGTGTTCTAGCTCTGTACTACTTCTCTGCAGTGGCGGCTCCTGAAAAAATTCTCAGGGGGGGCAATTTTTCTGATGATTTAGGTGACCTACACACATTTTAAAAAAGATATGTCCAGCAACAACATGAAGACAGGGGCAGCATATAAGTCAATACTGATATACACATTACTTGCTTCAAAAAGGCCTCATGGTTGAATTGGAAATATGTGCACCTGAGCAAGCAGGAGCTTTTGATAGAGGCTACTGAAAACATTGATGCAAGTTATTGGTAATAAGAAATTTTTATAGACTTCCATATTCTGCCCTCTTGTATAGATTTGTGAAAATGAACAGTGATAGACATTTTGCCTGAAAACAGAATTTGAAAATAATTTATAGAAAAGGTAAACACAGCTATCTGTATGGCTTTGTAAATATGAACAACCATATTCTGGCCAATTGTATAGATTTGTAAAAAAAATTGTTTACTTTTTTTAAAATGAAAAATAACTATTTTAAACAACATCAACTGTGAACTGATTTGGGCGTGTGTGTGTTAAAGAGACAGACAGGGAGGGACAAAGAGAGAGAGAGGCTACATTACTTGTACTGAAACTGTTCTCTTCTCTCTTTCAATGCAGCAAAGCGGTCAATGACTTTCTCATTGAAATCAGGCATGCTGAGGACTAGTTTACTAGTTACTTTTTAGCTTGCTGCATGATCAAATTCAGCTGATGCGCATAGCAATGCACGTAATGGCCTTTCTTGAAATGCTCACGCACCTTTTGCCTTCTCTCGCCTCATCACACTGGCTCCATCGTAAGCTTGCGCAATGAGTTTGACTTTCACGTCGTCGGCAAAAAGACCGTTCAGTCTCTCCAAAAGCACACTGGCGATTGAGACTGAGGTTGATTCCGAGATGGGAAGGAACTCAAAAAAGCGCTCCTGCACTTTGTGGTTGTCTCTTTGATGTGAACTTCTTTCAAAGAGACAATCGAGTTGCACTGAACGCTATAGCCATCTTGATAGTAGTACGTGAATTGATTGATGCTGCTACCCGCTCTTTTCTTAGTTACGTTCATGGTTACGTTACGTATGACGAAAGCGCGTAAGTGCAAGCCCTCAGAAACCCATAGAGATTGTATTGAAAGCTCTGAAATTTGAAAAAAATAGATTTTACATGGGAGTCTATGACAGACTTCTGGGCGATTTTCAACCTGACTGAAATCGCCCCAAAAGGGGGGGGGGGGGGGCATTTGAAGCACGACTTTAGCCTGATTGGACATTTAGTGGCAGTGTGGCACTGTGGCAGATCAGACGTCTAGATTACAACACTGATAACTACTGTTGCCGTGATATAATTGATTAGAAAAAAAAATCCCTTCCTTTTCCCGTTTGGCAGTGCGTCGCCCATATCGCCCTATTGAACACACCGCCCCTGCTTCTCTGAGTACATGCACAAGGTAAGAGACACACTTTTTCAGATCCTGTACATTGCTTTCATCCTCCACTTTCATCTTCCACCTTCACACCTTCTTCCTCCCTCTCTAGGACCTCCAGTACAGATCTCGTATTCCCACTAAGGACCCTCTCCTGAAGGAAGCCAGTCTGTTAGCCCTGCCAGTCGTAGTGTCTCTCATCAACCTCCTGCTCCCTGGCCTCTTCAACGCTACTGCCTGGATGGAGGAGTACGACTCGCCCAGCGTACACACATACGTCTCCATCAGCAGGTAGAGGGGTGGAACTGCAGTCCACAAACTTAATTTAGACGTTTTTGTGTGGATGGAGGAGTATGACTCCCCCATCGTACGCACATACATCGCCATCTGTAGGTAGAGGGGTGGAAGTGCATCCTACAGACGTAATGGGAAGTTAATGGAGAGTTTATGGAAATCAAGAGTCTTGCTAGTTGACAGAAGTGTGTGTGTTTGTCTGTGTGTTCTAAACATTTAAAAAATCTACTATTTGTGTGTTTGAGGAACCTGATGTTGAAAGTGAGCGTGCTCGTAGTGCTGTGCTTCCATTGGCTGGGCCGGATCGCTTCTGACCCCAACAGCATCGGCCTGCAGGTGAGAGGAACATTTGCGTTCCAGCATTCCGATTCTGTCCCAACATTCCAATTACAGCATTATCAACTCGACAGTGTCCAGAACTATTTTGCTCAAAATGAAATCTGTGCTGCTGTTATGACTGGTGTCTCCTGTGTTGTTGTTGATATTGATGATGTTGATATTGTTGATATTGATGATGTGGTTAATATTGATGTTGTTGATATTGATGATGATGTTGATATATAGTCCTGTGTAGCTCAGTTGGTAGAGCATGGCGCTTGCAACGCCAGGGTTGTGGGTTCGATTCCCACGGGGGGCCAGTATGAAAATGTATGCACTCACTAACTGTAAGTCGCTCTGGATAAGAGCGTCTGCTAACTGAATAAATTGTCAAATGTAAATATTGTTGTTGTTGTTGATGTAGTTTCTTGTGTTGTTGTTGTCAGTGCTGGGAGAGTTTTGTAGGACAGGAGCTGTACCGCTTCCTCCTCATGGATTTCATCTTTACCATACTGGACACCTTCTTTGGAGAGTTCCTCTGGAGGTGGGTACTCTGTCTGTCTCTCTCTCTCTCTCTGTCTGTCTCTTGTCTCTCTCTCTCTCTCGCTCTCTGTCTCTCTCTCTCCCTCATATTTTCTTGCTCATAAACTCGGCAACTCTTTCAACGCATTATACAGTCTCTATCGCTTTCTTTCCCATTCTCAATCCTTTATCCCTTATTATTCTCTCTCCTTCTCTCCCTCTCTCCTTCTCTCTCTCTCCTGCAGGTTGTTTTCTCAGAGGGTGTTGAAGAGGAAAAGGAAGCCGGTGTTTGACATCGCCAGGAACGTGTTGGAACTCATCTACGGACAGACACTGGCCTGGTATGACCTCTAACCCTGGCCCTAAACCTAACCTTAACCCTACACCTAGCCTTAACCCTGGCCTGGTATGACCTCTAACCCTGGCCCTAAACCTAACCTTAACCCTACACCTAGCCTTAACCCTGGCCTGGTATGACCTCTAACCCTGGCCCTAAACCTAACCTTAACCCTACACCTAGCCTTAACCCTGGCCTGGTATGACCTCTAACCCTGGCCCTAAACCTAACCTTAACCCTACACCTAGCCTTAACCCTGGCCTGGTATGACCTCTAACCCTGGCCCTAAACCTAACCTTAACCCTACACCTAGCCTTAACCCTGGCCTGGTATGACCTCTAACCCTGGCCCTAAACCTAACCTTAACCCTACACCTAGCCTTAACCCTGGCCTGGTATGACCTCTAACCCTGGCCCTAAACCTAACCTTAACCCTACACCTAGCCTTAACCCTGGCCTGGTATGACCTCTAACCCTGGCCCTAAACCTAACCTTAACCATACACCTAGCCTTAACCCTGGCCTGGTATGACCTCTAACCCTGGCCCTAAACCTAACCTTGTACACTTGAGTCTCTGTGTTGTGGAGGTTGGGGTGTTGTAGTGATGTATCATGTCTGTGTTGGGGTGTTGTAGTGATGTTGTATTGTCTGGAGGTTGGGGGGGTTGTAGTGATGTTGTATCATGTCTGTTGTGGAGGTTGGGGGTGTTGTAGTGATGTTGTATCATGTCTGTTGTGGAGGTTGGGGGTGTTGTAGTGATGTTGTATCATGTCTGTTGTGGAGGTTGGGGGTGTTGTAGAGATGTTGTATCATGTCTGTGTTGTGGGGGTGTTGTAGTGATGTTGTATCATGTGTGTTGTGGAGGTTGGGGGTGTTGTAGTGATGTTGTATCATGTCTGTGTTGTTGAGGTTGGGGTGATGTTGTATCATGTCTGTGTTGTGGAGGTTGGGGGTGTTGTAGTGATGTTGTATGATGTCTGTGTGTAGGTTGGGGGTGTTGTAGTGATGTTGTATCATGTCTGTGTTGTGGAGGTTGGGGTGATGTTGTATCATGTCTGTGTTGTGGAGGTTGGGGTTGTTGTAGTGATGTTGTATGATGTCTGTGTGTAGGTTGGGGGTGTTGTAGTGATGTTGTATCATGTCTGTGTTGTGGAGGTTGGGGTGATGTTGTATCATGTCTGTGTTGTGGAGGTTGGGGTGATGTTGTATCATGTCTGTGTTGTGGAGGTTGGGGGTGTTGTAGTGATGTTGTATCATGTCTGTGTTGTGGAGGTTGGGGGGGTTGTAGTGATGTTGTATCATGTCTGTTGTGGAGGTTGGGGGTGTTGTAGTGATGTTGTATCATGTATGTGTTGTGGAGGTTGGGGGGTTGTAGTGATGTTGTATCATGTCTGTGTTCTGGAGGTTGGGGGTGTTGTAGTGATGTTGTATCATGTCTGTTGTGTAGGTTGGGGGTGTTGTAGTGATGTTGTATCATGTCTGTGTTGTGGAGGTTGGGGGGGGTTGTAGTGATGTTGTATCATGTCTGTTGTGTAGGTTGGGGGTGTTGTAGTGATGTTGTATCATGTCTGTGTTGTGGAGGTTGGGGGGGTTGTAGTGATGTTGTATCATGTCTGTGTTGTGGAGGTGGGGGGGGGGGTTGTAGTGATGTTGTATAATGTCTGTGTTGTGGAGGTTGGGGGTGCTGTAGTGATGTTGTATCATGTCTGTGTTGTGTAGGTTGGGGGTGTTGTAGTGATGTTGTATCATGTCTGTGTTGTGGAGGTTGGGGGTGTTGTAGAGATGTTGTATCATGTCTGTTGGGGGGGTTGTAGTGATGTTGTATCATGTCTGTGTTGTGGAGGTTGGGGGTGTTGTAGTGATGTTGTATCATGTCTGTTGTGGAGGTTGGGGGTGTTGTAGTGATGTTGTATCATGTCTGTGTTGTGGAGGTTGGGGGTGTTGTAGTGATGTTGTATCATGTCTGTTGTGTAGGTTGGGGGTGTTGTAGTGATGTTGTATCATGTCTGTGTTGTGGAGGTGGGTGGGGGGGTTGTGGTGATGTTGTATCATGTCTGTGTTGTGGAGGGGGGGTTGTAGTGATGTTGTATAATGTCTGTTGTGTAGGTTGGGGGTGTTGTAGTGATGTTGTATCATGTCTGTGTTGTGGAGGTTGGGTGTTGTAGTGATGTTGTATCATGTCTGTGTTGTGGAGGTTGGGGGTGTTGTAGTGATGTTGTATCATGTCTGTTGTGTAGGTTGGGGGTGTTGTAGTGATGTTGTATAATGTCTGTTGTGTAGGTTGGGGGTGTTGTAGTGATGTTGTATCATGTCTGTGTTGTGGAGGTTGGGGGTGTTGTATTGATGTTGTATCATGTCTGTGTTGTGGAGGTTGGGGGTGTTGTAGTGATGTTGTGTAGGTTGGGGTGTTGTAGTGATGTTGTATGATGTCTGTTGTGTAGGTTGGGGGTGTTGTAGTGATGTTGTATCATGTGTGTTGTGGAGGTTGGGGGTGTTGTAGTGATGTTGTATGATGTCTGTGTTGTGGAGGTTGGGGGTGTTGTAGTGATGTTGTATCATGTATGTGTTGTGGAGGTTGGGGGTGTTGTAGTGATGTTGTGTAGGTTGGGGTGTTGTAGTGATGTTGTATGATGTCTGTTGTGTAGGTTGGGGGTGTTGTAGTGATGTTGTATCATGTCTGTGTTGTGTAGGTTGGGGGTGTTGTGGTGATGTTGTATCATGTCTGTGTTGTGTAGGTTGGGGGTGTTGTAGTGATGTTGTATCATGTCTGTGTTGTGTAGGTTGGGGGTGTTGTAGTGATGTTGTATCATGTCTGTGTTGTGTAGGTTGGGGGTGTTGTGGTGATGTTGTATCATGTATGTGTTGTGGAGGTTGGGGGTGTTGTAGTGATGTTGTATCATGTCTGTTGTGGAGGTTGGGGGTGTTGTAGTGATGTTGTATCATGTCTGTGTTGTGGAGGTTGGGGGTGTTGTAGTGATGTTGTATCATGTCTGTTGTGTAGGTTGGGGGTGTTGTAGTGATGTTGTATCATGTCTGTGTTGTGGAGGTGGGTGGGTGGGGGGGTTGTGGTGATGTTGTATCATGTCTGTGTTGTGGAGGGGGGGTTGTAGTGATGTTGTATAATGTATGTGTTGTGTAGGTTGGGGGTGTTGTAGTGATGTTGTATCATGTCTGTGTTGTGGAGGTTGGGTGTTGTAGTGCTGTTGTATCATGTCTGTGTTGTGGAGGTTGGGGGTGTTGTAGTGATGTTGTATCATGTCTGTTGTGTAGGTTGGGGGTGTTGTAGTGATGTTGTATAATGTCTGTTGTGTAGGTTGGGGGTGTTGTAGTGATGTTGTATCATGTCTGTGTTGTGGAGGTTGGGTGTTGTAGTGATGTTGTATCATGTCTGTGTTGTGGAGGTTGGGGGTGTTGTATTGATGTTGTATCATGTCTGTGTTGTGGAGGTTGGGGGTGTTGTAGTGATGTTGTGATTGTTGGGGTGTTGTGGTGATATTGTATGATGTCTGTTGTGTAGGTTGGGGGTGTTGTAGTGATGTTGTATCATGTGTGTTGTGGAGGTTGGGGGTGTTGTAGTGATGTTGTATGGTGTCTGTGTTGTGGAGGTTGGGGGTGTTGTAGTGATGTTGTATCATGTATGTGTTGTGGAGGTTGGGGGTGTTGTAGTGATGTTGTGTAGGTTGGGGTGTTGTAGTGATGTTGTATGATGTCTGTTGTGTAGGTTGGGGGTGTTGTAGTGATGTTGTATCATGTCTGTGTTGTGTAGGTTGGGGGTGTTGTAGTGATGTTGTATCATGTCTGTGTTGTGTAGGTTGGGGGTGTTGTAGTGATGTTGTATCATGTCTGTGTTGTGTAGGTTGGGGGTGTTGTGGTGATGTTGTATCATGTATGTGTTGTGGAGGTTGGGGGTGTTGTAGTGATGTTGTGTAGGTTGGGGTGTTGTAGTGATGTTGTATGATGTCTGTTGTGTAGGTTGGGGGTGTTGTAGTGATGTTGTATCATGTGTGTTGTGGAGGTTGGGGGTGTTGTAGTGATGTTGTATGATGTCTGTGTTGTGGAGGTTGGGGGTGTTGTAGTGATGTTGTATCATGTATGTGTTGTGGAGGTTGGGGGTGTTGTAGTGATGTTATGTAGGTTGGGGTGTTGTAGTGATGTTGTATGATGTCTGTTGTGTAGGTTGGGGGTGTTGTAGTGATGTTGTATCATGTATGTTGTGGAGGTTGGGGGTGTTGTAGTGATGTTGTATCATGTCTGTGTTGTGGAGGTTGGGGGTGTTGTGGTGATGTTGTATCATGTGTGTTGTGGAGGTTGGGGGTGTTGTAGTGATGTTGTCTGTGTTGTGTAGGTTGGGGGTGTTGTAGTGATGTTGTATCATGTCTGTGTTGTGGAGGTTGGGGGTGTTGTGGTGATGTTGTATCATGTCTGTGTTGTGTAGGTTGGGGGTGTTGTTCACTCCTCTGCTTCCTGCTGTACAGATCATCAAACTACTGCTTCTCTTCTACATGAAGAAGGTACATAAACCTCTGTTTTGATCACTGTGCCATGATCATCCTGGTAACTGGACTATGTAGAATACTTACTATGGAACTACAACTGAACGTCAACTGACCTTGAACCTTGTCTTGACTCTGTACCTTGATCAAACGGTTCTCTGACAGTATTCTCCCCCCCACCAGACTAGTGTAATGATGAACTGCCAGTCCCCTAGGAAGCCCTATAGAGCCAGTCAGATGACCACCATCTTCATCACACTCCTCTGCTTCCCTTCATTCCTGGGGGCTGCCGTGTGTGTTACCTACACTATGTGGAGGTAGGGAGATGGACTGGTGTCAGTAACACACTCTGATGTCAGTAACACACTCTGATGTCAGTAACACACTCTGATGTCAGTAACACACTCTGGTGTCAGTAACACACTCGGGTGTCAGTAACACACTCTGGTGTCAGTAACACACTCGGGTGTCAGTAACACACTCGGGTGTCAGTAACACACTCTGGTGTCAGTAACACACTCACTGAACATATTGAACACACATTAGCAAATTCAAACACACATATACCTGCAATATACAGTATTCACATTGATCTACTATAATATCTAAATACCTTCCTCCCCTCCTCTCCCTCCAGTATCCGTCCGTCTGAGTCACACACACACACACACACACACACACACACACACACACACACACACACACACACACACACACACACACACACACACACACACACACACACACACACACACACACACACACACACACACACACACACACACACACACACACACACACACACACACACACACACACACACACACACACACACACACACACACCACACACACACACACACACACACACACACACACACACACCTACCTTTCCTGGCTAGCCCGGGCTCACTAAATCGTGGAGAACCCTCTGTTTCTGTTCCTGGTGTCTTCCTGTGAGTGGGATGATTCTGTGAATGATTTGACACAAACTAAGTTCCTTCAGGATGTTTTGATCATTTCCATTTCTGTCAGTATCTCTGTATAATAGAAAGTTATTGTGATTTAGTGTGTTTTCATACACTCTCTCTCTTTGTCTCTCTCAGGGTAGTGATTTACTTCAACACCCAGGTGGTGGATGGACAGAGGAAGATCATCAGTCTGCTGCAGGAGCAGATAGAAAACGTAATGTCTCAACTAATGGGACTTAACCCTTTATAACATACACCTCCTTTTATTACAATACTAATGTCATAATAACACTGTAATACATATTTACCTTTAGAAAACATCTGAAACCCTACCTCTTCAAATAGTATTTTAAATAATCCCAAATAGAGACTTTGCTGATAGTACATTTTTTTCTCAATAAAGTAGCTTACTATGACATGTGGTTGTGCCACCTAGCTATCTTAAGATGAATGCATTAACTGTAAGCTGCTCTGGATAAGAGCGTCTGCTAAATGACTAAAATGTCAATGTAGAAAATGTACGTTCAACACTCTGTGTATACAAGCACTTAACTTGACATAAAGGATTCCAACACTGTGTATAATGTGTTAATTGCCAGCTACATAGTTGTTGCCTGGTAACCTGTTCTAACACTGTGTATATTGTGTTAATTGCCAGCTACATGGTTGTTGCCTGGTAACCTGTTCTAACACTGTGTATAATGTGTTAATTGCCAGCTACATGGTTGTTGCCTAGTAACCTGTTCTAACACTGTGTATAATGTGTTAATTGCCAGCTACATGGTTGTTGCCTGGTAACCTGTTCATTCTCTCTCTAGGAGGGGGAGGATAAGAAGTTCCTGATCACTCGTCTCCAGGCCATCCACCAGCAGAAACCACCCTTCTCTCCTCGCAGACTCACCAGTCAGGCCAGTCAGGTGTGTGTGTGTGTGTGTGAGATAAATAAAAAAAGAGAGGGAGTGTGTGTGTGTGTGTGTGTGTGTGTGAGTGTGTGTGTGTGTGTGTATGTGTGTGTGTGCATGCATGCATTATTTTGTTCCCAATTTCTTCTGGCTCACATTTCTGACAACACTCTTTCTCCTGTCTTCTTCCCAGGATTCCAACGGCTAGCATTCCCACTACTTCTCTCCCATCTCAGTGGAGGGCATATCTCGGAAGATCTCTGAATATCCTTTTTTGGAAATGTCCTGGATGGAACAAAACTGGATATACCTCTCCTCTCCTGCCTCTGGGAAGAGTTGTTAAGTAATTCTTAAACTGGAAAACTATTCTCATAGGATGTACACTCTTTCCCAGGAATCTGGGTTGGGATTGGGACTGGGACTATAAAGGAATTTACTTCTTTACAATAACAAATCCCACATAGGCCAAAACAGGATTCTAATAGGATCCACACTCTTTCCCAGGAATCTGGTCCTTGTAAGGATTGGGAATAGGATTGGGAATGGGACAAAGCAGGATTTCCCTCTTCCAATAACAGGCTACCCCTCATAGGGAAAGACCACAGTCTTTATGTGAACTTACTATGGCCAAGCCATAGGCTACATTTTACTGTAACTAGGCTACATTTTACTGTAACTAGGCTACATTTTACTGTAACTAGGCTACATAGGAAAATACCACTGAGTTTATATGAATTTACTATGGCCAAGCCATAGGCTACACCTTACTGTTTATTCTTCATATGAAATGAAAGGACATGTCACAAAACAAAATAATGGTTTATCAAGCTCAATAGTTTCAACCAAGGATGTTTGTCCTTTAAATTTTTTGGGGGGGATTGGAACCCCTGGTCATGCGAAAGGATGTAGGAGTGAAGAGGTGAGGAAACGAGACTGGGATACGGTGTGCTTGTAGGGACACAGAACAGAATGCACTTTTTTTTTTACAACTTTGAATAGGGAACAGATCAAATGCCAATAAGCTGCCAACATTGCACAAAGGGTTAAAACAGTGTCATTGTTAAGCAGGGTTAATTCTGTGAAATATAGGATTTTTATTTTTTAATTGTAAATAGTATGATTGTTTTATTACTTTAGATGTTTTATTGTATAAACTGGTCTTTTGTCAACAGCCCTTTCATACCAACTGTGAACAAAAAGGTTATTTCTTTCCATTTCTGATATATAACAATTATTTTGTACGATTTTGTTATGTTTTTATGTTAATTGGTGGTCAAGGTATAATTTCGTGATAAGTTTAGTCTCTCTGCTTCCAAAATGGCACTCTTCCCTAGATAGTACACCACTTTCTAGGGCGCTGGCCAAAAGTAGTGCACTCTGTAGAGAATAGAGTGTCTGTTGGAACGCATTCTATGTTTACTGTCTCTGTAGGAGGAGTCCACCGCTTAGTATCGGGCGATCTGATTAGTTCATTCAAAAAGGAAATGGTCGTAGAAGATCAACCACTGAAACAGTACGTTATTTTAATGTCTCTTTTTGTTTTTAAGTTGTTTTATTGTTTGTATACTTTATACATAATTAAATGTTTTCCCATATCTGCGTGTGTATTTGCTTATCTGATGTGTACCTAGTGTTTATGCTAGACTTCAATCTTTTACTTTTCAGTGGAGAAATGTAATATAAATAATTGAAAAATACATCTTTCTATTATTTAACACAATTATAATGTATTACAGACATGCAATCAGCACCATAAAAAACAGCTAAATATATTGACAATTTACAAAGAATCACTTTCCTGTCCTAATAGCGCACATACATGATACATCTAATCCAATAAATATGAACTCCAGAGCAGCTTGAGTTTAGGGTTGCAAAATTCCACCAACTTTCCCAGAATTCCCAGGTGTTACAGAAATCCTGGTTGGATGATTCCCAGATTCTCTGCTTATTCCCTTCTGATTCCAGGAAACTTCCAACCGGGATTTCAGGAACATTTGGGGAAAGTTACCGAAAATATGCAACCCTGCGTTGAGTTCAAACAGTTAATCACGTGACCTTTTTAGTGATACTAAAATATAACCCATTGTTATTATCCTTGTTTAAAAGCATATGTGGCTATTAAAAGCACCAGTCAGTATTATTTACCTAGGAAGAGTTGGAAGCAGCAAGAATACAAATGTTTGTAATTCTCTAAATCACCAGTAGAGAGCCCCATATCATAAATCTCTCACATTCCCCACATACTGTATCAACCATCCATCTTTCTCTCACTATACTTGTAGCCTATGTTTAGGTGTGTCAGTAGGGTATGTGGTCGTTTTAGCCAGTCTCTCTCCCTTTCTCTCTCTGCTGGTGAGTTCAGATGTGGCAGTAGGCTGTGCGGTAGTTTGAGACAATTCTGGTCAACTAACAAATCAATTAATCAATCAGTTCTAGTGAACCCTGTTACTATGGCTGTGTTTACACAGGCAGCCCAATTCTGGTCTTTTGACCAATTTATTGGTAAAAGATCCGTTCTGATTGGTTAGAAGACCAATTAGTGGAAATAGATCAGAATTGGGCTGCCAGTGTAAACGCAGCCTATGAGGATTTGCTATAATCCAGTGCCTTCCATATCAAAAGCTTGATTCTGTATCTTCTGTAGCATTGATCAAAACCAAATGATAATAGTCTATCAAGTCATTACAGTCTGAGGATTCCACTTCATATACACTACCGGTCAAAAGTTTTAGAACACCTACTCATTCAAGGGTTTTTCTTTATTTTTACTATTTTCTACATTGTAGAATAATAGTGAAGACAACAAAACTATGAAATAACACATATGGAATCGTGTAGTAACCAAAAAAGTGTTAAACAAATCAAAATATATTTTGTATTTGAGATTCTTCAAATAGCCACCCTTTGCCTTGATGACAGCTTTGCACACTCTTGGCATTCTCTCAACCAGCTTCACCTGGAATGCTTTTCCAACAGTCTTGAAGGAGTTCCCACATATGCTGAAAACTTGTTGGCTGCTTTTCCTTCACTCTGCGGTCCGACTCATCCCAAACCATCTCAATTTGGTTGAGGTCGGGGGATTGTGGAGGTCAGGTCATCTGATGCAGCACTCCATCACTCTCCTTCTTGGTAAAATAGCACTTACACAGCCTGGAGGTGTGTTGGGTCATTGTCCTGTTGAAAAACAAATGAGAGTCCCACTAAGCCCAAACCAGATGGGATGGCGTATCGCTGCAGAATGCTGTGGTAGCCATGCTGGTTAAGTGAGCCTTGAATTCTAAATAAATCACCTACTGTGTCACCAGCAAAGCACCCCCACACCATAACACCTCCTCTTCCATGCTTTACAGTGGGAAATACACATGTGGAGATCACTCTTGAATTGTAAAAATAAAGAAAAACCCTTGAATGAGTAGGTGTTCTAAAACTTTTTACCGGTAGTGTACATACACAAGTTATACATCTATGCATATATACAGTGGGGAGAACAAGTATTTGATACACTGACGATTTTTGCAGGTTTTCCTACTTACAAAGCATGTAGAGGTCTGTAATTTTTATCATAGGTACACTTCAACTGTGAGAGACAGAATCTAAAACAAAAATCCAGAAAATCACATTGTATGATTTTTAAGTAATTCATTTTCATTTTATTGCATGACATAAGTATTTGATACATCAGAAAAGCAGAACTTAATATTTAGTACAGAAACCTTTGTTTGCAATTACAGAGATCATATGTTTCCTGTAGGTCTTGACCAGGTTTGCACACACTGCAACAGGGATTTTGGCCCACTCCTCCATACAGACCTTCTCCAGATCCTTCAGGTTTCGGGGCTGTCGCTGGGCAATACGGACTTTCAGCTCCCTCCAAAGATTTTCTATTGGGTTCAGGTCTGGAGACTGGCTAGGCCACTCCAGGACCTTGAGATGCTTCTTACAGAGCCACTCCTTAGTTGCCCTGGCTGTGTGTTTCGGGTCGTTGTCATGCTGGAAGACCCAGCCACGACCCATCTTCAATGCTCTTACTGAGGGAAGGAGGTTGTTGGCCAAGATCTCGCGATACATGGCCCCATCCATCCTCCCCTCAATACGGTGCAGTCGTCCTGTCCCCTTTGCAGAAAAGCATCCCCAAAGAATGATGTTTCCACCTCCATGCTTCACGGTTGGGATGGTGTTCTTGGGGTTGTACTCATCCTTCTTCTTCCTCCAAACACGGCGAGTGGAGTTTAGACCAAAAAGCTCTATTTTTGTCTCATCAGACCACATGACCTTCTCCCATTCCTCCTCTGGATCATCCAGATGGTCATTGGCAAACTACAGACGGGCCTGGACATGCGCTGGCTTGAGTAAGGGGGACCTTGCGTGCGCTGCAGGATTTTAATCCATGACGGCGTAGTGAGTTACAAATAGTTTTCTTTGAGACTGTGGTCCCAGCTCTCTTCAGGTCATTGACCAGGTCCTGCCGTGTAGTTCTGGGCTGATCCCTCACCTTCCTCATGATCATTTATGCCCCACGAGGTGAGATCTTGCATGGAGCCCCAGACCGAGGGTGATTGACCGTCATCTTGAACTTCTTCCATTTTCTAATAATTGCGCCAACAGTTGTTGCCTTCTCACCAAGCTGCTTGCCTATTGTCCTGTAGCCCATCCCAGCCCTGTGCAGGTCTACAATTTTATCCCTGATGTCCTTACACAGCTCTCTGGTCTTGGCCATTGTGGAGAGGTTGGAGTCTGTTTGATTGAGTGTGTGGACAGGTGTATTTTATACAGGTAATGAGTTCAAACAGGTCCAGTTAATACAGGTAATGAGTGGAGAACAGGAGGGCTTCTTAAAGAAAAACGAACAGGTCTGTGAGAGCCGGAATTCTTACTGGTTGGTAGGTGATCAAATACTTATGTCATGCAATAAAATGCAAATTATTTACTTAAAAATCATACAATGTGATTTTCTGGATTTTTGTTTTAGATTCCATCTCTCACAGTTGAAGTGTACCTATGATAAAAATTACAGACCTCTACATGCTTTCTAAGTAGGAAAACCTGCAAAATCGGCAGTGTATCAAATACTTGTTCTCCCCACTGTATATTTTCAAAATCCACAAGTCCGTTGTCTTATTTACTTTAAAACCTAAAGACTGCATCCCAAATTGCACCCTATTCACAATTATAGTGCACTGGGGGAATCTGATGCCATTTGGGATAGGCCCCTAGAGAGAGAAAAAAACTAGTTGAGTAGTATCCTTAAAACGGATGACTTTTCATTTATGTATGTCTTTCCACACCCACATTTTTTTTCAGTATAGTTTAGTTCTGTGCAGGTTTGGCTGAGTTGAGTTCAGCGTCGTTGAGTAAAGCATTGTTCAGTTGTTTGAACTCAAACTTTGCAGTTCCGTTGTGTTCTAATAACAATAAATGAGTTCTATTCAGTTGAGTTAAGTCGAGTTTTGTTCTGTCCCGTTGCAGACACTAGTCCAGCTGCGTTCAGAGTTGAGGTGGTTTGAGTTGCACCAAGTAAAATGATTTGAGTTGCACCAAGTCAAGGTTATGAATTCAGATCCATTGAGTTCAGTTCAGTTGCACTCACAGTTTTGAGTTGAGTCCATTTCAGTTTAGCACAGTCACTTTTTCTGTTCAGTTCTGTTGCTTTTGGGGTTCGCTCAGTATTGTTCAGTCCTGTTGCTTAGAGTTCAGTTCTGTTTCTATTCTGTTGTTGCATTGAGTTCCGTTCAAATCCACCAAAGCATTCTAGATCGCTCCTCACTCCAGTCCATTCAGTTGCCATTGTTGAGCAGGTCCATGTCCTGCTGTGTCAGAGTGAGTGTGTGTTTCTTTGAACTTATTTGTGTGTGTAGTACAGGTGTGTGTGCTTCTGTCCGTGAGTGTGTCCATCCATCTGTCCCTCCATGTTTCCTTTCAGCTACATGTGTGCTTCCCTCACTGCTCAGTTCCCGTTATTCAGCATCCCCAGCAGTTTCCCTGGGTCCATGCCCTGTTGCTGGGCCATCTTGGCAACATCAAACCCCATGTGTTTCAGGAACTGGATCACGCTCATTTCCTGTCCGGTGATCTGATCCCTTATAGTGGGACAGGTTGGATTACAGTGAGGCCAGGGGCAACTGTCAATCAGACGCAGAGGACAGCCCCTTGGAGCTGGGGGCAGAGCCTTGTTGGGGGTGGGGTTAGGATTGTTGCTATGGGTGTTGTTGTTGGAGGATCTTTGGTGGAGGTTGTTGTCATGGAGACCACGGTCCCAGCAGTGTAGGGCTCTGGGGAGGGAGGTTCCTTTGACTTGGACGTCCATCCAGTAACTATGGTAATGGGGGGAGGGAGTGGAAAGGAGGTTAGAAATGAGAGAGGTACAGGTCAAGTCACTCATTTTTTGCATAGCTCCAAGTAAAGGTTATGATAATCTAAGACACAGTTATTATATGTCTAATCTAAGAGGAAGTTATGATTAGTGACTGTTCACTCACTTCCTGGTGATGACCTCATGGGATAGGCAGGCTGGAGCGAACAGGGCCCTGTCAGTCAGAACAGACAGATCAATCAATGTGATCAGAGGAGAGTTAACATTCCACATAACATTAACATTCTTTATGGAATAAAACACGAAGTTATGGTGTGTGTGTGTATGTGTGTTTGTACATTATTGTGTGTGTGTCTCTGTGTGTACTGTCCAATGTGTGTGTGTACATTCCTGTGTGTGTGTGTGTGTCTTACGGGACGTCTTTGAGTGTGTTCCTCAGCTCGTTGCCCAGATTCTGTATGTATCTCCACTGTCCCTCGTGGACCGGCTGACCAGTCAGGTGGATGTTATCTACTGTTAACTGGGCCTCATCAAATAACCACTGGACCACAAACACTGGACCTGGAGAGAGGGGGGGAGGAAGGGAGAGGAGAGAGAGAGAGGGGGAGGGAGGGAGGTCTACTCTTAGCTGGGCCTCATCAAATAACACTGGAGAGCGAGAGAGAGTGAGAGAGAGAGAGAGAGAGAGAGCGAGAGAGAGAGAGAGAGTGATAGAGAGACTCTTACTCTTGAGCGTGGGGTAGACTTTATATCCAAAGAAGCAGTTCCACTCCTCTCCTATGTGAGTCTGTCTGCAGCTCTCTGGCACCACACTACCCCAGTACCTAGACAGGAAACAGGAAGTATAGTCACAGTTGTCACTCTCCCTCTCTCCATCTCCTTCTCTCCATCTCCCTCTCTCCCCCCTCTCCCTCTCACCTGATTCCTCTCATGATGGGGGCACAGCTGATGGTATCGTGGCAGTGTATAGATCTCTATTGCTTTCCCTCCCTCCTTCCCTCCCTCCTTCCTCCCTCCCTCCCCTCTTCTCTCTCTCACCTGATTCCTCTCCTGATAGCCTCAGTAGGGTCACAGCTGATGGTGCTGTGACAGTCTGTAGATCTGTACTGCTTGTTATCCAGGAACCAGCCAGAGTCAGCCAGACCCCGGACCTGAATCTCCCTGTGTCCCCGGGTCTCCAGGTGCTCCGCCACACGGTCCACGTTCAGTAGTACACCTGTACCCCCCGCACTGGAGGAGAAAGAGGGAGGGAGGGAGAGAGGGAGAGAGGGAGGAGAGGAGAAAGAAGGAGGGGGAGGAGGAGGGAGGGGGGGGGGGGGGGGAGGGGGAAGGGAGAGGGAAGGAGTGAGGGAGCGAGAGAGGGGGGAGGGAGCGAGGGAGGGAGCAAGGGGAGGGAGCGAGGGGAGGGAGGGAGCGAGGGAGGAGGGGAGGGAAGGAGCGAGGGAGGAGGGAAAGGAGAGGGAGAGAGAGAGAGAGAGAGAGAGAGAGACCCATTCAGTAATCCAGAGAGAGGGAAATTAGGACAATTGGAGCGGTCCAGAGGGATAAACAGACGGATGTCCAAGTAAGTAAAGTATCAGACACACACACAGTGTCCTGACCTGCTCCCAGCCAGCAGCAGGACCTTAGCACTGTCCAGTCCTTTAGTAAGCAGCTCATTCACCACCTCCTCAATGATCACTGAGCCCATGAACGCATAGTCACCTACGCACGCACACACAGAGAGAAACACACGCACACACACACACAAAGCAACATGAAGACAGGCACAGTAGACACATTGATTGATAGCTTGTTATACAACGGGTGGGTCTAATCCTGAATGCTGATTGGTTACCACCGGCTAAAGCTATGACTTTGAAATGCCTATTTACTCTGTTCCATCTGACTGCGCAATCCACTGTCTCATCAGCCCAGCCAGGCCATTTGTAAACTTGATGTCCACTATCAAAAGCATCTAGACATTATCTCCCATTTCTTTTAGACTAACATTTAGTTTTCAACAGCGGAGATATGTATAAAGCTTGCTGTCTGTCTCTCCGACATTTGCAACATTGTTTCAATATTCAAATTCGATCTCCAGCTGTCCTATAGTAATGAACGTTTCGGGACAAGACAGACAGGCACTGAGCATTTCTCAGCCAGTCGAAATCATGAATCAGCATCTTTTTTTGTATATATACAAAGAAATGTCAATAGAAAACAGTTCAAACTAAACAAAGTGCAGTTAGTTTGAAGTCTTTCCAGCTTCAGTTTGAAGTGATTGTGGTAGCTGTGTTGTTGGCTAGCTCCTCTGAACAACCGTGTCCTGACGAGAGAGCACATTTTCTATGCCAGGTTAAATTGCACATCATTAGCTAATTGTTATGGATGTATCCAAATTTTATGTCACTAGAAAACAGGTTCAACGAATGCAGCTTCTTTGTTGTTATTCTGGTTGCACTGTTTGACGTGACTGTAAGTTAGCCGTAGTTAGCTAGCTAGCAAGCAAGGGATAAGAACGTTGCCAGCCAGTATGGCAATGGAACATTTAGAATGAACGACTGGGTGGCGTCTCTGCCAACCGAACCGATAGAACAAATGACCAGCCAGCTTGGGTAGCAACCCTAGATTTGTGTCGGGACTATATCTTGTAGAAGGATCAAATAGTATGAATAAATTAATAAAAATAATGTTTTTTTAATGAAAATATGTAAATCATTATTTGAATATGTTGGTAACCCGTTGTATAAAATGTATAATGCCCTCGAAGCCGGTGTTTGGAGGATATATTGGCACGGTTTACCGGAACACAAACACTGGCTTCTCTGGCATTATCACTTAAATGTCTTGAATTATTTGAAATAAAATGCAGTGTTATTCCAAAGTGGCATCCTATACCATATAGATTGCACTATATACTTGAACTGATGTTCCCTACTTTGGTCAGTCTTTGCTAAGGCTCCACTCCAGGCATCACTAGAGCAGTATGGGATGAACCTAGAAAGAGAGAGAGAGAGATAGGGGGAGAGAGAGAGAGAAGAGAGAGAGAGAGAGAGAGAGAGAGAGAGAGAGAGAGAGAGAGAGAGAGAGAGAGAGAGATAGAGAGAAGAGAGATACGAGAGAGAAAGAGAAGAGAGAGAGAGATAGAGCAGAAGAGAGAGTTAGGAAACCATAACACACAGAGACTCAGTCAGAGTTTTCCAGAGAGGGAGGAAGAGGTTGTTTAGTAAAGAGCTGCAGCACACCTTTACTGACTCATACTCTTGACAAGAAAAAACACCAACCGTTTCACACACAAACACTGTAAACAAATAAACACACATATGGGCGCACACACACACTCATCAATATGCAAGAAGGGCGAGAAGAGCGATAGAAGAGGGAGAAGAAGGAATCAGACAAAGAAGAAGAAAGGAGGGATGGAGTTCTTACACCGTGTTGGCATTCCACCAATAGGGGTTCTCCTCTGGCTGAGGAGACAGAATACCTGTACCTAGAGACAGAGAATGACAGAGAGGGAGATACAGCGAGAGAGAGGGGGGGGGGGGAGAGGGGGGTGGGGGGGGGAGTGAGATGAGATGATGAGAGAGAAAAGAGATGAAGAGAGAGAGAGAGAGTGAGCTCTAGTCTCTCAGCTACGGGTGGGGTGGAAATATGAGAAGGGGGGGGAGAGGGAGAGAGAAGAAAGAGGTACTTGTGAGTGTGAGATTAATTTAGGTAACTAAATCAGACAGACTGACTGAGTTCTACTGATTAATAGGAAACACTAACATTTATATGACCTGAGATCTGGGGCTTTTCCCTCTACAGCCTGTACTGGGCCAATGAAGACATTTTTAAAGAGTGAATTTGTTTTTGCAGCATGTCCCTGAGCAGACAGATCATAAGCCTACTTTTGACTGGTTATAACACTTAACACTAGTTATTACTAGTTCATACCACGTGTAATAAGCCTGTTGTAACAGTGTTCTGGTGAAGACTGACTCTGAACACCCATAGTACAGGTTATAGCAACAGTATTACTAGCTATTGCCATTAATAAACATGTAATGAACTTGTAAAGTTACATATTGCAGCTTTATTACTAGTTCATAAGCTATAGTCCCGTGTGGCTGAGTTGGTAGAGCATGGCACTTGCAACGCCACGGTTGTGGGTTCGATTCCCACCGGGGACTAGTATGAAAAAAAGTATGAAAATGTATGCACTCACTACTGTAAGTTTCTCTGGATTAGAGTGTCTGCTAAATTACTAAAAACAACGTTTTTAATTTAGTTCATAAACGTGTAATAAGCATGTTGTAACAGTGTTCTGGTGACGTCTGACTCTGAACACCAATAGCACAGGTTATAGCGACAGTATTACTAGCTATTGCCATTAATAAAGATGTAATGTGCTTGTAATAAGTGTTTATAACAGTGTGCTGACCTGTTCTGGTGCGTGGCCACTTGAGGGAGCTCATGAATCTCCTCATTGTCTGGTACCTGGTGTCACAAGTCTGTCTGTTGAAACAGTACCATCCACCTACACAGACCAACAACAACATTACACATGACATACAGTACCATCCACCTACACAGACCAACAACAACATTACACATGACATACAGTACCATCCAACAACAACAACAACAACAACAACAACAACATAGCACTGGGGCCAGGATTCGATCCAAGGCTGGTTATAGAGCAGGACACTGGACCTTTTAAAGGTAATTTCCCTTCCGTTAGTGTCATGATAAACACTGATTGTCAGCTCAAACGTGCTTTACCTTTAAAAGGCACATTGTCGGCTGTACAGTGCTCTGCCCTGTAACATGCCTTGGATTGAAAAATACAACAGACAAATAGCCGAGCATTTGGAAGTCTTAAACCTCTCAACTCACCCTCCAAGAATATCAGCCATCTCTTGCTGCCTTTAGATTCCTTCATGTAGTACCTATACAGGACAATACAAAAACAAACGGTTTTAAAAGTGTGTGTGTGTGTGTGTGTGTGTGTGTGTGTGTGTGTGTTTCTCTCCTGCTCCTTCTTCAGTGGGACATCTGACAGAATCACATAGTTCAGTGTCAACTGGGGAAGAAATGTTTATTAGACTGGAAAAAAGCAGCGTTGGCAGACACCGACACACACACACACACACACACACACACACAATGTATGTATTTCTGAGCATCTACATTCATTCACACACACAGTTGGTTGGGTTTGTGTTATAGACCACTCTAGAACACAGTTGGTTGGGTTTGTGTTATAGACCACTCCAGAACACAGTTGGTTGGGTTTGTGTTATAGACCACTCCAGAACACAGTTGGTTGGGTTTGTGTTATAGACCACTCCAGAACACAGTTGGTTGGGTTTGTGTTATAGACCACTTCCAGAACACAGTTGGTTGGGTTTGTGTTATAGACCACTCCAGAACACAGTTGGTTGGGTTTGTGTTATAGACCACTCCAGAACACAGTTGGTTGGGTTTGTGTTATAGACCACTCCAGAACACAGTTGGTTGGGTTTGTGTTATAGACCACTCCAGAACACAGTTGGTTGGGTTTGTGTTATAGACCACTCCAGAACACAGTTGGTTGGGTTTGTGTTATAGACCACTCCAGAACACAGTTGGTTGGGTTTGTGTTATAGACCACTCCAGAACACAGTTGGTTGGGTTTTGTGTTATAGACCACTCCAGAACACAGTGGTTGGGTTTTGTTTATAGACCACTCCAGAACACAGTTGGTTGGTTGTGTTTATAGACCCACTCCCGGAACACAGATTGGTTTTGGGTTTGTGTTATAGACCACTCCAGAACACAGTTGGTTAGGTTTGTGTTATAGACCACTCCAGAACACAGTTGGTTGGGTTTGTGTTATAGACCACTCCAGAACGGTCCTTCTGGCTTTTGCTTTGAACTAGACTTGAAACACTTGGCTCTGGTTTCACAGCTAAAACACACACAGACAGACAGGGCCCATTTAGACACTAAAACACTCTTTCAACAGGGGCCTGTTTGGACGCCTATATCAAAGGAACCCAGGGCCATTATTAATGATTGGATTAGTGTAATGCATGTAGAAAGGCCTCACCACAGGGTAGTTACACTACATTCAATCAGACTGATGACTAGGGGTCCGGCATGGCAGCCAGACACACACACATAAACAAGGGACACTTCGTTGGGTTGTATGCATGAGGATGTGCTGTTATGAACAGGCAGGGTGATGGCGTGAACGGTTCACACACACATACTCCTGCCCCTGTTCTGCAGCTATCCATCTCCATTAGTGAGAGGTATGCCAGGTGTTTTAGGTTAAAGAGGATTAACTGTGTCTCTACTGGACAGCTGCTGGAAATGAGAATGGGTGAGAGAGACAGAGAGAGAGAGACAGAGACAGAGAGACAGAGAGACAGAGACAGAGAGAGAGAGAGAGAGAGACAGAGACAGAGACAGAGACAGAGACAGAGACAGAGACAGAGACGAGAGCAGGAGGAGAGAGAGAAGAGAGAGAGGAGAGAGAAACAGACAGAGAAAGAGAGAGAAGAAACAGACAGAGAGACGAGACAGAGAACAGACAGAGAAAGAGATAGAGAAAGAAGAGAGACAGACACATACAGACATACAGACAGACAGACAAGACAGACAGACAGACAGACAGACAGACGACAGAAACAGACTAGAGAGAGAGAGGAGAGAGAGAGAGAGAGAGAGAGAGAGAGAGAGAGAGAGAGAGAGAGAGAGAGAGAGAGAGAGAGAGAGAGAGAGAGAGAGAGAGAGAGAGAGAGAGAGAGAGAGAGATAAACCCCTAGATCTTCTGCACAGGTTCTGTCAGACCTGGGCCCTGACAGTAAATCTCAGTAAGACAAAAATAATGGTGTTCCAAAAAAGGTCCAGTTGCCAGGACCACAAATACAAATTCCATCTAGACACCGTTGCCCTAGAGCACACAAAAAACTATACATACCTGGGCCTAAACATCAGCGCCACGGGTAACTTCCCCAAAGCTGTGAACGATCTGAGACACAAGGCAAGAAGGGCCTTCTATGCCATCAAAAGGAACATAAAATTCTACATACCAATTAGGATCTGGCTAAAAAATACTTGAATCAGTTATAGAACCCATTGCCCTTTATGGTTGTGAGGTCTGGGGTCTGCTCACCAACCAAGAATTCACAAAATGGGACAAACACCAAATTGAGACTCTGCATGCAGAATTCAGCAAAATTATCCTCAGTGTACAACGGAAAACACCAAATAATGCATGCAGAGCAGAATTAGGCCGATACCCGCTAATTATCAAAATCCAGAAAAGAGACGTTAAATTATACAACAATCTAAAAGGAATCGATTCCCAAACCTTCCATAACAAAGCCATCACCTACAGAGAAATTAACCTGGAGAAAAGACCCCTAAGCAAGCTGGTCCTGGGGCTCTGTTCACAAACACAAACAGACCCCACAGAGCCCCAGGACAGCAACACAATTAGACCCAACCAAATCATGAGAAAACAAAATTATAATTACTTGACACATTGGAAAGAATTTACAAAAAAACTGAGCAAACTAGAATGCTATTTGGCCCTAAACAGAGAGTGCATAGTGGCAGAATACCTGACCACTGTGGCTGACCCAAAATTAAGGAAAGCTTTGACTATGTACAGACTCAGTGAGCATAGCCTTGCAATTGAGAAAGGCCACCGAAGGCAGACCTGGCTCTCAAGAGAAGACAGGCTATGTGCACACTGCCCACAAAATGAGGTGGAAACTGAGCTGCACTTCCTAACCTCCTGCCAAATGTCAAATCAAATCAAATCAAATCAAATTTTATTGGTCACATGCGCCGAATACAACAGGTGCAGACATTACAGTGAAATGCTTACTTACAGCCCTTAACCAACAGCCCTTAACCAAATGTATGACCATATTAGAGACTCATATTTCCCTCAGATTACACAGACCCACAAAGAATTCGAAAAATAAATCCAATTTTGATAAACTCCCATATCTATTGGGTGGAATACCACAGTGTGCAATCACAGCAGTACAATTTGTGACCTGTTGCCACAAGAAAAGGGCAACCAGTGAAGAACAAACACCATTGTAAATACAACCTATATTTATGTTTATTTATTTTCCCTTTTGTACTTTAACTATTTGCACAACATTACAACACTATGACAACACATCATTATGACACTTGAAATGTCTTTATTCTTTTGGAACTTTTGTGAGTGTAATGTTTACTGTAAATGTTTTATTGTTAATTTCACCTTTGTTTATTATCTATTTCACTTGCTTTGGCAATGTAAACATATGTTTCCCATGCCAATAAAGCCCCTTAAATTGAAATTGAAATTGAAATTGAATTGAGAGAGAGAGAGAGAGAGAGAGAGAGAGAGAGAGAGAGAGAGAGAGAGAGAGAGAGAGAGAGAGAGAGAGAGAGAGAGAGAGAGAAAATTAAGTATTTTATATAAAAATCTGACTGTTAACTTTGGGTTGCCAGATTGGACATTTAAAAATGAAGCGGGAAAGAGTAGAGAGGGGCGACAGGTTGGGTTCAAAGTCAAAAGATGAATTAGTCATTAAGAAACACAGGGAGAGCAAATTCCTCCCATCTTCAGACAACATGTTCTTAATAACTCCCCGTGGCTGTTGATAAATTCGGTTTGGAGGCTGGAAGTCTCCCTCCTCTCACTGTATGGGTTTTTACACACGCTATGGCAGCTGGAGGAGAAGTGTAGCCTTAGCAGCAGTGATCCACTACACAGAGAGCCACGCTAGCTTCGCCCTCATGTGGGTGCTAGCGAGCATGCTAGGCACTGCTAGGTATCAACACCTAGTCCAGTCGGGGCTGGAAGTTATAGTGAGGTTCGATTGGTCAATCAAGACGCGATGTTGCAGAGTATTTGGATAAAGTTACGTTTATTCCAATTTAGGTCCTGCCCTGTTCACGTCCCTCGCCCATGCTCGCATTACCCAATTTCCCCCCCGCCCACTTCACTTCCTTCATTGAAAATGAATGGATCTCGGTTGTTTCATCGCCCTCAACGTGCTCCATGCATCTCTGCAGTAACTCTCGAGGCAGACTGTGTGGTTGAGAGAGGGTTGAATCCGTCGTGAGCAATTAGCAATTTGTGGTTGGAGGGATATGCGACAGTTGTAATTTTCTCCGCTGGTTGTCAGGGAGAGTAGGCATGCATGAGTGCCCAGAGCGTGCCTGCCTGGCGCTGCATGGCCTCGCGCGCCGCAAGTGAGGGTATATTGAGAGGTCTCTTGTGGTTTTGGATGCTGCTGACACACATGCACAGTCACATCAATGGAGAGCGGAGACACTCAAAATTGCTGGTGTGCTGATTCTCTCTCTCTCTCGTTCTCTCCCTCTCTCTCTCTCGTTCTCTCCCCTCTCCTCTGTGAAGTGATGTGGGTCTGTGGTCTTTATTTGGGATAGAGGGGGATCACGAGAGGTTCCGTTGTGATGAAACACTCATCTGAATCTCGCTCTCTGTCACGCCCTGGCTCTGGGGACTCTAATATGTTGAGCCAGGGTGTGTAAAGTCTATGTGTTTTGTTATAGGTTTCACATTCTAGTATTGTTGTTCTATGTTGGCCAGTGTGGTTCTCAATCAGAGGAAACGTGATTCATCTGTTGCTTGTTGTCTCTGATTGAGAACCATACTTTAGCAGCCTGTTTCCCCACAGAGTTTGTGGGATCTTGTTTCTAGTCTGTTGTGTTAGACTGTGAACTGTCACGTTATCGATTTGTTGTTTTTGATCGTGTCTCTAATAAAGAGTATGTTTGCCTGCAACGCTGCGCCTTGGTCCTCATCTCTGTTAGACGATCGTGACAGAAGATCCCACCCGAACTGGACCAAGCAGCCTAGTGAGGAGCAGAGAGGGTGGACTTGGGAACAGTGGAGGAAGAGCTTCGACTGGGTCAAGCCGAATGAGGAGCTGAATGGCGGGAATTGGAAGCAGAAGAGCGAGAGTTGGGCGAGAACCATAGAGGCCTGGCCCACGGGGAGGAGAGACTCCCAGAAAATGTTTAGGGGGGGGCTCACGACGTCGGGGCAGCAGGAGGCCGCGATAGAGCGGCCCAGCGGGTTGGCAGAGGAGGCCTCCAGTTTACGGGGGCCACTGGTCGAAGAGGGGATGGAAGGTGTAGAGGCACGGCGAGAGGTACTTGGGTGTGTTGCCAGTCCGGTCCGGCCTGTTCCTGATCCCCACGTAGGGCCAGTGGTGTGTGTTCCCAGTACGGTCCGGCCCGTTCCTGCCACTCGCACCAAGTCTACGGTGCGCGTCGCCAGCTCGGCCCGGCCTGTTCCTGCTCCCCGCACCAAGCCTGTGGTGCGCTTCGTCAGCCCGGTCCGGCCCACTCCTACTCCCCGCACCAAGTCAGTGGTGCGCTTCGTCAGCCCGGTCCGGCCCGCTCCTGCTCCCCGCACCAAGTCAGTGGTGCGTTTCGTCAGCCCGGCTCGGCCCGTTCCTGCTCCCCGCACCAAGTCAGTGGTGCGTTTCGTCAGCCCGGTCCGGCCCGCTCCTGCTCCCCGCACCAAGTCAGTGGTGCGTTTCGTCAGCCCGGCTCGGCCCATTCCTGCTCCCCGCACCAAGTCAGTGGTGCGTTTCGTCAGGCCGGCTCGGCCTGCTCCTGCTCCCCACACCAAGCCAGTGGTGTGCGTCGTCAGTCCGGCACGGCCCGTGCCTGTTCCACCGGTGGCTGGTCCGGCACCGGTCAGATGCTTCACGCCGGAGCTAGAGCAATCCGCTCCACCAGTGTGCAGTCCAGCTCCGGCCAGCGGGGCCAGACCGGACCAGGGGTACTTTGGGGGGTTGGAGAGGGAGCGGGGTTCAGGCCCGGAGCCGGATCCGCCGCCTAAGCGGAGTGCCCACCCGGTCCCTCCCCTGTGGTATTTGGTGGGTGCGGTCGGAGTCCGCGCCTTTAGGGGGGGGTACTGTCACGCCCTGGCTCTGGGGACTCTAATATGTTGAGCCAGGGTGTGTAAAGTCTATGTGTTTTGTTCTAGGTTTCACATTCTAGTATTGTTGTTCTATGTTGGCCAGTGTGGTTCTCAATCAGAGGCAACGTGATTCAGCTGTTGCTTGTTGTCTCTGATTGAGAACCATACTTTAGCAGCCTGTTTCCCCACAGAGTTTGTGGGATCTTGTTTCTAGTCTGTTGTGTTAGACCGTGAACTGTCACGTTTTCGTTTTGTTGTTTTTGATCGTGTCTCTAATAAAGAGTATGTTTGCCTGCAACGCTGCGCCTTGGTCCTCATCTCTAACCAACGATCGTGACACTCTCTTTCTGGTTCTATCTCTCGTCGCTTCATAATGGAATAGTGATCTTAAAGATGAATAACAAACTGTGTTAATAGGGCCTATTATATTATTCAACCTTCAGTTGACTTGTGAGCTTGTTCTCACACTGGAGAAGACAAAAAGAAAACGGGCAAAATGCAGTCTTTCTCTCAACACCTGGTGTGAAACAACATAAGGATTTCAAAGCACTACTTCCCGAATCCAATTATCACAGTTATCTGACCAAAACATTGGTATTTCACACTGAGGATAACCCCTATTTTCTTCCCGTGAAGAAATCGGCCCATGTTTGTTCTATTGGTCACTATCACCCTAGAAATGTCATGGCGCTTTCATGCAGGGCACCTGTCGCGGCTGGAAGTGGATCTGAGAGTACAACAGGGCTTTGGCTTTGTGGAAAGTTTTCACTTTCACACCTTTCATCACAATCATCCATTAGCGTCGCTTCATTCCGTTATAACACAGCGTCCCCTCCTCAATTTCACGTCCTAGAAAAGCAATGGGGATATAAAAAGCCAAAGGCAACAAGGATTGTAGCCTACAAGAGGATGAGATGTGTCCCTATATAGACTCTGATCCGAAGTCAGTCTTGCGTTTTCCCTTCAAACGGTTGAGGTTATATGGGTTTGGAGAGGGTAAGCTGATCCTAGACCTGTGACGCAAATAAACGCCACTAAATATACAACCAACCACCACAAAAGCTATACATTGTTTGCCTGTCGCCCGCTGTACATGAAAGGCATTCTTTTCACTGTGGCCTCGCTTGCTCTCCCTCCACAAAATTCCTTTTGTCAAACGTTCCATTGATGAGAGGCATGCATCTGATCTCGCGGTCCGGGCTCTCGCTCTCTTGAGCTCCGACATAGATCTCAGAGAGCGCCCGTCCTCTGATCTTTTTCATTTTTATCCATTTCGGTCACATCCGGAGTGACATGAAGGGCAGGAAAAGTTGTTGTGGTGGTGATAGATGGACTGGCTTTCACTCAACCATTGCGTCTGATAGACAACTGGAAAGATGTGTCAAAGCCAATACGCACAACAAAAGTATGTGATTTTCATGTGAGTTTAGGCTACTTGTGGTATGTTGAAAAGTGAAGTTTAGGCGACTTTAATTCAGGCCAATTCAGACTTTAAACTTTTCCACTTACCCAGCTGGTGATCCATCGTTACACGTCACAGAGGAATTGTCCAAGAAGTGCAGCCTCATGTCCTGGTCCAGCTTCTGCGCCGAACACGGGTACAGTGACTGCGCCAGGTTTTTAATTTGGGTCATAAAGTTGTCCATGTTCCCCTCGACGGCCGTGAAGTCTAACGGGAAGCTCTCACCGGCTCCGGTCCCCTCTACTACACGGTCCCTGTACGTTAACGGTGGGGACGGCATGACCGAGTCTCTCCGGTGTTGCGCGCGGCTGCCCCGTAGCCTCCTCGCCTCTGGTGCTCCAATGTGAAGAAGACCCAACAGCAAAGCGGAACGCAGCAACGAGAGAGTCCCTATAGGGCTACTCCTATCAATACTTTGGCTAGTCATTTCAAAAACCTTTCAGGGAAAAAACCGATGTAATAGTTCCTTGGTGTAAAAACGAAACAAGAGTGCGTCTGGTCTGGTGAGCTAAATGAAAAAGTTGCAATGGATGAATTGCAAAAGAGAGTAAAATATCAACAGAGAGAAAGAGTTCCACTTGGCATCAGTGTGTTATCGACAGAAGAATTAGGTGTTCAAGAGCTCGGATGTGGGCTGTCAGACTAATCTAAAATGCCTTCAAGCTAGAACGCGTAAAACAATTAAATCATTTTTTCGGTGTGGTGCGCCATTCGCATTCAATCCCATTCATTGCTTTCCTTTAGAAAACAACAACAATGTAATTGCAATAAAAATATAGTCTATATTAAACAATAAAAAAAATAGAAAAATACTACCTTTAAGTCACTCGTATCATTTAAAAATGCGGATAAAAATAAAAATCAAGCTAATTTTAGTAATGAAAAATTCACCAAAAAGTGCTTGCATCCCCCTTCTATTTCTTGAGTTATCCAACGGTTTTCAACGGTTTTCTCCAGCGCTGATAAGACAGATGGCAACACTTGCTGCTGCTGTCCTGGTCGAAGTTACATTCATACTTTTCTACAAGGCAAGCACCAGAGGGATTTTATTCAAGTGTTCCACCCTTTTCTTTCCCCCAAACCAATCGTTATCGTGGGCTGGTGCTTTGAGGGGCGTGAGCTTCACACACACACACGTTTGTTTTACTATCCTTGTGGGGACCAAACAATTGATTCCCATTCAAAATCTAACCTTAACCCCTAAACCTGAACAGCCCTTTTCCTTGTGGGGACTGGCGAAATGTCCCCAAATGTCAGAATGTTTCTTGTTTTAGTATTATTGTGAGGACTTCTGGTCCCCACAAGGATAGTAATACAAACAACACGTACACCGCACGCCCCCTCCTGTCCGGGTTGTTTATTATAAACGATGCCCACACGCTTGTTCCCTTTGATCTTTAGGATGTCAACATAGCAACAAGTGAAAAACGTTACAAACCTATAAATAATCTCTCCTGGCGCGATATTTTCGTTCTGGGTTGCCTAGATTAGGTTATAATAGGTCCTCACATTAGGAAATTAACACCTTTTATTTCATAATTGATCGCCAGGACAGACCCTCCATTTGTTTATTCAGAAGCCGGACATTTCCCCCAGCTGTGTATCTGTTTTCAACTTCGTGTGGGCGTGCCTCTTAAGCTAAATGATAGTTGTCACACCCAAGAGGAAGGTGACAGCCAGTCGCGCGCCTCTCCCCATGACTCACACCTCTCCTCAACTACCCATTCTGTGTCCAGATGCTGGGGCTCTGTGGGGTCTGTTTGTGTTTGTGAACAGAGCCCCAGGACCAGCTTACTTAGGGGACTCTTCTCCAAGTTCATCTCTTTGTAGGTTCATCTCTTTGTAGGTGATGGCTTTGTTATGGAAGATTTGGGAATCGCTTCCTTTTATGTGGTTATAGAATTTAACGGCTCTTTTCTGGATTTTGATAATTAGGGGGTATCAGCCTAATTCTGCTCTGCATGCATTATTAGGTGTTTTTCGTTGTACACTGAGGATATTTTTGCAGAATTCTGCATGCAGAGTCTCAATTTGGTATTTGTCCCATTTTGTGAATTCTTGGTTGGTGAGTGGACCCCAGACCTCACAACCATAAAGGGCAATGGGTTCTATAACTGATTCAAGTATTTTTTAGCCAGATCCTAATTGGTATGTAGAATTTTATGTTCCTTTTGATGGCATAGAAGGCCCTTCTTGCCTTGTGTCTCAGATCGTTCACAGCTTTGGGGAAGTTACCCGTGGCGCTGATGTTTAGGCCCAGGTATGTATAGTTTATTGTGTGCTCTAGGGCAACGGTGTCTAGATGGAATTTGTATTCGTGGTCCTGGCAACTGGACCTTTTTTGGAACACCATTATTTTTGTCTTACTGAGATTTACTGTCAGGGCCCAGGTCTGACAGAATCTGTGCAGAAGATCTAGGTGCTGCTGTAGGCCCTCCTTGGTTGGTGACAGAAGCACCAGATCATCAACAAACAGTAGACATTTGACTTCAGATTCTAGTAGGGTGAGGCCGGGTGCTGCAGACTGTTCTAGTGCCCTCGCAAATTCGTTGATATATATGTTGAAGAGGGTGGGGCTTAAACTGCATCCCTGTCTCACCCCACAGCCCTGTGGAAAGAAATGTGTGTTTTTTGGCAATTTTAACCGCACACTTGTTGTTTGTGTACATAGATTTTATGTCGTATGTTTTTCCCCCAACCCCACTTTCCATCAATTTGTATAGCAGACCCTCATGCCAAATTGAGTCAAAAGCTTTTTAGAAATCAACAAAGCATGAAAAGACTTTGCCTTTGTTTTGGTTTGTTTGTTTGTCAATTAGGGTGTGCAGGGTGAATACGTGGTCTGCCGTACGGTCATTTGGTAACCATCTCGCTCTCTCTCTAATCAAATTGTATTTGTCACATGCGCTGAATACAACAGGTGTATAGACCTTACAGTGAAATGCTTACCGACAAGCCCTTAACCAACAATGCAGAATTTTTTTTAAGTAAGAAAATGTTTGGTAACAAAATACACATTTAAATAAAGTACGAAAAAAAGTAACAATAAAATACAAATAATGAGGCCATATACAGTGGGGGAAAAAAGTATTTAGTCAGCCACCAATTGTGCAAGTTCTCCCACTTAAGAAGATGAGAGAGGCCTGTAATTTTCATCATAGGTACACGTCAACTATGACAGACAAATTGAGAAAAGAAAATCCAGAAAATCACATTGTAGGATTTTTAATGAATTTATTTGCAAATTATGGTGGAAAATAAGTATTTGGTCACCTACAAACAAGCAAGATTTCTGGCTCTCACAGACCAGTAACTTCTTCTTTAAGAGGCTCCTCTGTCCTCCACTCGTTACCTGTATTAATGGCACCTGTTTGAACTTGATATCAGTATAAAAGACACCTGTCCACAACCTCAAACAGTCACACTCCAAACTCCACTATGGCCAAGACCAAAGAGCTGTCAAAGGACACCAGAAAAAAAAATTGTAGACCTGCACCAGGCTGGGAAGACTGAATCTGCAATAGGTAAGCAGCTTGGTTTGAAGAAATAAACTGGGAGCAATTATTAGGAAATGGAAGACATACAAGACCACGCAAGATCTCACCCCGTGGGGTCAAAATGATCACAAGAACAGTGAGCAAAAATCCCAGAACCACACGGGGGGACCTAGTGAATGACCTGCAGAGAGCTGGGACCAAAGTAACAAAGCCTACCATCAGTAACACACTACGCCGCCAGGGACTCAAATCCTGCAGTGCTAGACGTGTCCCCCTGCTTAAGCCAGTACATGTCCAGGCCCGTCTGAAGTTTGCTAGAGTGCATCCAGAAGAGGATTGGGAGAAAGTCACATGGTCAGATGAAACCAAAATAGAACTTTTTGGTAAAAACTCAACTTGTCGTGTTTGGAGGACAAAGAATGCTGAGTTGCATCCAAAGAACACCATACCTACTGTGAAGCATGGGAGTGAAAACATCATACTTTGGGGCTGTTTTTCTGCAAAGGGACCAGGACGACTGATCCGTGTAAAGGAAAGAATGAATGGGGCCATGTATCGTGAGATTTTGAGTGAAAACCTCCTTCCATCAGCAAGGGCATTGAAGATGAAACGTGGCTGGGTCTTTCAGCATGACAATGATCCCAAACACACCGCCCGGGCAACGAAGGAGTGGCTTCGTAAGAAGCATTTCAAGGTCCTGGAGTCTCCAGATCTCAACCCCATAGAAAATCTTTGGAGGGAGTTGAAAGTCCGTGTTGCCCAGCGACAGCCCCAAAACATCACTGCTCTAGAGGAGATCTGCATGGAGGAATGGGCCAAAATACCAGCAACAGTGTGTGAAAACCTTGTGAAGACTTACAGAAAACGTTTGACCTGTGTCATTGCCAACAAAGGGTATATAACAAAGTATTGAGAAACTTTTGATATTGACCAAATACTTATTTTCCACCATAATTTGCAAATAATTCATTAAAAATCCTACAATGTGATTTTCTGGATTTTTTTTTCTCATTTTGTCTGTCATAGTTGACGTGTACCTATGATGAAAATTACAGGCCTCTCTCATCTTCTTAAGTGGGAGAACTTGCACAATTGGTGGCTGACTAAATACTTTTTTTCCCCCACTGTACAGGGGGTACTGGTTAGTCGAGGTAATTGAGATAATATGTACATGTAGATAGGGGTAAAGTGACTATGCATAGATAATAAACAGTGAGTAGCAGCAGCGTAAAAAAGGGGGTCAATGCAAATAGTCCGGGTAGCCATTTGATTAACTGTTTAGCAGTCTAATGGCTTGGGGGTAGAAGCTGTTCAGGAGCATTTTAGACCTAGACTTTGCGCTCCGGTACCGCTTGCCATGTGGTAGCAGTGAGAACAGTCTATGACTAGGTTGGCTGGAGTCTTTGACCATTTTTAGGGCCTTTCTCTGACACCGCCTTGTCTAGAGGTCCTGGATGGCAGGAAGCTTGGCCCCAGTGATGTACTGGGCCGTACGTACTACCCTCTGCAGCGCCTTGCGGTCGGCTGCCAAGCAGTTGCCGTACCAAGTGGTGATGCAACCAGTCAGGATGCTCTCGATGGTGCAGCTGTAAAACTTTTTGAGGATCTGAGGACCCATACCAAATCTTTGCAGTCTCTCTCTCTCATCTAAAATGTCCTCCTCTCCTATTGAATTTGGCTTCACCTCTTCAGAGTCAAGGAGAATCAAATCAAATTGTATTTCCCACATGCGCTGAATGAAAACAGGTGTATAGACCTTACAGTGAAATGCTTACTTACAAGACCTTAACCAACAATGCAGTTTTAAGAAAAAAAGTGTTAAGTAAAAAATAGTTAAAGAGCAGCAGTTAAATAAAATAACAGTAGGGGGGCTATATACAGGAGGTACCGGTACAGAGTCAATGTGCGGGGGCACCGGTTAGTTGAGGTAATTGAGGTAATATGTACATGTGGGTAGAGTTAAAGTGACTATGCATAGATAATAAACAGAGTAGCAGCAGTGTAAAAGAGGGGGTGGAGTGGAGTGCTGTTGAGATGTAGCCCAGATGAAGGCCTGCTACCTACCCAAGTCCCGATTCTCCACCGTTCTGCCAAAGTGTGCACCGCCTGACATGGATTGCACACCGCCTGACATGGATTTTACATTGATGGACAGTCCCTCTAGTTAACGCTTACACCAATCCTGTGCCGTAAAATCCTAGCCTGACGACACAAAATTCTTCCTCTGCTCTGTCATTCGCTTCATACTTTAGCCTGAGACTGCCATCATCGATGTTGTTTGTGGTGACGAGGGGCATTGTACAAAACAAAGTCATCAGCGATTGGATCATCTCTAACCAATCAGCGTATCAAAGCCAATGACACATTTTCAAACCGCCGCTTTACCCACGTGTTCTGGCTCTGGCCCAACCCATCAGTTTCTGGACCAATCAGAAGGACCTGAATGTGTTGGTGTTCGGTGAAGGGTCGGGGAGGTACTCAAATCCATACTCATTGAGGAGAAGAAACTAACGTCTGTGGGCGTGGCCTGGCGTTTGGCCGGAGCAAGGAGTCTGGGTAGCCAGGCAATTACAATCTACGGTGGAGACTGACTTCAGGAGAAGGTGGAGACTCTGGGAGAATCTCAATCGCATATTCCTTGCGTCCTTCCGCTCCTCGCCTCCTTCTCAAAACCCATTGGAGAAGGTCAGAAGGGAGAGGCCTCAAACTTTCTCATCCAACGGGTTTTGAGGAGGCGGCGAGGAGAGAGGACTCAAGGAATATGCATTTGAGATTCTCCCTCTACCAGTCACTAGTGTCACCTTTGAACCCCAGACATCAAAGGGTGTGGCATGTCAACACTGTGATTTAATTGAACCAGACCACGATCGGCATGCTCGCTTTCCTACACCGCAGCGTATCCCGTCAAACATGGTAGAACCTGCCAAACTCAATACCTGTCTGTCCCAATGTACCGGGGGGAGACAGTAAGAAACGTCAGCCAAGCTGCCTGAACGATAAGCTGAGAGCTAGTGGATGGGACAGGAGGTCCCCTCCCCTCCCCTCCCGCTCTCTCTATTCTCTGGAATAAAAGAATGCAGTCTGAATCCAGGTAGCTAATACATGGAGCATGAACAGCAGAGACAGTCTCTGGCACGACTTCCAACGAGTGGGTGTGTGTGGAGAGAAACTAATATGATAATAAATAGCCTGTTACATTAGAAAGCTACCAATAAAATAGACCTTATTCTGTTCTAAGCACTGTTCAAGCTGTTCATATCAACACAGAGAGAAAACACACAACCACATATTGGCAATGGAGATTATTCTATGTGTTTATTAATTTGTTTCATGTTTTCGAACTCCTGTAAAACTATTTTAAGTGCATTCTGGATTCACAACGGGTTTAAATACATCACAATCCACTTTGAGCCTGGAATTTCATGTTAAAAGGTAGGCGGAACAGTGTGTTTGGGCGTCCGCTCTGTTCTGCATGTCCCTCTATGGTAGCCGTAGTCATCTGATCACAATCCTCATTTCTTACCTGGAGACAATAAAACATAATATCAGAGGAAATTACAGTTGGATCTAATCAAACTTTATTGAGACAAAAAAGTCTTAACGACCATGAAAAATGTCCAAAGAAATGCGTTTTCCTTGATCAGCATCTTTTGATATTGACTTTCAGTCAGAAAAACTGCTTGGCCTATAACCCGTTATACACTGTTAAGAAAGAAGCTTGCTTGGATATCAAAGTGTTAACAGACGTCTCCAGACCTGGAATTCTGTTTGTCTGTCTATTCAGACTCATCACCATCTTGAGATAAACCAGAATTTGAATTATACTGGCACAAACACACATTAATCTCTTGACTTCTCAACACACACACACACTTTGGCACATCACTTCCAATAAGATATGTGAAACCACAGACCACTATGATGGAGAGGGATAGACTGGGGGGGGGTGTCCTGGTTTAGCTCAAGATGGTGATGAGTGAAGAATAGAATTCCAGGTCTGGAAGCATCTGGAAGAGTTCTGGACTGAATCTGGTGTTGAATAAAGAACACATCAGGGTAACTGATATAATGATCTACAGACAACCAGGGAGGCAGACAGACAACCAGATAGACAGACAGACAACCAGATAGACAGACAGACAACCAGATAGACCAGATAGACAGACAGACAGACCAGATAGACAGGGAGACAGACAGACAACCAACCAGATAGACAGGGAGACAGACAGACAACCAGATAGACCAGATAGACAGACATACAGACCAGATAGACAGGGAGACAGACAGACAACCAACCAGATAGACAGGGAGACAGACAGACAACCAGATAGACAGGGAGACAGACAGACAACCAGATAGACAGGGAGACAGACAACCAGACAGACAGAAATAGAGGGAGACAGGCAGGGAGAGAGGGAGACAGGCAGAAAGACAGAGAGGGAGACAGACAGAGAGGGAGACAGGTAGGGAGAGAGGGAGACAGGCAGACAGAGGGAGACATGCAGACAGAGAGAGACATGCAGACAGAGAGGGAGACAGGCAGACAGAGAGGGAGACAGGCAGACAGAGGGAGACAGACAGACCACGTCTCACTGAAAGCTACACAGTGTGTGTCCCTCCACAATATTCTCTCTCCCTCTCCCTCGCTCCCCTTCTTCGATAAAGAGAGCAGGATGCCAGCAACAGCTCGCATGCCACCATAAAACACTAAAACAACTAGCGAGACCATCCTTCCCACAAACAAAACAGAAAAACACAACCAAAACAACTTTAGCACCGCGACCACCAGCTCCACCACAACAGAGCAACCCCAGGCTCCGGAGCTCCAGACCACAGGGGCCTGCCGTGTTTCATGTGGCCCAGAACGGGGCACTCTGACTGGGGCTGCGTGTCAGCAGAGGTCCCCTGGGGGTGGAGGGGACTTGGAGGAGAAACCATCCTGAACTAATAAATGTGTGTGTGTGTGTGGTGGGTGTGTGTGTGTGTGTACCGTTCCCCCCGAACAGCATCCTTATCTTTTGACTCATCTGATGTTTTCCTTACAACACTTCCTATTGACTGTGGTTTTAAAGAGGGCCCTCGGAGTATAGTGTGTGTGTATGTGTGTGTGTGTGTGTGTAAGAAGGAATGTGGCAAACACTGCAATCGATCAAAGCTTGTAAACAGGGTGGGTGCCTTTTGGGGCTGTAGGATTTAGACCAAAAATGTCAAATTGTGATTTTTATGGCAAGATATTGCGATTATGAATTGCGTTTTTCAAACACTTGGTAATTCCATCAGACATGGTTAAAACAAGTGTCAGGGTAGAGAACATCACTTCTACAATGAGATGATATGAATTCATACATACTGTGCTAACTGAATACAAAACCAAATGAAATAAGTAGGCTGAATCATTATTAGAATTGAAATGAGTCAAAGTGCCTTAAAAACATGTAGCACGTAGCCTACCGATCGCAAGGTGGCTGTGTCCAAAACGTTGGAGTCTGGTCCAGTCATTCAACGCGTCATGTTTCAACTTCTCCCTTGATTTTGTTCTACAGTTTTGGGATGGCGACTTTGGAGAAATAGTGTTTATTTGTCTTCTTGAAGCCGTCTTTGCTGACTGTGTAAATAGGAATCATTACTTTGGCTTTGTGACAGGTGATAGCCTCTGTGATGTCTATGTGTCTGCGGGATGTTTTTTCGTAGGGCGTTGCGCTTGAAAATGCATCGGCAATCAATGCCTGTTTAACGTAGGTGGCTGGTTGTGGCTGAGGGGCGTTCTTTTTTTAAACCACGCTATGGTCGTAAAGTAGGAGATATTCTTCTAATGATTGAATCCATTTGTTTGTGCCCTTGTTGTCGCTACAACTCTGAGGCACTTTTTGCACAACACATGCATTTGGTTGACATCGGGTTTGCCTGTAGCCGAAATACTGCCATACCACTGAAGATGTGCTGAAATACTGCCATACCACTGAAGATGTGCTGAAATACTGCCATACCACTGAAGATGGCTGAATACTGCACATGCCGAATACTGCCAACCACTGAAGATGCGCTGAAATACTGCCATACCACTGAAGATGCGCTGAAATACTGCCATAACAAGCTGAAATGCTGCTAACCTGAAATGCGCTAATACTGCCATACCACTGAAGATTGCGCTGAAATACTGCCATACACACTGACAGATGCGCTGAAATACTGCCTAACCACTGAAGATGCGTCTGAAATACTGCCAACACCACTGAAGATGCGCTGAAATACTGCCAACCACTGAAGATGCGCTGTAAATACTGCCAAAACCACTGAAGATGCGCTGAAATACTGCCCATACCACTGAAGATGCGCGAAATACTGCCATACCACTGAAGATGTGCTGAAATACTGCCATACCACTGAAGATGCGCTGAAATACTGCCATACCACTGAAGATGCGCTGAAATACTGCCATACCACTGAAGATGCGCTGAAATACTGCCATACCACTGAAGATGCGCTGAAATACTGCCATACCACTGAAGATGCGCTGAAATACTGCCATATCACTGAAGATGCGCTGAAATACTGCCATACCACTGAAGACGCGCTGAATACTGCCATACACTGAAGATGCGCTGAAATACTGCCATACCACTGAAGATGCGCTGAAATACTGCCATACCACTGAAGATGCGCTGAAATACTGCCACACCACTGAAGATGCGCTGAAATACTGCCATACCACTGAAGATGTGCTGAAATACTGCCATACCACTGAAGATGCGCTGAAATACTGCCATACCACTGAAGATGCGCTGAAATACTGCCATACCACTGAAGATGCGCTGAAATACTGCCATATCACTGAAGATGCGCTGAAATACTGCCATACCACTGAAGATGCACCGAAATACTGCCACACCACTGAAGATGCGCTGTAATACTGCCATACCACTGAAGATGCGCTGAAATACTGCCATACCACTGAAGATGGTGCTGAAAAATACTGCCATACCACTGAAGATTCGCTGATGAAATACTGCCACACCACTGAAGATGCGCTGAAATACTGCCACACCACTGAAGATGCGCTGAAATACTGCCATACCACTGAAGATGCGTCCTTTTGGCACCAAATCGTCGTTCTCGTTAGCACTAGCAGCACTCATGTTTCCGACACTGAGGTAAAGCCACAGAGTTTCTCACACTGTACTGTAAAGCCCTTTCTCTCCTCACCAGCATCGGCCAGCATGTGCATGCCATGCAGAGAGCCCGCTTGTGATTGGTCAGCATCCTCTGTGCATGTAGAGTGTGAATGAACAGAGTCTAGAGCATCCCATTGGAGGAGGTACCGTAGTCTAGTTGTTGTATTAACTGAGTGTCAAAGAAAGGAGAAAATCGCAGCCTCTTGCGATATGGATATTGCACATGTCAATTTGGATCTGAATTCGATGAATCATGCAGCCCTAGTGCCTTTGTACCCCTTTCTATGTCCGTGTAAACAGGGTCAGCATGCTGAAGAGGGAAAGCTACAATGTCAAATAAAATAGAAGACTGAACAGATGAAGTAGGAATTGCCAATCCATTAATTTTAGGATGAACTCTCCCTTTAAAATAATAATAATAATAATAATAATAATAATAATTTGGTAGGTGCTTATATTTGTCCTATTTTACACTTGTAGTGTGTAGTAGTGTGTAATTGTGTTAATTGAAAATGTGTTTGTTGCATATCCTAACATATCCTGCCTTGCTCAGGGGCACAACGGCACATTTTTCACCGTGTCTGCTCCAGGATTTGAACCAGCGACCTTTTGGCTACTGGCGCAACGCTCTTACCTCGAGGCTACCTGCTGCCCTGGTGGAATTAGATGATGCCTATCTATCACACTCATTTTGGAGTTGAACTCTGCCTTTAACAATGACGGCAAATTGCTGATGCTACCTTTATCAGTTAGGTAACAGTAGGTCCTTTTAGGGTGGACTATCCCTTTAACCCTTCAACAGTTAGGTCTGATCAGTAGTGTACCTGGCAGTTTGAGCCACTTGGGGACCTTGCCGGGGTCCGTCCTGACTGGTTTGGGGGCCTGGCCATGTGTGTTAGGCTCCTCCTCCTCCTCAACCTCCCTGGTCCCAGCGGGGGGGTCTGGAAGGGGCTCCTCTGTTACCATGGAAGAGGAGGAGGAGGAGGGGGGTGAAGACCTGGGCATACAGCTGATAGAGGGGGTGGGGGTTGGGGGGTAAAGAAGAGAGAGAGAAGAGAGAGAGAAGAGAGAAGATAGAGCTAGAGAGTAGAAGGAGAAGAGAAGAGAGAGAAGAGAGAGATCGGAGAGAGATTAGAGAGAGAAGAGATGAGAGAGAGTATAGGAGAGAGAGATATAGAGAGGACAGAAAAGTACAGTAAAAGGAATAGAAAGACAGAGGGCATTTAGTCCACAGGATTTCATCAGATGTGTATTCTGAACACGCACACACCAATCCATCTCTAGACCCCCAACTCATGGAAATACATTTTTGGACTCTCCAGAAGGGGCAACGGACGTGTTTGGGAAGTGGAGTGTGTGGTTGTGTGTCCCCCAGGGGGTTCAGGCTCTTTCATGTGGCCAGGAGTAGTGACCTCAGAGGTTAGGAAAGGTCATGACACTGTGGACGCCACTATCGGAGACTTCCTGTCCAGGGGATCGAACAAACACATCCTCTCCTGACAGAACAAATTTCACTTTTGACGCGGGTGCCACATTATAAATAACTTATACGTCCCTCTCTCTCTCTCCATTTTCCTCTCTCTCTTTCCCTCTCTCTCTCCTTCACTATGTCAATATCTCCCTCTCTTACCCCCCTTTTCCCACTCCCCCTCTCTCACCCTCCCTCACAGAAGTAGGGGAGAGGTTGAAGGTTCCCTGGCATCCCCTTTTAATCTAATACTGGAGAGAAAGAGAGGTAGGGTGGAGAGTGGAGAGGTAGGGGTGGAGAGGTAAGGGGTGGAGAAGGTAGGGGTGGAGAGGTAGAGAGAGGTAGGGGTGGAGAGGTAGAGAGAGGTAGGGTGAGGGTTGGGAGCGTAGAGGAGGTAGGGGAGGAGGAGTAAGGTAGGGTGAGGTGGAGAGTACGGAGGAGGTCAAGAAGAGGTAGGGGTGGGAGAGAGGTCGGTGAGAAGGTATAGATCGGTCGTGGTGGCGCGGTCGCGCGCTGTCGGGGTTTGTGCTCTTTCCGCGCGGTCTTCTTTGTGCCTGTCGCGCGGTCCGGTGCGCGTTGTCTCGCCGTGTCCGGTGGCGCGGTGTCGTACGCGCGGTCGGGGTGGCGCGGTCGCGCGCTGGTCGGGTGGCTCGGTCGCGCGCGTCGCGCGTGGTCGGGGTGGCGCGGTCTCGCGCGGTCCGGGTGGCGGGTCGCGCGGGTCGGGGTGGCGCGGTCGCGCGCGGTCGCGCGTGGTTGGGGTGGCGCGGTCTCGCGCGTCGTAGTGGGTCGGTCGGTGGCGGCGCGTTCTGTCGCGCGGTCCGGTGTGCTGTTCTCGTCGCGCGGTCCGGTGGCGCGGTCGACGCGCGTTCGTCCGCGTGCACGGTGGTGGCGCGCGGTTCGGGGTGGCGCGTCGCGCGCGGTCCTGGGTGGTCGCGGTCGCCGCGGTCGCGCGCGGTCGGGGTGGCGCGTCGGTGCGCGGTCGGTGCGCGGGGTCGGGGTGGCGCGGTCGCGCGGTCGGGGTGGCGCGGTCGCGCGCGTCGGGTTGGCGCGGTCGCGCGGTCCGGGTGGCGCGTCGCGCTGGTCGGGTGGCGCGGTCAGCGACGCGGTCGCGCGCGGTCGGGGCGGCGCGGTCGCGGGCGCGTCGCCGCCGGTACGGGGTGTCGCGGTCGCGCGCGGTCGGGGTGGCGCGGTCCGCGCGGTCGTCGCGCGGTCGGGCTGGCGCGGTCGCGCCGGTCGCGCCGGTCGGGTGGCGCGGTCGGCGCGTTCGGGTGGCCGGTTCGCGGCGTCGCGCGCGGGTCGTGGTCGCGTCGCGGTCGCGCGCGGTCGCGCGCGGTCGGGGTGGCGCGGTGCAGCCGGTCGCGGCGGTCGGGGCGGCCGGTTCGCGCGGTTCCGTGGTGCGCGGTGGTCGCGGTCGGCGGTGTCGCTGTGTCGCGCGCCGGCTCCGCGCGGGTTCGGGTGTGCGCTGGTCGAGGCGGTGGCGCGGTCGGGGTGGCTGCCCGCGGGCCGTGGGTTCCTGCGGTTGTGTCGACTCTGCTGAGGCGTCCGACGGCCAGCGCGTGGGGGGGGTCATTTTTGGGAAATGGGGGAAGTGGTGTGTGTGCGCGTGCGCGTTTGGTCGGAACCCTTCAAAGGGATTCCGACAATGACAGCGCTGTGACAGTAAAATAGAGCTGTTGCCCGGGGATACACAGCCGAGCCGTGTTGCCAAGACGATGGGGCAGTTCCACCAACAAGCTTTCCTGATCCTCTCCTGCTTACACTCACACAACATACACACCACAAATAACATGTGTTGTTGTTTTGGTTTGGTTGGTAAATGTCAATAGTAGACCTACCCAGCAATGGCCTGGTCTGCTTGTAGGGACGAGACACTGGAGTCCAGGAGATCTCTCTGTAAGTAACTCTCTGTGAAGAGAGAACACACCTCCTTCATCATCATCATCATCACCACCAGACTCACCTCCTTCATGTCAACGTGTTTGAATCAAAGAGAGGTAACAGGAGACTGACCTGTCTTGACCTCAGAACCAAGGTACACCAGGGCAGCAGGGAATAGGTTAGCCTGGAGAGAGAGAGGAGGAGAGACGCTAGTTGGAAATAAATCTACTTATAGCGCTCAAACAACTTCTTTGCCATCACCAAACATGGCGGCTCACAGTTCAGTTTGAAGTGAACCACAAAACGAGAGCTCATCAAGCGGTTGGGAAAACCATGAGAGCAAAACACACAACCCCTCAATCCCAACACCTTAAAGTTAAAGGTTTTAATGGTGCTGATGGTTCTAATGGTTGACAGTTAGACTGGTGATTACAGGGGAGACAACTATCTGTGGTGAAGACAGACAGGCAGAGTGTGGAAGAGTAAAGTTGGATTATTCTGACCATACTGTTCACCTGAGAGACAGACAGACAGACAGTTAAAAACATCTCTAGTACTGTCTGCTGAGGATAAAGACACACCCCATATCATCCCCCCCCCCTCTCTCTACCCCTCCATCCTCCCCCCCTCCCCCTCTCTCCCCCCTCCTCCCCCCCCCCCTCCTCTCTCTAAAACCCCCCCCCCCATCCTCCCCCCTAAACCCCATCCTCACCCCCCTTTCCCCCTCCCCCCTCCTCCCTCTCCTCTCTCTCTCCCCCCCCCTCCCCCTCCCCCCCTTTCCTCTCTCTACCCCCCCTCCCCCTCCCCCATCCCTCTTTTGGTCTATTTTTTTGGTTGACAGTTAGACTGTGATTACAGGGGAGACCTTCTTGGTAAACAGCAGGCAGAGTGTGGGAAAATAATTGGATTTTCTGACCATACTGTTTACCCCGAAGACAGACAGACAGACATTAAAAAAAATCTCTAGTACTGTCTCTGAGGAAAAAGACACACCCCATATCACCCCCCCCCCCCCCCTCTCTCTCCCCCCCATCCCCCCCTTCTCTCTCTAATCCCCCCCCCCCCCCCCCCCCCCCCTTCCCCCCTCCCCCCTCCCCCCTCCCCCCCCCCCCCTCCTCCTCCCCCTCCCCCCCCCTCTCCCCCCGTCCCCCTCCCTCCTCCCCCCCCCCGTCCCCTCCTCCCCCCCCTCCTCCCCCCTTTCCCCTCCCCCCCTCCTCCTCCCCCCTCCTCCCTCCCCCCCCCTCCCCTCCCCCTCCCTTTCCTCCCCCTTCCTCCTCCCCCCCCCCCTCCTCCCTTTCCCCCCCCCCCCCCCCTTCCTTCCCTCCCCCTCCTCTCTAACCCCTCCCTCCTCCCCCCCTCCCCCCCCCTCTCCCCCCCCCCCCCTCCTCTCCCCCCCCCTCCTCCCCCCCCTCCCCTCCCCCCACCCCCCCTCCCCCCTTTCCCTCTCTCCCCCCCCCATCCCCCCCCTTCCTCCCCCTCTCCCCCTCCCCCCCCCCCCTCTCCCTCTACCCCCCCCCCCCCTCCCCCCCCCCCTCCCCCCCCGTCCCTCTTCTACCCCTCCCCTTTCCCCCCCCCCCGTCCTCTCTCTACCCCCCCCATCCCTTCCCCCCCCTCCTCCCCCCACCCCCCCCCTCCCCTCTCTACCCCCCATCCCCCCCCCCCCCCATTCCCCCCCCCCTCCCCTCCCCCCCCCCCGTCCTCTCTCTTACCACCCCCCCCCTCCCCCCCCCCCTTTTTCCCCCTCTCCCCCCCCCCTCCCTCCTCCCCCCACCCCCCTCCCCCCTCCCCCCCCTCTTCCTCTCCACCTCACCCTTTCCCCCCCTCCTCCCCCCCCCCCTCCTCCCCCTCCCCCCTTTCCTCTTCTCCCCCTTACCCCCCTTAAACCCCCTCCTCCCCCCCTTTCCCCTCTCAAACCCCCCTCCCCCCTCTGTCCCTCTCTCTACCTCTCCCTCTGTCCTCTCTTACCCCTGTACCTTCAGTCCTTCCCCCGCTGTCCTCTTCATACCTTCTCCCCTCATCTTCCCCCCTCTGTCCTCTATCTACCCATCTCCCCTCTCGACCCCTCTACCCTCAGTCCTCCCCCCTCTGTCCTCTCTCTACCCCTCTCCCCTCTGTCCTCTCTCTACCCCTCTACCCTCAGTCCTCCCCCCGCTGTCCTCTCCCAACCTCTCTCCCTCCTCCTCCCTCTCTCTCTGGTCCCCCTGGTTTCTATTATGGGCAGAGCTGTTAATTACTATTATTAGAGGCTCTTTGAACAGGAAACAATGTGTATCAATGGGATAACAGACATTCCACCAATCTCTCCCTGGGCACACCATGCTCCCTTTGGCACTGGACGTCTCAATAGGCGGGGGGAGAGATAGAGGGGGAGGCCTGGTATCAAAGGATTGTTGGGATGGGAAACATTCCTTCTGTGACATGACACAAAGTGATTGAAGATTGTGTGTGAGATGAAAATGGCTCCAGTATATATATATATATATATATATATATATATATATATATATATATATATATATATATATCTCTCTCTCTCTCAACATCAAACACTGCCTCCCCCCCTTCTTTCTCTCTCCTCACCCCAGATCAAACAGAGGAAGGACACAGAGAGAGGAGGAGAAAGAGGATAGGAGAGAAGAGAGCAACAGACGGAGGGAGAGAGAGAGGGAAAGTTATTTTTCTAAAGCACATGACAATTCCTTGTGTTGTGTGTGCAGTCTTTTTCCCACCTAATAAAAAGTGAAACATTTAGGTAGTTGTTTATTGTGTATGGTTTCTGTCTCTATGCTGTTTCAACCCCAATAGAACCCTAATTAATACTTTACACTGATCAAGTTTACCGGTCCAATTTCATTCCATTCTTTAGAGATATGAAGAACCTTACCTGGAAGAGATATATAAAGAAGAGATGTAGGAGAGGGGGGGGGGGGTGGGTGTGACAGGAGCCTTACCTGGAAGAGGGTGGCTGTTGGGTCCTCCAGAATGGTTTTAGGAGGAGCGATGACTGGAAGAGAGGAAAGGATATTTATATCCAAAATGAGAGAGATGGAGAGAGATTCTTCTCTCCCTCTCCCCCCTCCCTCCCTTCTCCCTTCTCCCTGAGGACCTGAGCCATGCCTCAGGACTCCTGGCTGTCCCCGTCCCCAGTCCACCTGGTCGTGCTGCAAATCCAGTTTCTGCTGTTCTGCCTGTGGCTCTGGACCCCAGACCTGTTCACCGGACATGCTGCATCGTCCCTCCCTCCCTGCCCCGCCCCCCTCTCTGTCCTAGCCACCATGCTTCTACATCTGCATTGCTGCTCTCTGGGGTTATAGGCTGGGTTTCTGTATAAGCACTTTGTGTCATCTGCTGATGGAAAAAGGGCTTTATAAATATACTGAACAAAAATATAAACCCAACATGTAAAGTGTTGGTCCCATGTTTCATGAGCTGAAATAAAAGAGGCCAGAAATGTATATTTTTGTTCAGTATAAATTAGATTGATTGAGAGAGATGCAGAGAAAGAGATGGAGAGAGAGAGAGAGATGGAGCGAGAGAGAGAGTAACGATACTCACACAGGTAGAAGGGTAGTTGGGGGTCCTGCAGGTGGCTCTTCACAAAGTGCCTCAGAGCAGCAACTGGACGGACAGTTGAAAACACCACCTGGTTATTCCATCACATCTCTATGGTCACAGTTTCATTCCAATGTCAGAGAGATATCAACTACCTGTCTCTAGAGTCAACACTGTACATAGTTACTAATAAAAGGAGACAGAGAGAGAGACAGAGAGAGAGAGAGACAGAGAGGGATAGAGAGAGAGAGAGAAAGAAAGAGAGAGAGAGGGATAGAGAGAGAGAGAAGGGTTTAGAGGAAGAGAGATCTACCTGTCTCTAGAGGTCTGAAGAATCCCTGTAGAACACGTCTGTCAGGGAACTGGACCCTCAGAACTACCTGGACACACACACACGTCTTATTATTATATTGCTAATGTTACTGTAGTAACAGATTCAGGACTACTATTGGCATCCACCTCCAGGCTAGTGGTCAATTCCATATACATTTAGGAGAAATTCCAATTCATGAATTAAATAAATTTTCAACTAAAGGGTATCTGACACACACACACACACACAACTCACTCGGGGGTATCTGTCCATCTTATCCTTCATCTGAGATTCTCTCAGAGCTTTAGTCATCAGAGGAGCCTCCTCTAGCACCCTCCTAGAGAGAGGGAGGGGAGAGAGTGTCATGTTTACTGGTCATATTTATTGTCCATTTCACTTTTGTTGACTATCTACTTCACTTGCTTTGGCAATGTTAACATATGTTTCCCATGCCAATGAAGCCCTTAAATTAAATTGAATTGAGAGAGGAGAGGAGAGAGAGAAGGGGGTGAGAGGAGAGAAGGAGAGAGAGAGAGAGAGAAGCGAGAGGGATGGAGGAGAGAGAGGAAAAAGAGGGAGGGAGGAGAGGTGAGAGAGAGAGGGGAGAGAGGGAGTAGAGAGAGGGAGGAGAGAGAAGGGGGTGAGAGGAGAGAAGGAGAGAAGGAGGGAGAGAGATGATTTACAGTTGACTTTTTAATGTGTGTGTGTGTGTGTGTGTGTGTGTTAGATCACTGTGGTCAATGTTTAATTCTAGCCATGATAATATGTCTAGTGTGGTGTCACACAGAGATCAGGGAGGCAGACATCTATTTTGAAGAAGGCCTCGTAAAGAAGCAATCAGGCGCACGCACACACACACACACACACACACACAGAGCAACCTTTCGCAGCATTCCCTAGTCTAACTCCAAACTTCTAATTAAGTCATTGGCATACTATAATTTGAGTTTATATAGAAACCCATTTAGAAATTCCCCAACTGACTGCTTTCAGACCTTAACCATTAGCAGGTAAAAACTGATCCCAGATCTGCTCTTCTTACTTTTGTTTATACATGACCTCATTGGGTAATCCTAACAAACTAAATCCAGGAGGTAAAAACAGATCCCAGATTTTCTCATGACAGTTAAGAGCATTGGGCCAGTAACCGAAAGGTCGCTGGTTCGAATCCTCAAACCGACTAGGTGAAAAATCTGCCGATGTGCACTTGAGCAAGGCACTTAACCCTAATAGATCCTGAAATTGGCTCTGGATAAGAGCGTCTGCTAAATGACTCAAATGTAAATGACATTTGACTGTTTAGTAGAGATGCGATCTCTTTTCAGTCTCTCCATATCTCCCTTGTTCAATCTCACTGACGCTTTCTCGCTCTATACAAATCAAAACCCAAGCAACTTTCTCTCCTCTTCATCTCTCCTTCCTCTTCCTTCTTCCCCAAAGTGTCACCTCTCACTTCATTTCCTCTCCATTTTCCCCTCTTCCTTCCGCTCTCCTTCCATGTTTATTTTCTTCTCTCCCCCACCTCTCCTCCCGTCTTCCTCTCGCTCTCAGTCTCTCCTTCCCAAATGAGTCTCACCTCTCACTCTTCAGCTGAGCGAAGCGTTTGCGGATGTCGTCCACAGTCACCTCGAAGAACTCGTCTGGCAAGTCCTGTTCGTTGCCGTAGCGACGCGCCCCAGAGTCCATGTGGTAGATCAGGGGTTCCCTGTCCACCGGCTGTAGAGGAGACAGACAGACAGACAGACACAGACAGACAGAGAGACACAGACAGACAGAGAGACAGAGACAGAGACAGAGACAGAGACAGACAGACAGACAGAGAGAGAGACATCTCAACGGCTGCAGACATGACAGCAGTAGAAATGTAAAGGACTGTATCTGTCTGGAGAGGTGATAGCAGTAGAAATGTAAAGGACTGTATCTGTCTGTAGGTGACAGCAGGTGACAGCAGTAGAAATGTGTATCTGTCTGGAGAGGTGACAGCAGTAGAAATGTGTATCTGTCTGGAGAGGTGACAGCAGTATCTGTGTATTGGTCTGTCTGACTGTTTCTATATAAACCATAGGGGAGACACTCAACAGGCCTGAGGAAAACACAGAGATTTCTCCATGGAAGTGTTCAATTCAATTAATGAAATGGTCTCTTCAACCCAGCTGAACAACATCAACACGATCAACTTTACCTCCAGAAACTCCTCTACCACAGCCCAGTCATCCTGTTTGTCACTGGCTTGGCGCTGAGAGATAGAAACAGAACAGGAACATCTAGAACATACCATCGATCACTCATTCATTAATGTATCTATTCACTTGACCATTTCTTATCAACAGAGTACATTGAGAAGACATTGGGTAGTAGGTACAGGTCTCACCTTGGCGTTGTCAGGTTTAGATTTCTTGGCTTTGGGCGGCCCTCCAACCACTGATGGTAGTGATGATGATGATGCTCCTACTCCGCTAGCCCCCGGACCCCCCAGCCTCTGACCCCCTCCAGAGAAAGGGATGAAGGGAGCGGAGGGAGGAGAGGAAGAGGAGGAGGTGGAAGGATGAGCGGAGCACTGACCAGATGGTCCCGCCCTCTCTCCATCCCCCTCTTCCTCCCTCTTCACTCCCCCGAAGGGACTGCTTTTAGGCCGCACCGCATTTTGGGAGTTTGGAAACGCTTCCGCTTCCTGTTTGCCAGGAAGTGTACTGCCAGCGGCCGAGGGGACTGGGGCATCCGCAGTCTCAACCGGCCTATCAGGGCTCTCCTTTTTGATTGACGGCAGCTCCGCACGTTCTGGTTGTGAGAGAGGTGGTTCGAAGGGGGGTAACGGGCGGGGCTTGGTTTCCTTGGCGATGGGATCTGTCGCCGTGGAAGCCGTCTCCATGCCGTCATCGTCTCCGTTGCCTGGCGATTTGGTCTTCTTCAGTAAAAACCTGTAGAAAGGCAGAGAGGAATGACATCATCTACATACTCTTCTTCTTCTTCATCTTCATCACCATCACCATAGCCACCCTTCTGTTCCCCATCAGTGGCAGTGCTTTGTTCTAAAGCTGTATCCGTACCAATTGGATGCAGTGATCACAATACAGTGGCTATATCCAGGAAAGCCAAAGTTTCCAACAGCTGGGCCTAAAATAGTGTATAAGAGATCATACAAAAGATGGATGATGTCAAAAATGTATGTTGGTCTGATGTGATTAATAAGGAGCATCCAGACGATGCACTTGATGAATTTATGGAATTGCTTCTTCCAATTATTGATAAACATGCACCTGTTAAGAAACTAACTGTTAGAACTGTTAAGGCTCCATGGATTGATGAGGAATTGAACAACTGTGTGGTTGAAAGAGATGGGGAAAAGGAGTGGCTAATAAGTCTGGCTGCACATCTGACTGGTTGACTTACTGTAAATTGAGAAATTATGTGACTAAACTCAACAAAAAGAAGAAGAAACTGTATTATGAAGCCAAAACTTGAGTACTTTAAATGAAATTATGGGCAGAAAGACAAATTCAACTCCACCTTTCATCGAATCAGATGGATTATTCGTCACAAAACCATTTGATGTTGCCAATTATTTTAATGATTACTTCATTGGCAAAGTGTCAAAACTTAGGCAGGAAATGCCAACAATGAACAGTGAGCCGTCGTATTCATGCATAAAAAAATAATAAAGAAAGAAAAGCATTGCAAGTTTGAATTTTGTAAAGTTCGTGTGGGAGAGGTGGGAAAATTATTGTTTTCGACCAATAATGACAAACCTCCTGGCATTGACAACTTAGATGGAAAGCTACTGAGGATGGTAGCTGACTCTATAGCCACTCCTATCTGTCATATCTTTAATCTGAGCCTGGAGGAAAGTCTTTGTCCTCAGGCCTGGAGGGAAGCCAAAGTCATTCCGCTACGCAAGAATGGTAAAGCGGCCTTTACTGGTTTTAACAGCAGGCCTATAAGCTTGCTGCCAGCTCTTAGCAAACTGTTGGAAAAAATTGTGTTTGACCAAAGACAATGCTATCTCTGTAAACAAATTAACAACAGACTTTCAGCATGCTTATAGGGAAGGGCACTCGACATGCACTGCACTGACAAATGACTGAAGATTGGATGAAAGAAATTGATAATAAGAAGATTGTGGGAGCTGTACTGTTAGATTTCAGTGCAGCCTTTGATATTATTGACCATAACCTGTTGTTGAAAAAACGTACGTGTTATGGCTTTTCAACCTCTGCCATATCGTGGATTCAGAGCTATCTATCTAATAGAACTCAAAGAGTTGTCTTTAATGGAAGCTTCTCTAATGTCAAACATGTAAAGTGTGGAGTACCACAGGGCAGCTCTCTAGGCCCTCTACTCTTTTCTATTTTTACCAATGACCTGCCACTGGCATTAAACAAAGCATGTGTGTCCATGTATGCTGATGATTCAACCATATACGCATGAGCAACCACAGCTAATTAAGTCACCGAAACCCTTAACAAAGAGTTGCAGTCTGTTTTGGAATGGGGTGGCCACTAATAAACTGGTCCTGAACATCTCTAAAACTAAGAGCATTGTATTTGGTACAAATCATTCCCTAAGTTCTAGACCTCAGCTGAATCTGGTAATGAATGGTGTGGCTGTTGAACAAGTTGAGGAGACTAAATTACTTGGCGTTACCTTAGATTGTAAACTATCATGGTCAAAACATATAGATTCAATGGTTGTAAAGATGGGGAGAGGTCTGTCTGTAATAAAGAGATGCTCTGCTTTTATGACACAGCACTCCAAAAAGCAAGTTCTGCAGACTCTAGTTTACTCTTATCTTGATTATTGCCCAGTCGTGTGGTCGAGTGCTGCAAGGAAAGACCTAGTTAAGCTGCAGCTGGCCCAAAACAGAGCGGCACATCTTGCTCTTCATTGTAATCAGAGGGCTAATATAAATACTATGCATGCCAGTCTCTCTTGGCTAAGATTTGAGGAGAGACTGACTGCATCACTTCTTCTTTTTATAAGAAACAATGTGTTGAAAATCCCAAATTGTGCGCATAGTCAACTTACACACCACTCTGACACACACACTAACCCCACCAGACATGCCACCAGGGGTCTTTTCACAGTCCCCAAATCCAGAACAAATTCAAGAAAGCGTACAGTATTATATAGAGCCATTATTGCATGGAACTCTGTTCCATCTCATATTGCTCAAATAAACAGCAAACCTGGTTTAAAAAAACAGATAAAGCAACACCTCTCCCCTATTTGACCTAGATAGTTTGTGTGTATGTATTGATATGTAGGCTACGTGTGCCTTTAAATAAAAAATGTTTTATGTAGTTCTGTCCTTGAGCAGTTCTTGTCTATTAAATGTTCTGTATTACATCATGTTGTTTCATGTTTTGTGTGGACCCCAGGAAGAGCAGCTGCTGCTTTTGCAACAGCTAATAGAGATCCTAATAAAACACCAAAAAAAGTAATAGCTCATAGCTATAATGTATGCTGTAAATGTTGAGGATATGTTGTCGAGGAACCAACCTGACTATGGCACTTCCTCCTGTGAGTCCCAGAGACTTCAGAGTGGCCTTCTTTAGAGCATCCTCTCCACTCACCTAAACACACACCCACGTGTCAGTGTCATCATCAAACGTTGATCAACAGAGAGGGAGAGGGAGAGGGGGAGAGAGAGGGGAGAGAGAGAAAGGGGGAGGGGAGAGAGGGGAAGAGAGAAAGGGGGGAGGGGGAGAGAGGGGAGAGAGAGAGGGGGGAAGAGAGAGAAAGGGGGGAGGGAGAGGGGAGGAGGAGAGGAGAAGGGGGGAGGGGGAGAGAGAAAGGGGAAAGAGCACAGGGGGGAAGGGAGAGATGAAAGACAAGGGGGAAGGGGGGGAAGAAGAGAGAAGGCGGGGCAGGGCGGGAGAAGGTGAGAGCGAGAGAGAAAGGGGATGAGGTGGAGGGAGAGGAGAAAGGGGGAGGGGGGAGAAGAGAGACAAGGAGAGGGGGGAGGGAGAGAAGAGAGCAGAGGGGGATGGACGGGAGGAGGTGAGAGAGAGAGGAGGAGGGGGAGGGGGGAGAGAGGGAGAGAGAGTGAGAGAGGGGGGAGGGGAAAGAGAGAGAGGGAGGGGGAGAGAGAGAGGGGAGAGGGGGAGAGAGAGAGAGGGGCGAGAGAGAAAGGGGGGCATGGGGGGAGAGGGGAGATGGGAGGGATGGGAGAGGGAGGAGAGAGAGAAAGGGGGAGAGGGGAGAGAGAGAAAGGGGGGAGAGAGAGGGGGGGGGAGAGATACACCATACCTCATCTCTCATGTAAACACAGACAGGAGTGGATCCTGATTCAGACAACTCAGACGCTCTGTAGAGAAGAAAAGAGAGAGACAGAGGATGAGAGAAAACAAGAGGGATTCTGTGATTCTCAGAATAAACACCTGGGTGGTCTCAGCTGTTAGGTGTGAAGTAGTAAGTGAGTCAACGTGTGAGCAACGGGGTGTGTGTGTGTGTCACAGATGTGTGTGTGGTAAATGTGTTTGTCTACATAAAAACCACTGAACCATAATGTATTATTGCAGGTCATCTCATAACACAACATTAACTTTTCCCTAGCTTGTTTTTTTCCGCTTAGCATTTTTCCCAGATTCCTGAGCAGACCTGGAGCTAACATTCATTCTGGAAGCTTCCGTGGCAAAGATGTCATCACAGAGAGGATGAAAGGGGTGACGGACGGACGGACAGCTGGTCTCAAAGATAGTAGGGCTCTATAAAATGTAATTTTTTTCCTAAATTCGGTTTTCTCCGTTTTGCTTTTCCAGGTTTCCGTTTTCCCCATTTATTTCAGGTTTACACTTTCAAAAACAACTACATTGGATGTTCGGTCCACAACAATGCTTAAACCACCTCAGGGGACCACTTTTAAGGCCTGAGAAAATAATATATATATTTTTTTTGGGGGGGGGTGAAGTTACCCTTTAATGCAAGTGAGCACCAGGAAGAGATCGTAGTCCACTACACGACCATGGTGATTGCCTACGGAGCAGCAAGAGGAACTGCCCCTCCCTACCTTCAGGCTATGCTCAAACCCTACACCCCAACCCTACGGGAGGGCAGCTCCCGCTCAGCCCAGTCCAAGCTCTTCTCTGTCCTGACACCCCAATGGTGGAACCAGCTTCCCAGCTATGGCAGCAGAGTCCCTGCCCATTTCCTGAAAGCACCTGAAACCCTACCTCTTCAAAGAGTATCTAAAATAACCCCCCCCCCTCTTTCTAGCTCTGACTTTGTGGATAGCTTCTCTATTGAGAAGTGTACTTACTATGACTGGGATGTGGTTGTCTCACCTAGCTATCATAAGATGAATGCACTAACTGGAAGAGCGTCTGCTAAATGACTAAAATGTCAATGTAAAAATGTTTGGTTAGTGATGGTTCTGTAGCGCTCATGTGATTGGAGAGTTTTGCTAAACAAATGGACACTGGATTGATGATCTAATGACATCATTCTGCCAGGTTGGCATTGGCTACTTTGTAGTTAACATTTAATTGAGAAGGTTTTGGGGAAAACCTTTCCATCTCTACCAGAAGAAGGTTATCATTAGCATCGTCGCTGACGGCCACACAAAGTATAGACACACACACACACACACGGACACACACACACACCCCCCCCACACACACACACACACCCCACACCCCACACACAGGGGCATTTCTTTTCCATTTCAGAAAGTTGCAGGAAAATAGAAATCACTGATGCATCTTGTTCATGTCTTATGATTAACTTTGGCAAATTAATTAATTTTCTACTAAGTTGATTACATTTAGTTGATTTCCTACTAAATTCAATAAAATGTTGAATATTGTTGAATTCCGTTTTAATGTCTGGATTCCGTGATCCCTTCCACAACGCTGATTTTATTAGGGCCCTAAGAAAGATAGGGAGGGGGGTGGGTCAGGTTGGGGATTAGTGAGGAAGGGGGGTGAAGGGCGTGCCATGAGCTTGGCAAAGATTGAGCTCCTAAACTCAAGGCAATATGGAAAGTCGTGAGTAGAGTCGAGAGTAAAGAGTCGAGAGTCGAGAGTCGAGTCGAGAGTCGAGTCGAGTAGAGTTGAGAGTCGAGTCAAGAGTAGAGTCGAGAGTAGAGTCGAGAGTAGAGTCGAGAGTAGAGTCGAGTCGAGAGTAGAGTAGAGTTGAGAGTCGAGTCAAGAGTAGAGTCGAGAGTAGAGTCGAGAGTAGAGTCGAGTCGAGAGTAGAGTAGAGTTGAGAGTCGAGTCGAGAGTAGAGTCGAGAGTAGAGTCGAGAGTAGAGTCGAGAGTCGAGTCGAGAGTAGAGTCGAGAGTAGAGTCGAGAGTAGAGTCGAGTCGAGAGTAGAGTCGAGAGTCGAGTCGAGTCGAGAGTAGAGAGTAGAGTCGAGAGTAGAGAGTCGAGTCGAGAGTCGAGAATAGAGTCGAGTCGAGAGTAGTAGACAGTAGAGAGTAGATAGTAGAGAGGAGACAGTAGAGGAGAGAGCAGAGAGAGGAGAGAGTAGAGAGTAGAGGGGTTGGAGAGGAGAGAGTAGAGAGTAGAGGGGTTGGAGAGGAGAGAGTAGAGAGTAGAGGGGTTGGAGAGTAGAGAGTAGAGGGGTTGGAGAGGAGAGAGTAGAGAGTAGAGGGGTTGGAGAGGAGAGAGGAGAAAGAAAACAGGGGATAGAAGAAGGGGGGATGAGAGGAGGAAAAGAGTGCAGGAGGAGAGGAGGGGAGAGGTGGTTGTAACTTGGCACACTCCTGGTCTGTGATTCTTTGATCGCAGTGTTCAGCACTATAATAAACCTCACTCACTCCGGTCTCTGCCAAAACTGGAGAGAGGAATACACGTGCATGCACACACACACACACACACACACACACACACACACACAAGACCACTCCAATAAACATACTGTACTTGGGCAATCAGTGACAAACACACCTACCTACCTGGTCTGGGGAAAGTGTGTGAGCAGCTCCCACAGTGTCTGTCCGCTGGAGAAAGAACCCTGGAGTCTGGAACCATCTTCCATCTGCAGGGCAATACGCACCTGAGGAACACACAGAGAGAATACAACACACTGTTATAGAACACACACAGAAAACAGAACACACACAGAGCCAGAAGTCATCCAGAGAACTACACCCATGATCACAGAGATTTTTATCCTAAATACTTTAAAGTTTATAGCACAACACGGGCACAGCTTCAAACACCATGCTACTCTATCTGTACTCTGACACACACGGCCACGTTGTTACTGTTTACCACAGTAAGAATGCTTTCATAGTCTGCCACATCTAGACTCTGTAACATGTAAATAACCCACACACAGTCTTAACAACATATTACATATAAACACATTGTTTTACAAAACACATTTTGAGAGAATGATCAGACATGAACCCAGCCACACTCACACGGCTGTTAAATGCATTGTACCATAAACAAACAGCCAATGTCATCAATCAATCAATAAAATGTATATATAAAGCCCTTTTTACATCAGCAGATGTCACAAAGTGATATACAGAAAGCCAGCCCAAACCCCCAAACAGCAAGCAATGCAGATGTAGAAGCACGGTGGCTAGGAAAAACTCCCTAGAAAGGCAGGAACCTAGGAAGAAACCTAGAGAGGAACCAGGCTCTGAGGGGTGGCCAGTCCTCTTCTGGCTGTGCCGGAGGAGATTATAAGAGTACATGGCCATTAAGGCCAATTGAATTTCACTATGTTATGGTGTCTGACTGTCTATGGTGGTGTGGAACGTGACCTCGACATGCATGTTGTTAGTATGTTGTGTCACTTGGCACATGTTGATGACACGGGTGCTGTCAGGTAGCAGATTGATGATGTCATTAAGAAAGGACCTGACCTCTTCTCAGAACCCCAGTGGAAACAGCAGACGTCATCCCAGATGGATGATGACATGTGTTAACTTAATCCAGACCCGGCCAGTTGTTTACCAATCAGACCCAGCCAGTTGTATACCTATCACTCACTGTGGTGACTAGCTAACACGGAAAACATGTTTCCCCCAGGACACCGACAGAGTTAAAAAGGATGCCTAAAACGTGTTTCTAACAACAACAAAAATATGTAAGAATACAAACAGGGGAACTATGTTCGATGAGAGCTGTGAGTCAGAACGAGGGAGAGAAAGAGGTAGAGAGAGAGAGAGAGCGAGAGAGAGAGAGAGAAAGAGAGAAAGAGGGGTAGAGAAAGAGAGAGGGGTAGAGAGAGAGAGAGAGATTGAAAATGGCAATGGGTTCGTGCTTATTGTACGGAGATTGTGACAGCCGGTTAAATGGCATCCCTTGAGAAGGCAAGAACAAGATGTATGTCAGGAGAAGTGCAGTATTATCATAAGGAGACGTATACTTGGAATACGGAGTCATTGTCTGTTCTTTTGAGTTTTGATGTTGAGTCTTTGCCCGACAAAGTTATGTTAGGATACATAAGTTATCCTGTACGAGCTTTTGTGCGGAATACAATACGTTGTTACAGGTGTCAAGCTTATGGGCAGCAGTGTGTAGGAGGGAGGTTCCTATGTGTGTGAGAAGTGTACAGAAGGGCATGAGACAAAGGAATGTGTAGCATTGGGGAAAGTAGTTGCATGTGTTAATTGTAGGGGTGCCCATGTGGCTGGGGATCAGAAATGTTCAGTGACAGACAGGCAGGTTGAGGTTTCCAGGGTTACAGTATTGCAGAAGTTGCCATATGCTGAGGCAGTGAAGAAAGTAGAGGAAGATGGGTCAAAGGGGAGGGATCCTGAGAGGAGCCGTGTGAGTAGTAGATATGTACCAGTACAGAGGGATACTTAGCATTTATAGCAACGGTTATCAACTGTACTACAGGGATGGAACGTAAGTCACAGAAAATTGAGGTTGTGGTGGCAGCTGCAGAGAGGTATTTGGGTGTGCGAGACTTGACATCAGAAGAGTTACAGGGTGTGTTAAGTGGTGGTGTCCCATCCGTTCAGGTTGTTGGCCTGAGGTAGGACTAAATAGATTCAAATAGTGGAGTAGGGGGGTGTTATTATTTTTTTGAGAGTGTTAGATGGTAGAGTATTTTATTTTTTTAAGCAAAGTATAAGGGAGTTGTACTCCAGTCTAGTAGGTGGCGGTAATGCAACATTTATTGGATGCCAACCGCTGTTAAACCTCATTGAAGAAGAAGGGGCGACAGAGAGAGAGAGGAATATAAAGAGAGCGGGGTAGAGTGTGAGAGAGAGAGGTACTCAGTCTGACATCCAAAGGGGTAATATGGAACAGTAAATCAAATGCAGCAGTCATGTTGTTATGACCATAATGAAGCAGAAGTAGTAAAGTGGATGTTGTTAACTGGACATAGTCATACTGCACGCCACACGTTAGTTGTTTCACCCACCTGGCTGTCGGTCCCTGTCTGTTTCCGGGTGCTGGGCACCACCTCCAGCTTGGCATTGTTTGGCACGCTGGCAAACCTCCACTGGAGCGACAGGTCCAGAACGTTCCTCTGAAATCTGTCAAAGGAATGCATGAATGGATGGATGGATGGATAGATGGATGCGCGAGGCTTTAGTGAAAGGGCAGTGTTCGGAGCCCCGTACACAAAGGGCATGGACAGAGCGCGCACACAACTAGCCATCACTCCCCCTCCACTCTCTCAATCACAGCTTCATCATAGTTCAGTTTGATGATTTGGGTACCACTACAAAACGTTCACGGCAAATGTTGTAATAAAGAGGATATCTAGCTAGTCTTTCAGTTCACAGAGCTAGCACGTCGTCTAGCGACCAAGTTAGCTAGCTAGGCTAACAACAAAGCTCTCAACTCACTTTAGACCGTGGTCGTCAGGATTAAATCCCTGTTTCTTGCAGACGTCTTCGAGGACCTAAAGACAAAGTATTGGTTATCTATCAGCTAAACAAGTTAGCTAGTGAAGCAACTTACTTTGTGCAGTCGCAGACAGAGAGAAACGAGCAGGCTAAACTGAACAGTCATTGTTCAGCCGACATGGAAAGATCACTCTCGTTTTCATAACCTAGAAAAGGAGGAAAGTTCCTTTCAACGCAGACTGGGAGAGCAGGAAATCATCTTTATTACTACCTACCTGTAGCAAAGGTGTGTTTGGCGATATTTTTACGGTTTGTCTTCTTCCATTGGGAGTCAGAACTGTCACTGTTGTGCTGGCCGCCATTGTGATGTGACGTCCAGTTGTTTGTTTGAATAAACTTTATTGACACAATAGCTTTATGGTCCACTGTGGTAGCATCAGTGTGTGTGTGTGTCTGTACCTGTGTTTTTCAGGTTCCTACCTGGACTCATGGTGACTGGGGCTTTGATCTAGACATTCTGGTATGGTACACTCATGCTCTCTCTCTTTCACACACACACACACACACCCCAAGGAGTCGTAATTATGGTGGTCCTCTGTAGCTCAGCTGGTAGAGCACGGCGCTTGTAACGCCAAGGTAGTGGGTTCGATCCCCGGGACCACCCATACACAAAAAAAATGTATGCACGCATGACTGTAAGTCGCTTTGGATAAAAGCGTCTGCTAAATGGCATATTATAATATTATTATATATTATTATATATTATAATTACTTCCAACTGCTCTCAGTCTTTGATGGGGGAGGAAGGGTGAGAGTTGTGGAGGAGAGAAGGAGGAGGCGCAGGGGTTGGAGGTCTGCAGTCTGTACACACCTGCTGTGGAGGGCGAGTGGTATTCAGGTGGGAGGAGTGTTTTTTAAGTAGGATGATTGGGGGTATTTCAGAGGGTTTCTTTCCGAGCTCTCCTGTCCAGTTTGGATTAACCTCAAACACCTGAGTTGGCGTTCGGTACAGGTAGGATCCTTGGTCACATTCATTAGAGCACACTGTAGCAAGTCATTTTACAACAGAAAATGAAAACAAGTGTTTCTTCTCCCTGTTTCGGACCATTTGTTTCCTAGTGAATACAACCCTGTTATGGTATGTTCCAGGTATAGAACCTGCTGCTGTGAGTTCCTGGAGGAAACCCCTGCGAGGAAACCCTTCCTGTCTGGCCTGCTTCTACGTCAAACACCTGTATTGGGCACCCAGGTAAGAGGGTCTAGTTCATTAGGGCAACGGATCATGTTTTTAAATGCGCTCCAACCGATTAACTCAAATGAATGTCTTATTGGGCAAGTCCAGGAAGTCCCTCCTTGTTTCAGTCCATTTTCTTCTGTTTGGTGTCTAATGAACAGGCCCCAGGTAGGACCTTTCCACTGTCTGGTTTAGTTTAGACTCAGACACCTCTATTGGCACGCAGGTAGGAAACCCCCTATTAATGTCCACTTTGGTTCAGCTTCAAACACCTTCATTGGCAAGAGATGAATAACAACTAACCATTTTGGACCTGTTGTTTCTGAAGGAGGGGTAGTCTACTGGGCTAGTCAGTCAGTCTACTAGGGGTTAAAGGGGTGAGGTTTTTCCAAAGGAAACCCCATTCCACTGTCCAAACTACTCCAGCCTCAACACCTTCTCCGACACACACACATACACATACACACACACACACACACACACACACCTTCTCTAGCTTGAGATTGAAGAGCTGTTGTCACGATGGGGTCACTCAGTAGAAACCTCCTTGGCTCTGGTGACAGACGGTCACAGGGTTTCATAGGGCTCTGGTCAAAAGTAGTGCACTATATAGGAGGCAATATGGTTCCATTTGGGCCGTTACTACAATGTGACTGCAGTTAGACTGATCCCTTCTAGATGGCAGTATTTACCAGTGAATGAGAGGATATGTCATTCAAGGTTCACTGGTTTTCTACCTTCCTAGTTCTTACACAGGGCTCAATATCCTGGTCCATGCTGCTTGTTAGTTCCTTGGCTACGCAGACTCCTTGCTCCGGCCAAGCACTACGCCATGCCCACGGACGGCCAAGCACTACGCCATGCCCACGGACGGCCAAGCACTACGCCATGCCCACGGACGGCCAAGCACTACGCCATGCCCACGGACGGCCAAGCACTACGCCATGCCCACGGACGGCCAAGCACTACGCCATGCCCACGGACGGCCAAGCACTACGCCATGCCCACGGACGGCCAAGCACTACGCCATGCCCACGGACGTGTGTTTCTTCTGTAGCGAACGACAGAGCAGTGGAAGAATTTAGTGTGAGTCGTCAGGCTAGGTTGTTATACCAGGTTAGAGAGCGCATGCTCTCTTCTATCACAATGAACAAGGTAAAGGGAAAGGGGGATACCTAGTCAGTTGTACAACAACTTTAACCCAACCCCTCTGGTCAGGTGACAGTGGAAGTGGCGAGGCTGGGGAATTAATAGTAATAATGAATAGTAATAATGAATAGTATTAATGAATAGTATTAATGAATAGTAATAATGAATAGTAATAATGAATAGTATTAATGAATAGTATTAATGAATAGTAATAATGAATAGTAATAATGAATAGTATTAATGAATAGGCCGATTTCAAGCTGGGGATCAGTCATTAGACTACCTACTAATAAAAAGCCAAATGTCAACTTGTTGAAAGTAACCTACAATATTCTATAAAGTTCATGTGACCTGTTTCTCTCTCTCTCTCCTCATGTCTTTGTAGAATGTGTCTCTATTTATAGTCAGCTTGGTCATCTCTCTCCATTCCTTAGAGTCTGGAACGTGTCTGCGTGCTTTACCCCTCACACACACATCCATCAGCCCAACCCTTGCATTTAAATAACTTTCACTGTCTGACTGACTGACTGACCACCTCCATGTCTCCTCAGAGAGAGAGAGAGAGAGAGATGGGGAGAGCAGTAGAGAGAGAGCAGAGGGAAAGAGAGAGAGAGAGGTGGCTTTTGGGCCACATGTCTTGGTGGTGTCAGTGAGAGTGTGTACTGCAACAGACAGACACCCACAAAGCGTGGTCGTGGACCTGAGGACTTCAAGCTTGACCATCGGAAGACAGACAAGGTGACTGGACCGGATTATATTGGATTATTACATGATATTACATACTGGGATTATATTCCGGATTATGACAAAATTATGATAACTCAAAGCTAACTCACAGATGAGAACTGATACTGTACTGTACCGTCCAAGAGAAGAAAAGCTGTGACAGAGGCTAAAAGTATCTTCAAAAGAGGAAAAGGTGGGCCGGCTCTTTTGAATTCAGCAGTTGGATGTAAATACTGGATTTTATGGACGTCCAGTTTTCAAGTACTCAAGAAATATATCAGAGGACGGAATAAATATATATGTAAGGACACAAGAAATATATGGACTCAAGAAGATATTCTGACTACACAAGAGTGTGCCAATTTGATGTGTATGCACAGTGGATCAGTCAAAGCTCTTCTAAACACGTGTGATCCAGAGAGAGAGTTTCACCCACGAGGCCGACAAGGGACGGCTGCATTTTGACATGTTTTCTTTGTGACATACCGTGAGTCACTGACACATAAATAGAGACCCAGAAAATACACAGTCCCTAGTGTCCCGGCAGAGACAGCGGAGCGAGAAGCAACCACGCATGCACAAGCACACCTGGTTCATGAGTCGATACATTCAAGACTTGCTTTGTGTTGTCACGTTTTCCACTTCATCCTACTCCAGTAGAGGACAGACACCCCCCCCCCCCCCCCCTTACCCCACAAACTCACCTCTGACCTCTAACCCTTTGACCTCTGATCTCTGAACCCTGACCTCTGAACCCTGACTCCTGACTATGAACCCTCAGGGGGGTCAGTACCTCAACAAGGCGGCGGTCTTCTCCTCGCTTGGCGCTGCCCGCCTCTCCCAGCTGGCCCTGGGCTGCTCGGTGGTCGCCATGGTGAGCCACAGTGCGGGCTACAGCGGCGGGTCGTACGGCGTGTTCTGCATGGCGGTGTGGTGTGCGTGCTTTGGCATGACGACGGTGGTGTTCTTCCTGGACGCCACCCGTCTCCATGCCTGTCTGCCCGTCTCCTGGGATAACCTGACGGTGGCATTCGCCGCCCTGGCGACCCTCATGTACGTATGACATCACATCACCGTAATCATCATAACATCATCAAAATGAAACAAACAAGTCTGAAACGTCATGACATCACTGACTAACCGTGACACCACTAACATGACATCACTAAACATGACATCTCCTTATCCTCTCCTCTTCCTCTTCCACCAGGTATGTGACAGCCTCGGTTGTGTACCCGGTCTACTTTGTCAGAGCAGAGTGCCCCTACGCTGGCTGTGAGGTCCGGAACTTCCGCGTCGCCGTCACTGTCTGCTCCATCGCTGGCTCCCTGGCCTACGGCGCCGAGGTGATCCTCTCCCGGGCCAAACCGGGCCGGGTCGTGGGCTACATGGCAACCGTCTCCGGCCTCCTCAAGGTCGTCCAGGGCTTCGTGGCGTGCATTATCTTCGGAGCTCTGGCGAACGGGAGCGAGTATTCTCGTCACGTTGCTACAATTTACTGCGTGGTTGTCTATGCCGTCTGCTTTGCCATGACAACCGTCGTGGTTATATTGACCGTGTCCGGTCGCACAGGGTGTTTGAAGTTACCATTCGACCGGTTTGTTGTTGTTTACACACTCCTGGCGGTTCTTCTCTACCTCAGCGCCTCCGTCGTCTGGCCTGTGTTCTGCTTCGACAGGAAGTACGGGTCGCCAGAGCGACCGTCGTCATGCCCGCGGGGCCGGTGTCCATGGGATAGTAAGGTTGTCGTGGCGGTGTTTAGCTTCATCAACCTGGCGCTGTACGTCGCCGACCTGGTGTACTCACAACGGATACGCTTCGTAACCCAGCAACCACGGGTGTAGAACAGAATGGAATGGGATAAAACTTTATTGTACACCCTGAGGTGAACATTCACACAAAGACAATATGCTTTGTCTTCCACCACCAACCACTGGTGAGGAGTAGAATAGGATGAGTAGGTATACTGTAGCTAACTATTGAGTCAGAGAGGAAGGGACTCAATGACAGCTAACATGACCGACTTGAATGTCGTCGACTATTCATCAAACAATCAATCAAATGTATTTATAGAGCCCTTTTTACATCAGCAGAAACCCAGCCTAAAACCCCAAACTGCAAGCAATGCAGATGTAGAAGCACGATGGCTAGGAAAAACTCCCTAGAAGGCAGGAACCTAGGAAGAAACCTAGAGAGGAACCAGGCTCTGAGGGGTGGCCAGTCCTCTTCTGGCTGTGCCAGTGGAGATTATAAGAGTACATGGCCATTAAGGCTGTTGATTGAGTGTATATCGCCTACTTGTATGAATCTGTCACCCTCTTTTAATCAAGGGCTTATAGCTGCCAGACTATCTCACAACCAATATTATTATTCAGTCTTTATGCACATAACAGCCAGCTAACCCTGCTACCACACCCCATTCGGGTGATACTGTACCGCAGTAACTGACCCCTCTCACACCACTCTAGATATGATGGGGGGATGGATGACTAGCCTGCCACACCCTACCAGACCACATCATTGGCATCTCTAGCTAAATCCCTATTATCCTGGCCCCTCCCCAACTCCATGCCCCTCCACCCCAGACTACCACCACTCTCTCTGGGGTGGAAGAGGGGAGAGAGTAGCCCTACTTCTCCAACCCCTGATCCCCCACACCCTCCACTCTCTTTCCTCCTCGAGCCCCCAGCACACACCCCACTCTCCCTTTCCCCAGCACCACCCACCTCCCCTGCTCCTCTACCCCCAGCACCCCTCTCTCTCAATGGGGGGTGTGAGGGGAGAGTGTGGCATCTGTAGCAGCCAGCTGGTTGGGGCTTCTCTGTCAGCAGAACCAGAAGTAGAGGCACAGCAAGGAATCTGACCAGCTCAGCACAGTCTCACTGGGGTCTGCACATTTACATTGAGTCCCCCACCCTCTCTCTCTCTCTCTCTCTCTTTCTCTTTTCTTCTGCTCTCCTCCCACCTCTATCTTATTCGTAATCTCTTCTTTCTCATCTTTTACTCTCTCATCCTTATCTTCCGTTCTTACCTCCACTTCCTTTCTTTTATCATCATCTCTTCCTCTCCCCAATCATCTCTTCCAATCTCTCGTTCTCCTCTCCTCCTCTTCCTCCTCTCCTCTCCTTTCTTCCTCCTCTTCTCTCCTCAGCTAACTGTGTCTCATCCTCCTCTTCTGCGGTGTCTAATCCAAGCTCAGGGTGTCTTAGTCCCGTTGTCAGGGACAACAGGAAGTTACCAATCCCATAAACACCCTACCGACCATCTCCATGACGACTTCAGAACCCAGTTCGCAGTTCCGTTGTGTTGTGTCGGAATACTGTCTGTTTGTTTGTTTGTTTGTTTGTGTCTTAAAGTGAGTGCTATTAAGAAGTTATATTGTCACGGTTTGTAAATTGAGTAAATGACAAATGGATTAACATGGAAAATCCAGGATTTTGGGGAGATTTTAAACCTTATGTTATACATCTTTGTGTTGATTTTGCAGCTATAAATAAAGTTACATAATTTGGGATTGATACCATCACTCTAAGACTTTGTAGATATCTTGTATTGTACAGTAGTAGACGTGATGAGGTGTGTGTGTGTGTGTGTGTGTCTTTGTGTCTGTGTGTGTGTGATAACAGCCTCAAACAGTGCTGACTCTGTGGTACCGATAATCATTTTTCCGTCTCTTCTCCCTCTCGCCCCTCTCTCCTCTCCCCCCCCCCCCCCCCCCCCCCTCTTCCGCTGGTGCTTCACTCGGCTCTCTCTCTGGGCATTCTCCTGTTCACCTCCTGCTGCTAGCGAACGACAGACAGATGGATGACGGGACAGAGGGAGATAAGGATGAGGGAGAAAGAGAATGAGAGAGAGAGAGAGAAGGGGGGGGGGGGGGGGTGACGAGAGGGGGGTGAGGTGAGGGGGGGGGATGAGGTGAGGTTGGGGGGGACTTAGGTTAACAGTCCATAGAGATCAAATCAGCCCATCAGACACAGACACACACACACTGCGACAGTGATCTGTGTGGACAGGTCTATCATAACCATCATGAGGTTCCTGCCTCTCCTGCCAGAGGGACTATAGAGACTATATTCATACTGGGGCTGCAGACTAAATGGCACACTATTCCCTATTTAGTGCACTACTTTTGACCATGGCCTGTTCAAAAGTAGTGCACTATATAGGGAATAGGGTAACATTTGGGACGCAGGCTGGCTCGTTGTCATGACAAATCTGTCACGGCCCCTGGGCCCACATTGATGATGTCACTCACTGTCCTAACTGTCAGTCACTCAGCACTGCGTGGTGATCGGTTGTGGGATTATTATTAGGCCTGTATCCATGTGTGACCAACCGCCGTTCCAAACCCGGATCTGCCCTCTGTGTGCTACAAGACTGTGTTTGTCTGCTAAAGCCTCAGCACCTTTGTTGCACATAGTGGAAATCTATGGTTAAAAACATAAAAGGGACACCTGACGAACCCAAGGCCTTTCTAACATGGTCAGTGCTATCAGAAATCCTTGGGACGTCCCTACCCTAAACCCTAATCCTAACCCTACCCTAACCTTAACCTTAACCCTTACCTTAACCATTTTAAATGTCAATTTTAATGAGGTAGGGATGTCCCAAGGATCCCAGATTGCACAAGACCTTTCTAACATGGCTGTGCTCTGAATGACAAGTATTACACAACCTGTTGGCTGTCGCTCTCTTTTGTGTTGTAGTTTTTAATCCGGCAGCCACCATTTGTAATTTCACTGTGCAGGGAGAGAGAGAGCCCTACGGTGGAACAGGAACGATAGTCGGACTGAGAAATTTACATTCCACAGAACATCTTGTGGCTTGTGCCCCCCCCTGCCCTTTTCTCCCCTGTCCTCCCCCTCTCCTCCCTCCTTCATCTCTCTCTCTCCATTCTGTGCTCCTCCGTCTGCAAGAGAGAGACAGATGAGCGCCCTGGAGAGAAATTGTCTGCCTGTGTTATTAGCTATGCATGCATATCTCTACACCCGACAAGCAGTGTGTGTGTGTGTGTGTGTGGGGTCCACGCTTCGCCTAGATGCCCCCTCTCCTCTCTGCAAACCGAAACTGATTCAGGCAGTCTGTGGTATTTTTAATAAATCTCTGGGGATTTCTTTTTCAGAAAAAGAGCGAATGAGTGTTGTCACGCCTCAGTACTCACACAGGGGAATAGATAGTGCAAAGGCAGTCAGTGTTAAATTTACTTGTGAGAGAGGAGAGCGAGAGAGAGAGTGGGGAGGGAGCGAGAGAGAGAGAGAGAGACAAATCAATACGTTTTCCATTCAGACACTTTTCAAGATTAGGTGGAAGGAAAAAAACACCTATGTTTTTTTTATTCTAACATTGAGTGATTTCGAACCATTAATTTAGCCACAGATGTTCTTTCTGCCAGCTACCATCTCTTCTTGGCTCCGTAAAATATTCCTATTTCCTCACCATCAAATATATTAAAATACTCTGAAAGAGAGAGGCTAGTATTGACACCACCAGTGGGACCGCAATAAATCAGGTGGCGGGCTTAAAATGGCCCCGGGCCACAGGTTTCAGACCTGATTTCAGTGGTTGATTTGGGAATGGGCATTGAGTGTTGATCTAGGATCAGGTCCCCCTTGTCCATGGTATCTAAATTATTATGATCTAAAAGGCTAAACTGTTCCTAGATCAGCACTCCTACTCTGAGACGGTCGATTCATATGGTCGCTGTACCTAAGGGGAACCTCTACCATCTAGGGTGTAGCTGACGTCATTCTCTTCCTGTCCAGCTGACAGAGAGGGTAACAGCTGGGGTAGTTGGAACGGAACCCCCCGGGCCGTGCATTCTGATGTGTATATATAGCTGCTGCTGGTATGAACGCTATTCCACTGCAAGGCATTCTTCTTTTCTCACTCCGGCCGAAGCCTGGGTTCATTACTATTTGAAATAATTTCAAATACTTTATCTGTGCTTGATTGAGCTCGCCTGGTTTAATGGACGAATAGAATAGTTTCCAACACTGTAAACCCCACCTATCTGGCACTCCAGGCAGGCTAGAGCATAGATTTGAAATACTACTTGAACCCAGGGCTCCTCCATAATTCAGTTCAGCACAGTGCAAAACAGAATGTGGTCTTTTAAAAGGCGACCTGCAGGTATCTGGAACCCCAAACACACTGGACTAGGAACAATGGAAGCACAGTTTGTATCTACAAGGGACTTTGGAGTCATTTTAGAATGAACACAAGAAAGACAGAATACCGTTAATGAATGTATTCAGACAGACAGGGGATATTGCGCTCATTAAAGTGGGGACAGACAGTGGTTGAGTCTGCATCTAATTTTAAGGGTCGTCGTCAAATTACCCAGACAGACAGCAAGTATCTGGGGATCCAGGAAGCGAAACCTTCTGAGACGACCAATTACAAATCACTATTAATATTCTACTGGCTCACTAGTGAATGGCAGCTGTGTGATTCTTGATTTGCAATTCTGTCAATTATTAGGAAAACTTCGATTTTTACCTAAACTTTTTATTTAAATACAAGGCCCTCTGTGTCTAGTTAGGTCTCACAAAACTAAATGTTATGAATTTTTTCTACAGTTTGATCACTGAATTTTTTTTATTGAAATTGATTTAATAGAATAGAGCTTAGCTCTGACAAGAAACAGATTGCTATCTCCTGTCATATGAATACATGGCTACGTCCCAAATGGCACCCTATCCCTATGGGCCCTGATCAAAAGCAGTGCACTACATAGGGAGGGAACAATAGGATGGCATTTGGGATGCACCCCATATAGATGTATAGGGCCCCTAGTGAGGCCCCTCAGACAGAAGTCTTAGTCGCTTTTTTTTATTTTCATTACTGATTATTATTTTTTGCATCAAATGCAAAAGAGCTGAAATTGAACGGAGCTGACTCTGACGATAGACAGATATGTCTGGCTCTTCTCATATTAATGCCAGATGAGTTGTCTTGGGAGCAGAGCAGATCAGACAGACAAATATGCTAATATTATTTTGTTAATTTGATTGGTAATATTTGGCTTTTTGAGATTTTCCAGACTTTCCTGTCCTATGATTCCGGTGAACTGAGTCACCTTCATGGAACTTCGGCATGTCCAGCATTCTGAGAATGTCTGGCAGGCAGGGAATTCTGCATCTCTTAGATTCCTGGATAATCCACTCCGTCAGGAGTCTAGATCTAGTCTGGGTACCAGTCTTTTTAGGCTGGTACCTCCTTGCCACTCCTGTGGTACAAAGAGTGGAATGTAATAGCTGAACAGAGAACGGAAACCAGGCTAGTTGAGAGCCACAGATGGTCTGAATGTATGCACTATGGGAAATATGTTCTTGGGGGTCATCAAGCTGTTGACCCGGGTTGAGGGGGAGTGGGGGGAGGTTGCTGGGGGGAAGCTCAGGTGACAGGGTTGGGTTGGGGTTGGAGTCTGTTATGCACGGAATGTGTTAGTTCCTTTTTGCGCCCTACATATGGTCCTACAGATGTAGCTTCCATCTATGTGCGTCTCAGTAGTCTAACAAAGCTTTCTTTCCCCGTTCTTTATTCTGCACGGCACCCATGTGGAAGGACTGGATAGGTAAAGGCCAAATAGGCCTACCTTGTAGGCATGCCATCTACCATATTGCTTTCACCTACTATCCATGTTTTCAGATCAATGTAGATGAAGGAGAAATGAAGTAGAGAGGTGGCCCCAACTCATTGAATGACTTTACCATAACCATAGTACATTCATAGTACATTCATAGTACATTCATAGTACATTCATAGTACATTCATAGTACATTCATAGCCCTCTTCTCATTCATTCTTCTCTTCTTCTTCGACATGGACAACATACAGCTAGCGGGCTATACGCTACATCGGCAGGATAGAACGGCTGACTCTGGTAAGACAAGGGGTGGCGGTCTGTGTATATTTGTAAACAACAGCTGGTGCACAAAATCAAATACTAAGGAAGTCTCAAGGTTTTGCTCGCCTGAGGTAGAGTATCTTATGATAAGCTGTAGACCACACTATCTACCAAGAGAGTTTTCATCTATATTTTTCATAGCTGTCTATTTACCACCACAAACCAATGCTGGCATTAAGATTGCACTGAATGAGCTGTATAAGGCCATAAATCAACAGGAGAACGCTCATCCAGATGCAGCGCTCCTAGTGGCCGGGGACTTTAATGCAGGGAAACTTAAATCCGTTCTACCTTATTTCTACCAGCATGTTAAATGTGCAACCAGAGGAAAAAAAACTCTAGACCACCTTTACTCCACACACAGAGACGCATACAAAGCTCTCCCTCGCCCTCCATTTGGCAAATCTGACCATAACTCTATCCTCCTGATTCCTGCTTATAAGCGAAAACTAAAGCAGGAAGCACCAGTGACTCGGTTAATAAAAAAGTGGTCAGATGACGCAGATGCTAAGCTACAGGACTGTTTTGCTAGCACAGACTGGAACATGTTCCGGGATTCTTCAGATAGCATTGAGGAGTACACCACATCAGTCACTGGCTTCATCAATAAGTGCATCGATGATGTCGTCCCCACAGTGACCGTACGTACATACCCCAACCAGAAGCCATGGATTACAGGAAACATCCACACTGAGCTAAAGGGTAGAGCTGCCGCTTTCAAGGAGCGGGACTCTAATCCGGACGCTTATAAGAAATCCCGCTATGCCCTCCGACGAACCATCAAACAGGCAAAGAGTCAATACAGGACTAAGATTGAATCGTACTACACTGGCTCTGACGCTCGTCGGATGTGGCAGGGCTAGAAAACTATTACAGACTACAAAGGGAAGCACAGCCGCGAGCTGCCCAGTGACACAAGCCTACCAGACGAGCTAAACCACTTCTATGCTCGCTTCGAGGCAAGCAACACTGAAGCATGCATGAGAGCACCAGCTGTTCCGGATGACTATGTGATCACGCTCTCCGTAGCCGATGTGAGTAAGACTTTTAAGCAGGTCAACATTCACAAGGCTGCAGGGCCAGACGGATTACCAGGACGTGTACTCCGAGCATGTGCTGACCAACTGGCAAGTATCTTCACTGACATTTTCAACATGTCCCTGACTGAGTCTGTAATACCAACATGTTTCAAGCAGACCACCATAGTCCCCGTGCCCAAGGACTCTAAGATAACCTGCCTAAATGACTACCGACCCGTAGCACTGACGTCTGTAGCCATGAAGTGCTTTGAAAGGCTGGTCATGGCTCACATCAACAGCATTATCCCAGAAACCCTAGACACACTCCAATTTGCATACCGCCCCAACAGATCCACAGATGATGCAATCTCTATTGCACTCCACACTGCCCTTTCCCACCTGGACAAGAGGAACACCTAAGTGAGAATGCTATTCATTGACTACAGCTCAGCATTCAACACCATAGTGCCCTCAAAGCTCATCACTAAGCTAAGGATCCTGGGACTAAACACCTCCCTCTGCAACTGGATCCTGGACTTCCTGACGGGCCGCCCCCAGGTGGTAAGGGTAGGTAACAACACATCTGCCACACTGATCCTCAACACGGGGGCCCCTCAGGGGTGCGTGCTCAGTCCCCTCCTGTACTCCCTGTTCACCCATGACTGCATGGCCAGGCACGACTCCAACACCATCATTAAGTTTGCCGACGACACAACAGTGGTAGGCCTGATCACCGACAACGATGAGACAGCCTATAGGGAGGAGGTCAGAGACCTGGCCGTGTGGTGCCAGGACAACAACCTCTCCCTCAACGTGACCAAGACAAAGGAGATGATTGTGGACTACAGGAAAAAAAAGAGGACTGAGCACGCCCCCATTCTCATCGACGGGGCTGTAGTGGAACAGGTTGAGAGCTTCAAGTTCCTTGGTGTCCACATCACCAACAAACTATCATGGTCCAAACACACCAAGACAGTCGTGAAGAGGGCACGACAAAACCTATTCCCCCTCAGGAGACTGAAAAGATTTGGCATGGGTCCTCAGATCCTCAAAAAATTCTACAGCTGCACCATCGAGAGCATCCTGACTGGTATGGCAACTGCTTGGCCTCCGACCGCAAGGCACTACAGAGGGTAGTGCGAACGGCCCAGTACATCACTGGGGCCAAGCTTCCTGCCATCCAGGACCTCTATACCAGGCAGTGTCAGAGGAAGGCCCTCAAAATTGTCAAAGACTCCAGCCACCCTAGTCATATACTGTTCTCTCTGCTACCGCACGGCAAGCGGTACCGGAGTGCCAAGTCTAGGTCCAAAAGACTTCTCAACAGCTTCTACCCCCAAGCCATAAGACTCCTGAACAGCTAATCATGGCTACCCGGACTATTTGCACTGCCCCCCCACCCCATCCTTTTACGCTGCTGCTACTCTGTTAATTATTTATGCATAGTCACTTTAACTCTACCCACATGTACATATTACTTCAACTACCTCAACTAGCCGGTGCCCCCGCACATTGACTCTACACCGGTACCCCCCTGTATATATAGCCTCCCTACTGTTATTTTATTTTACTTCTGCTCTTTTTTTCTCAACACTTTTTTGTAAAAAAATAAATGCACTGTTGGTTAAGGGCTGTAAGTAAGCATTTTCACTGTAATGTCTGCACCTGTTGTATTCGGCGCATGTGGCCAATAAAATTTGATTTGATTTGAACAGCTCTTTCAACTGATTTCATTCAGTCCCACACTCTCTATAGGTTATATATGGTGGCACTGGATGTCAAGAGGTTGACATGTTGGCACAAAATAAACATAACCTACTTCTACAATGTACATATGGCATTGAACTTGACCTATATTTGGTCTCCACCTACTTATTATTATGAAAAATGATGCAATTGGGCACGGGGTCCACAAACTCCGCCCATAAGTGAATCAACGAGCCTAATATTTAGGCGGATTGGTCAGGAGTCTCCATTCATTGGTCCTTTCTTATGCGCGTCATGCCGGCTACCCGGAACAAATGGAGATTGGAAGCCACGTTGACACAGAAGTGGTGTTTTATTTCATTCTAAAACCGGTGAAATAACGGTAACTGCACCGGTGTGTCTGTCCAGCGGCCAAAGGGTTTGGAAATCTTACAGAAGGTAAGAGTACCTATTTTGCAAAGAACAATTTAAGCAATGTATGTCCTGTTGTTCATTAATTAATTTGTGGCTCAGTCAAACAAGCCAGCTAGTGGGAAAGCATCATAGACCAAAATAGTACTGCAGCACTACTGTAAATAGCCATTGCTAATGCTACAAGTACTGCTAGCTATATTTGCTGCTGCAAGAACGAATCATGATTAGATAAACAGCTACAGTAAGTGTAAAAGTATCTGGTTATAGCTAGCTAGTTATGCATTACAATGTATTGATTGATGTATTGATCAATGTCTTGAACCTCAAACGAGATCATGCAAGATGCCTACCTAACTAAATGTTATGCTAAATATTCCCAGCTGAACAAAAATAAAAACTCAACATACAACAATTTTAAAAATATTTTACTGAGTTAGTTAATATGAGGAAATCAGTCAAATGAAATAAATTAATTAGGCCCTAATCTATGGATTTCTCATGACTGGGAAATATGGATCTGTTGGTCACAGATACCTTAAAAGAAATGGGCTTCAGTATCTCGTCATGGTATTTCTGTGCATTAAAATCGCCGTCGATAAAATGCAATTGTGTTCGTTGTCCGTAATTTATGTCCCATACCATGGAATGGAATATTTTGAAAAAGGAGAAATGCTTACTAACAGGGATGTAAACAAATTTGTGCACAACATTTGAGAGAAATAAGCTTTTTGTGCATATGGAACATTTCTGGGATCTTTTATTTCAGCTTATGAAACATGGGACCAACTGGTTAGCTAAAGTTTTTGTGCTAACTGATCTGTGCTTTGCAGGACAAGACAAGCCACATCACCAGAAAAATGAGCGTAGGATTCATCGGAGCGGGCCAGCTGGCTCATGCGCTGGTGAAAGGGTTCACAGCTGCGGGTAAGAAACCGCCAACCGGTTATGATGACAGACAGGGCCGTGACCCACTTTTTTTTATCTGGCCGGCCAGGGCGGGTCACTCTGGCTGCTCGTGTACACAAGACTGGGCCCTGAAATGTCAAAAGACTAACTGTCAACAAACGGTCGCTGTTATCAGTTTTAGTTCCAGTGACTCAAATCTTTGTTGTGTGCATTAACCTTACCTCTATCTCTCTCGCTTTCTCTCTTTAACCCTTTCTGTCCCCCATCCTCTCTCACTCTCTCTCTCTCTCTCTCTCTCGTTAACCCTCTCACCCCCCTTCTCTCTCTCTATCTCCCCCAGGTGTAATAGCTACTCAGAGAATCATAGCCAGTTCTCCAGATACTGATCTGCCTACTGTTGCTGGCCTGCGGGTAAGAGGCAGGGATGTGTGTTTGTTCTCTGTGTGTCTGTGTGGATGTGTTTACATGGCCTGGAAGGTGTGGATGTGTTTACATGGCCTGGAAGGTGTGGAGGTGTTTACATGGCCTGGAAGGTGTGGATGTGTTTACATGGCCTGGAAGGTGTGGATGTGTTTACATGGCCTGGAAGGTGTGGAGGTGTTTACATGGCCTGGAAGGTGTGGAGGTGTTTACATGGCCTGGAAGGTGTGGAGGTGTTTACATGGCCTGGAAGGTGTGGAGGTGTTTACATGGCCTGGAAGGTGTGGAGGTGTTTACATGGCCTGGAAGGTGTGGATGTGTTTACATGGCCTGGAAGGTGTGGAGGTGTTTACATGGCCTGGAAGGTGTGGATGTGTTTACATGGCTGGAAGGTGTGGATGTGTTTACATGGCCTGGAAGGTGTGGAGGTGTTTACATGGCCTGGAAGGTGTGGATGTGTTTACATGGCCTGGAAGGTTGGAGGTTTACATGGCCTGGAAGGTGTGGAGGTGTAATGGTGGGTGAAGGTGTGGAGGTGTTTACATGGCCTGGAAGGTGTGGATGTGTTTACATGGCCTGGAAGGTGTGTTTCAGGATGTGTGTTTACATGGCCTGGAAGGTGTGGAGGTGTTTACATGGCCTGGAAGGTGTGGAGGTGTTTACATGGCCTTGTGATGGAGGGTTTACTGGCTGAGTGTGGGTGTAATCCTGAAGGTTGCAGTTTACTGTCCTGAGTGTGGTTTTACATGCTTGCTGTCTGTTTGTCTGTGTATGGTCAGTGACTCTTCAACGTTTGTATGAGGGCTCTGCATTGTGTGTGTGTACAGATCCTAGAAGGACTTGCATCTTCACTCTTAACCTGTTTCTCCCTCTCTCTTCCCATCTTTCTGTCTCTTCCTCCTCTCTCTCTCTCTCTCTCCATCTTCGTCTCTCCTCCTCTCTCTCTCCTCTCTCTCTCTCTCTCTCTCTCTCTCTCTCTCTCTCTTCCCATCTTTCTGTCTCTTCCTCCCTCCCCCCTCTCTCTCCCTCCTTCTCTAGAAAATGGGTGCTATCCTCACCACCAGTAACAAGGAGGTGGTGAACAAGAGTGATGTCCTGTTCCTGGCAGTCAAACCCCACATCATCCCCTTTGTGCTGGATGAGATCGGACCAGACATAGAGGACAGACACCTCATAGTGTCCTGCGCTGCAGGAGTCACCATCAGCTCTATAGAGAAGGTCAGAAAACACACACACACACACACACACACACAGAAGGTCAGAAAGGACACACACACACACACACACACACACGCAGGGATGCACTCAACACACACACACACACAGAAGGTCAGAACCTGTCCTGGACCGGTCTGGTAGAGTCCATGGATCAATTGAAAAAGAGGCTTGTTAGGCACTACCTATGTAGTTCTGTCCTTGATGTCAGAGAAAAACGTAATAAAATGTTCTATTGTCACATAAGTAGGTGCAGTAATGAGTTGTTTTACAGGGTCAGCCATAGTAGTACGGTGCCCCTGGAGCAAATTAGGATTAAGGGCATACCGACCGATTTTTCACCTTGTTGGCTCTGGGATTTGAACTAGCAACCTTTCGGTAACTGGCCCAATATTGAAGAACAAAAAGAATGGTGAATGGACCAGGTGTCTGTTAAACATCATTGCTGCCAGGACCCAAGGATTCTTCTAATTCTCTTTCTATGACACTCACCTTTTGTTGTTATTTACATAACAGAGCCCCGTCTCCTCCTCCATTTAGAAGTCTCCTTCCTGTACCTCCTCCTGTACCTTATCCTCCTCTGTCTGACCCCCTCACCCCCCCCCATCCACTCACACATGTTCTCTTGTCAAATAATTGATCTTGACAAATCTTACAAGTATTTGTTTCTCTCTTTTCCTCTCTCTCTCCTTCACTACCCCGTCTCTCTCCTCTCCCCCCTCCAGAAGCTGCTTCAGTACCGTCCGTTCCCCAAGGTGATGAGGTGTATGACCAACACCCCCGTTGTGGTGAGAGAGGGAGCTACAGTCTACGCTACAGGAACACACGCTGAGGTACACACACACACACACACACACACGCTGAGGTACACACACACGCTGAGGTACACACCACACACGCTGAGGTACACACACACACACGCTGAGGTACACACACAACACACGCTGAGGTACACACCACACACACGCTGAGGTACACACACACACACACACCGCTGAGGTACACACACACACACACACACGCTGAGGTACACACACACACACACACACACACACGCTGAGGTACACACACACACACACACACGCTGAGGTACACACACAACCACAACACACGCATGAGCTAGTACACACACACACAACACACGCTTGAGGTACACACACAAACACACGCTTGAGAACACACACACAACGCTGAGGTACACAACACACACACGCTGAGGTACAACACAACAACCTAGTAAACCCAACACACCTGAGGTACACACACACACACACACGCTGAGGTACACAACACACAACACACACAACAACGCTGAGGTACACACACACACACACTAGTACACACACACACCCCTGAGGTACACCACACCACGCTGAGGTACACACACACACACACGCTGAGGTAACACACACACACACACGCTGAGGTACCACACACACACACACACACGCTGAGGTACCACCACACACACACACACACACGCTGAGGTACACACCAACACACACACACGCTGAGGTACACACACACCATACACACACACACGCTGAGGTACACACACAACCACCTAGGTACCCCAACACCACGCTGAGGTACACACACACACACACGCTGAGGTACACACACACACACACGCTGAGGTACACACACACACACGCTGAGGTACAACACCACACCTGAGTACACACACACACGCTGAGGTACACACACACACACACACGCTGAGGTACACACACACACACACACGCAGAGGTACACACACACACACACACGCTGAGGTACACACACACACACACACACACACACACACGCTGAGGTACACACACACACACACACACACACACACGCTGAGGTACACACATACATTAGGCACCAAACAGAAGAAAACCGGCTGAACCCGTTTCCATTGCAAAAAAGTTTTTCTACAGTGTGCAGTAAATACCGCTCTCTTTCTCCCCCCCCCCCCCCATCATCTCTCTTTCTCCCCCCCAACCCCCTATCTCTCTCTCGCAGGTGGAGGATGGTAAGTTGTTGGAGCAGCTGATGGCCAGTGTTGGGTTCTGTACAGAGGTGGAGGAGGACCTTATCGATGCCGTAACCGGCCTCAGCGGCAGTGGCCCCGCCTACGTGAGTCACTGTTGACCTATCAGGGAGAGGTACAGGGGCCTGACCCCGTCTACGAGACTCACTTTTGACGTATCAGAGAGGGGTAGAGGGCGTGGCCATGCCTATGTGAGTCACTGTTGACCTTCCTCCATACACATTACACACTGCTCTCCAGGTAGAACTTGCCCCCTAAGTACAGATCTTGGATCAGTTTATAGTACTCCTATCCTCACCTCGACTATGAGGTTTATAGTGCGTCCCAATTGACACCCTATTTCCTAAGTAGTGCACTATATATGCATTTGGGACGGATCCACAGTAAACTGAGCTTGGGTCAGTGCCTAAGGGGGAAACTGCATGCTAGACTCTCTAACAATGTGGGTGGGAGAGAAGTCAACATGGCAACAAGTGCCATTGATTTTTAAATAAGAGACGTTAACTACAAACTTTTTTTATATAAATATTTTGTTTAATTCATGTGGAGAGCTGCAAAAACATAATGTATTTTTCTCATAGGAATTCAGTCCAATTATCACTAAGCACCCACTCACAATGTGTTTACCTCACTGATTCAGTGACTTATGGCCTGAAGGTGTGTGTGTGTGTGTGTGTGTGTGTGTGATAGGCGTTCACAGCTCTGGATGCTCTAGCTGACGGAGGGGTGAAGATGGGTCTACCCAGGAGACTAGCGGTCAGACTGGGAGCTCAGGCACTACTGGTCGGTAACGTCACAGCATCACACTGTAACATATCATTACAGCACAGGCCTAACTGCTCAGTACTGCCTAACCGTAACACATCATTACACCAACAGACCAGAGCCTAACATGGAACACATCATAACACCAGACGACCAGAGCACTACAGTACTCATCGTTACACAGCAGACAGAGCACTAACAGTAACACATCATTACACCAGACAGACCAGAGCACTAACAGTAACACATCATTACACCCAGACAGACCAGAGCCCTAACATAACACATCATTACACCAGACAGACCAGAGCCCTAACAGTAACTCATCATTACACCAGACAGACCAGAGCACTAACAGTAACACATCATTACACCAGACAGACCAGAGCACTAACAGTAACACATCATTACACCAGACAGACCAGAGCACTAACAGTACACATCATTACACCAGACAGACCAGAGCCCTAACAGTAACTCATCATTACACCAGACAGACCAGAGCACTAACAGTAACACATCATTACACCAGACAGACCAGAGCACTAACAGTAACACATCATTACACCAGACAGACCAGAGCACTAACAGTAACACATCATTACACCAGACAGACCAGAGCCCTAACAGTAACTCATCATTACACCAGACAGACCAGAGCACTAACAGTAACACATCATTACACCAGACAGACCAGAGCACTAACAGTAACACATCATTACACCAGACAGACCAGAGCACTAACAGTAACACATCATTACACCAGACAGACCAGAGCACTAACAGTAACACATCATTACACCAGACAGACCAGAGCACTAACAGTAACACATCATTACACCAGACAGACCAGAGCACTAACAGTAACACATCATTACACCAGACAGACCAGAGCACTAACAGTAACACATCATTACACCAGACAGACCAGAGCACTAACAGTAACACATCATTACACCAGACAGACCAGAGCACTAACAGTAACACCATCATTACACCAGACAGACCAGAGCACTAACAGTAACACATCATTAAACCAGACAGACCAGAGCACTAACAGTAACTCATCATTACACCAGACAGACCAGAGCACTAACAGTAACACATCATTACACCAGACAGACCAGAGCACTAACAGTAACACATCATTACACCAGACAGACCAGAGCCCTAACAGTAACTCATCATTACACCAGACAGACCAGAGCACTAACAGTAACACATCATTACACCAGACAGACCAGAGCACTAACAGTAACACATCATTACACCAGACAGACCAGAGCACTAACAGTAACACATCATTACACCAGACAGACCAGAGCACTAACAGTAACACATCATTACACCAGACAGACCAGAGCACTAACAGTAACACATCATTACACCAGACAGACCAGAGCACTAACAGTAACACATCATTACACCAGACAGACCAGAGCACTAACAGTAACACATCATTACACCAGACAGACCAGAGCACTAACAGTAACACATCATTAAACCAGACAGACCAGAGCACTAACAGTAAACACATCATTAACCAGACAGACCAGAGCACTAACAGTAACACATCATTACACCAGACAGACCAGAGCACTAACAGTAACACATCATTAAACCAGACAGACCAGAGCACTAACAGTAACACATCATTAAACCAGACAGACCAGAGCACTAACAGTAACACATCATTACACCAGACAGACCAGAGCACTAACAGTAACACATCATTACACCAGACAGACCAGAGCACTAACAGTAAACACATCATTACACCAGACAGACCAGAGCACTAACAGTAAACTCATCATTACACCAGACAGACCAGAGCACTAACAGTAACACATCATTAAACCAGACAGACCAGAGCACTAACAGTAACACATCATTAAACCATGACAGACCAGAGCACTAACAGTAAACACATCATGAAACCAGGACAGACCAGAGCACTAACAGTAACACATCATTAAACCAGACAGACCAGAGCACTAACAGTAACACATCATTACACCAGACAGACCAGAGCACTAACAGTAACACATCATTACACCAGACAGACCAGAGCACTAACAGTAACACATCATTACACCAGACAGACCAGAGCACTAACAGTAACTCATCATTACACCAGACAGACCAGAGCACTAACAGTAACACATCATTAAACCAGACAGACCAGAGCACTAACAGTAACACATCATTACACCAGACAGACCAGAGCACTAACAGTAAATCAGAGCAACAGGAGTAGAATGTAGGACATTTCACTTTGTTGCCTGTATAGAACAAATGTAAGACATTTTCACACTGCATTGTTCTTAGCCCCAGGCTTAGCCCTTGGCTAAGGATTCACACTTGTGTTCCAAAGCCCAGGGCTAATGGACAAACACAACATGCAACTTATATTATATCTCTGACTCGCGACCAATGTCGCAATAAGACATTTATTAACACATTATTTTCTATTGCTTCTAGCCTAGCATTTGATTTCCAGCAGTGATGGTTTGTATAAACCCTGCTGTCTGCCTGTCTGACCTTGGAAACAATGTTTACCTTTTGAAATTCGAGAATAGAGAATGCTGTGCACGAAAAATACATCAACTTTTCTGATCCAGGCGAAATAATGCAATAATATTATTATGATGGATATATCCAATTAAATGTAAATAGAAAAGCTATGAAAACAGACGAAATTGAGCGTTTGCTGCCCTTCCAGCTGTAGAGTTTTTAGCTTAGTTGGCTGAGGAAGAAGACTTAGCCAGCCTGCTATATAGCAACCATTTTTGTTAGGCATAGCAACCAATGTTTTTGCAGGGATGAAAGTATTTTGTTTTTGTTCTCAGATGGAAGGAGGAAATAGTTATTATCAAAATAACGTGCAGAACACATTACAGGCATCACTAGCATGTGGAAATTAAGTGACTGTGCAGCTTTTGTGATTGGACAGTGAGCATTCTAGGTGATGTTCTTGACCCAGATTCACACTGGCTATTTTGGCACCGTGTTTCCGGTGCTAGCCCCGAAAAGTCTGAGCTTACTATCTGTATCCCCCCCCAAGCTCCCTTTTTAATTGTAAAATCTAAAAGGAGTCAATATGATGCCCCTAATGGTTTTGTGGTTGACTGATGGTGACTCCCCCCCCCCCCCCCCCCCCCCCCCCAGGGAGCAGCTAAGATGTTGTTGGACTCTGAGCTGCACCCTGGCCAGCTGAAGGACAATGTGTGTTCCCCCGGGGGAGCCACCATTCACGCCCTGCACGTCATGGAGAGTGGCGGCTTCCGCAGTCTGCTCATCAACGCCGTGGAGGCTTCATGTATCAGGACACGGTGAGGGGAGAGAGAGAGAGAGACACACACGCCTGAAACCATAGACACACACGCTGACTTACCCCCTTCTCCCCCCCACCCCCTCAGGGAGCTGCAGTTCCTAGCGGACCAGGAGCGTATCTCCCCGGCAGCCATTAAGAAGACCACCCTGGACAAGGTCCTGCAGCAGCCTGGGGTCAGCCAGGGGTCAGGGATCAACGGCAAGCCAGGACTCAGCCTCAGGAGAAACCCACCAGGACCTGTCAAGAAGAACAACTGAGATGGAGACACACACACACACACAACACCTAAAACATCAGTGAATATTTAAGATAGAAATGTAATGCATAGAGCTGAGATGATTCCTTATTCTACATGACAGAGGAATCATATCTGTTCTATGCAATGCATTTCTTTCTGAGAGTTTCTTTAATGTTGCCCCTGGAGCTACAGCAGGCAACAGATGGCTTCAGTGATGAGGCGACCATTTCTTTTTGCCTGATGACTCAAACTGCTCTGTTCGCTTCACACTTCAGTCTGAGACTGCCATCGTTGAAGTTGTTTGTGGTGACGTCAAAATGAGGGGTGTTGTACAAAAGTAATCAGTGACTGGATCATCTCTAACCAATCAAAGCCAATGACGAATTTTCAAAACGCCGCTTTACTCACGTTTGCCATTGGTTTCTGGGACTAATCAGAATGGTTAGAATGTTTTTCATTTCTAGAAATCGTCGTGAAGGTACTTATCCAGACACATTGCCGAGAAGAAACTAACGTCCGTGGGCGTGGCGTAAAGTTTGGCCGGAGCAAGGAGTTTGGGTAGCCAGGCAAGCCATTTTTAAGGATGCGTCCCATATTGCACCCTATTTCCCCCCCCAATATGGGTCAAAAGTAGTGCACTATAAAGGCAACAGGCTAACATTTGGGACGCACAGTAAGTGTACAATGCAGATGGCTACAATGTATTTTATATGAAGCCAGATCATGCTATGAAAACCTTTTTTTATTTTGTTTGTTGCCATTTTCTTGTCATTTTAGTTTTTTCTTTGTTTTTGGCCTACAGTGATATTTTATGGACTGACTGAACAACAATTGTTTTGATAATTTTAGTTGTTTTTGTTTTTTTATATATTTTATTGTCTGTCTGTTGTGGTCACAATCAAGACAGAAAATAAACACTAGCCACCAGACAAGTGCTGGTAAAAAGTCTGGGTGACTGGTGAATTTTTCAATCCATGAGTCACACTGGCTGGCATGCCAAAACGTTATTTTCAGGCCCTGGTCACCATCTAAACCTCTCTCTGTGTGACAATATTGGTCGCCAGGTCAAGGCAGTTCCATTGTTTACATGGTGTGACCTTTTGACTCAGGAAGGGTTTGTCTCACACAGGGTCAGGTACAAGGTCAATGCAAGCTTTCGGACAGCTCAACTGCTTCTTCCTCAAGTTTCTATTTGTATTGTTCCATGTCAGATTACCTCTGTCTCTGGAAGAAAACCATGGATCTGAAAACACAAACCTAAATCATTATGGCGGCAGGTAGCTTAGTGGGTAAGAGCGTTGTGCCAGTAACCGAAAGGTCGCTTGTTCTAATCCCCGAGCCGACTAGGTGAAAAATCTGTTGATGTGCCCTTAAGCAAGGCACTTAACCCTAATTGCTCCTGTAAGTCGCTCTGGATAAGAGCGTCTGCTAAATGACTAAGATGAAGATGAAGATTATCATATGTGGGTTCATCTGGCATCTGCTTAGATTACCAGAACTAAACCATACCTGGAGAAGTGTTCAACATCTCAGTAACCGCAGCAACATGATGGAACAATCTGATCGTCTGCAGACATTCTGTGTGTCTGTTAAGTGAATAAGACTCATCCTTCAGTGAAGAAGCTACCATGTTATGATGTGTCTCTCTAAAAGGGAACATGATATTTAACCGTAAAGTGCTAATATACCTACTTTCTATCCATTATCATCATCATACACTTTAATATGTAACTATTCATTTGTATGTTTTGGTGCTGATTAGGAAAATGTATGGTCAATTACCAAATGCTCTGGCCTAAATTGTATATTTAGTTATGGTAGTGAAAGGACGCGAGTTGAGGAAGCTACCTACCATAGAGTATTGGGATGCAGCCCAGCTCCAGCTGTTCAGTTATTTCACCTCAGCATATGGAGTCACAGTAGAGGACTGTTGCCTTGAAAAGTACGGTTCTACAGATGTCATCGCCCGTCATCGTCACATACTGAACGGGGTAAAGTTTCCACCCCCGTGCCCCCACGGACACAAATAGACTTTTGTAAAGAGTTGCTACGTACCAAATGGCACCCTATTCCCTACATAGTGCTCTATGGGCCCTGGTCAAAAGTTTGTCTACTATATATAGGGAATGGGGTGCCATTTGGGAGTCGGGATGCAGACAGTTTTTCCCTCGCTGCCATAGATACGGATTCTGATTGTTTGGTGTGGGAGGAAACGAGCCGCCGGTTTTAGAACACCACTGTCTGCAATATGAAGGAGGTGGGGTGACATCTCAGGTCCAGGAGAGGTTCAAGTCAAGGTTGGAAATGGCATTGTATTCCTTATATAGTGCGCTACTTTTCACCAGGGCCCATAGGGCTGGCCAAAAGTAGTGCACTAGGAAATGGGGTGCCAATGCGCACACACAGATTGGCTCTTGGGATTACCCAACATCTACTACTAATCTACATTTGGGAGGGGGGCGGGGCTTAGCCGCGACTGGGAGACCCATGAGGCGGCACATAATTGGCCCAGCGTCGTCCGGGTTAGGGGAGGGTTTGGCCGGCCGGGATGTCCTTGTCCCATCGCGCTCTAGCGACTCCCTGTGGCGGGCCAGGCGCATGTACACTGACTTCGGTCGCTAGTTGTACAGTGTTTCCTCCGACACATTGGTTCGGTTGGCTTCCGGGTTAAGCGAGCAGTGTGTCAAGAAGCAGTGCGGCTTGGCGGGGTCGTGTTTCGGAGGACGCATGGCTCTCGACCTTCGCCTCTCCCGAGTCCGTACTGGAGTTGCAGCGATGGGACAAGACTGTAACTACCAATTGGATATCATCAAATTGGGGAGAAAAAAGGGGTAAAATGTACTTTGTTTTAAAATGAATAATTCTGGCCTTAGGTCTCTCCTCTATACTCAAACTTTAAAGTCAAACTAAAAGAAAGTCATCCAAGTTAATTTACTTCTACAATAACTTTTTATATTGCCTTCAACAATAATACAGGGCACAGGCCAATTGTTTGCCTGTATATCCATAGTAAAGTCTGGAGTTTGAATAGACTGCCTACTTTACAAGGCACCAGGTGTAGAAGATAATAGCAATATGCAAGAAAACTGTAGAGACAAGCGGCAGTCTAGATGAACATTTTCCCCAATCACAGTTGAACAATACTAACCGCCTGCAGCCTATAGGATTACCTTAGCTAGATTCCGGTTAAAAAGTGGCATTTGATTAAAGTGTGTGTGTGTAAAAAACAATTTAAAAGGCCTTGATTAAAACTGTGTCTCCCGCATCCCTCCACGCTCCCGGCCCCAGTGGCTCTGGTTGCGTCCCAAATGCCACCCTATTCCCTATATAGTGCACTAATTTAGACCAGAGCCCTGGTCAAAAGCAATGCACTATCAAAGGAATAGTGTGGCATTTGGGACGCAGACTCTGTTTATTTGTGTGCAGTGGGTTTTCAGGAGGAAGGGTTAGTACTGTAGACGCTGAAGTGTTTCACTAATCCCTCTTTTATTCTGAAAGGTTATTCTCCTCCGGTGTCGTTGAGATAAGTCCTGCTCCTCAAGAGGATTCCATTTGACTCTAAGTAACACACACACACACACACACACAGTGTCGTCGGGAGAGGAGAGTTCAATAGCGGTTAATCCTCCCACAAAGTGTGTGTGTCATTCCAAAGGCCTTTGAACAGGAGGAATGCACCCCTGTCTTTTTTACTGGTTCTAGGCCTGGACTCTCCAATCCTGTTCCTGGAGAGATACCCTCCTGTAGGTTTTCACTCCAACCCCAGTTGTAACTAACCTGATTCAGCTTATCAACCAGCTAATAATTAGAATCTGATGCGCTAGATTAGGGTTGGAATCTGATGCGCTAGATTAGGGTTGGAGCGAAATCCTACAGGACGGTAGCTCTCCAGGAACAGGGTTGGAGAGCCCTGTCCTAGCCGACTCATTCAGACTATGACCCCATTCACCTCATTCAGACCTATAGCCAGACCTCATTCAGACCTATCAGACCTCATTCAGACCTATAGCCAGACCTCATTCAGACCTATAGCCAGACCTCATTCAATTGCAACTCATTCATACCTATCCTCCTCAACTATACAGACCATTCATTGTTCATCACAAACAGATCAGACCGTCTACTCTCTGACCTGTGTGTGTGAGAGAGAGAGAGAGAGAGAGAGAGAGAGAGAACTATGATCTCAGAGATGATATTGTATCTCTAGATGCAGCTGACGGATCAAACAGACAGAACGGGAGAAAGAAAGGAGAAGAGGATGGTACAGCCACACTGTGAGTCAGCACTCTGGGCTTCTCTTTGTGGTTCTGACACGCGCTGCGTCCCAAATGGCACCCTATTCCCTTTATAGTGCAATACGTTTGACCAGGGCCCATGGGGCTGTGGCTAAAAGTAGTGCACTATAAAGGGAATAGGGTGCCATTTTGGGACACATTCCTTCAAACGGTTATTTTAGGCGTCTTGTCAACTGGACCTAGTCCTAGATTAGACAGAACTATAGTTATGTACAGATCTAACCATTATGGGTGGATCTTGATCATTTAAAGTGGCCTACTTTCATCCTCTCCCCCTTTCCCACCCCTCCCCTCTCCTCATCTCGTCTCCTCTCCCTCTCCTCATCTCGTCTCCTCTCCCCCTTTCCTCCTCTCGTCTCCTCTCATCTTCTCTCTCTCCTCCTCTCCTCATCTCGTCTCCTCATCTCGTCTCCTCTCCCCCTCCTCTCGTCTCCTCTCCCCCTCCTCTCGTCTCCTCTCTCTCCCCCTTTCCTCATCTCATCTCCTCTCCCCTTCCTCTCGTCTCCTCTCCCCATCCTCTCGTCTTCTCTCTCTCCCCCCATTCCTCATCTCCTCTCCCCCTCCTCTCGTCTATTCTCCCCCTCATCTCCTCTCTCTCCCCCTCTCCCCCTTTCCTCATCTCCTCTCCCCCTCCTCTCATCTCCTATCCCCCTTTCCTCCTCTCCTCTGGCCCAGTTTTGTTCTGTCCACTGCAGATGAAAGAAGACAAGGAGAGAAATATGCAGTACTTAAGACCAGGGGTGTCCAACTCATTCCACGGAGAGCCAAGTGTCTGCGGGTTTTAGTTTTTCCTTTCATTTAAGACCTAGACAACCAGGTGAGGGGAGTTCTTTACTAATTAATTACTTTAATTCATCAATCAAGTACAAGGGAGGAGCGAAAACCCGCAGACACTCAGCCATCTGTGGAAAGAGTTTAAAGTGTGCTTTAGATTATTGAGATGCACCCTCAATAACGTTGTCTACC